AGAGTCCAAGGGGAGTTTTTTCCCTAGAAGATGTGTGATGTATTTCTGCACCATAAGATATCCAGATCAAAGCAAGCTGCCTAGTTATTATCTGGCTCCCCGAAGTTCAATTTACACAGAGTTGCGGGGATTCGGATGTTATTTTTCAAGTGAAAACATTTTTTTCCCTTTTTTGGGGGCATTTTATGTAACAAGCACAGATAGTTGCATTTTGATGAGAAGAGAAAAATGGATATGCTTCCAACACCCACCTCCCATCAAATCAATCGTCAAAAGCTCATCAGTATCCCCGTTTTTGGGCCCGGCGGAGGCAGGAATAAATGTCAGTGTAACAAATGGGATCATTTTCATTCTGCAAAGCATCCAGTCTGAAATCTACAGTGTGAACAAGTCAATCCGAGACACTCCTTTTAGGTGAAACACTCAAGAAACTGGTATAATTATGCCGGATGAAGTTTTCGTCTCTTCCTTCTGCGGTTTGAGGCTACTAATGGACTTCCCACTCCATTTCTCTGCCTTCCTCTGCCATTGTTGCTGTTTGATTATTCTTCTATGTAATTTAATATCTTTAATGCATTACTTTTTGGAGCATTGTGAAGATTAAAGGGAAGAAGGCAAATATATCGAACATAAGCCGATGCCTGCATTCTATCACAATCGCTAATGCAGCTTTAAAATCGATTTTTAAAGAAACGCGGCTGAGATTTTTTATTCTTCCAATCTCATTATCCCTCCTAAAAATCTAATACCTTCTTCTCTTTGTGACAGGTTGTGCGTTTACTTTCCTATATTACATGCACGTGTGTGTGTGTGTGTGTGTGTGTGTGTGTGTGTGTGTGTGTGTGTGTGTGTGTGTGTGTGTGTGTGTGTGTGTGTGTGTGTGTGTGTTTGCGCATCAGTGGTTTCGACTTACATTCCCATATGGTGTGAACATGATGGAATATTATAGAAGTGAATGGAATGGGGTTCGGTGCACAACGACAAACAAAAAAATTATAAGTAGATAAATTGAAGTTGCAACCACACACACACACACACACACACACACATTTTCTTTAAGGGCCCTAATCCCCTCTCAGAATCTGTCAGCCTTGTTGTTACAAATACAATAGGATTATTTGTGTGTCTCTGTGTGTGTGTGTGTGTGTGTGTGTGTGTGTGTGTGTGTGTGTGTGTGTGTGTGTGTGTGTGTGTGTGTGTGTGTGTGTGTGTGTCAAAGTCAGAGACTGACTTGGGGTGTGTGATTGGGTTGTATGCTAGACGTGTTGCTATCATGTGCAGCAGTGTGTTTGAAACAGAGAGCAGGAGAAGAAGTTGTACCAAAGGAGTCCTCCAGCACTGTCTGTTCCTCTACTCTTACGCTCCTTGTGTGTGTGTGTGTGTGTGTGTGTGTGTGTGTGTGTGTGTGCGTGCGTGTGTGTGTGTCTTTTGTCTGTTCACACACAAGCAGTGTGTGTTAGGAGCAGCCCGTGACCGGCTGAGTTTGGGGTTCTCATAAAGACGATGTCATGATGGAAATTAATGCAATACATCACAAACACGAGCTCACGAACACACAGCGGGTACATATACTAAAGTAAAATACACACTTCTCTTTTTGCTCAGGACCACTCCTGTAAATAATGCTGAAAGCAGGATGAGAGAGCAGGAGAATAAAGGAGGAGGAGACTCGGGAAATGAAGGTTATATTTTCAGAAATCCAGCACGCTACATTTCAAACAGAATCATGGCGACACAATGGCACTTTATGTGGCATCAAAGTGGTATCTGTATAAACTTATGGTCACACAGACTGTAGGAGGAAATAAAGGGTAATGAATATTTGCAGCTCAGGGAAAGGAGGAGTTCAGAAGTCTATTGAGCAAAGCAGCCTTTTGGTTCACTTCCTGTGTGCTTTGCTGTGGTCCTACGGTGGGAAAGGTGAGTTTGAGATTCCAACACGGTGGAGAAAAATTATTCTTTACAGATTTAATTTCATTTCTTGAGTTTGTATCTGCAAATGAGTTAAAGAAGAAGACTTGGAATTGGTCATCATCACACAAACCTAGGTCAGGTTTCTGATTCCTGTTTGCTATTTTCTATTTTCTTCTTCTATCTGCATGTTATGGCTCAGGGCCATTTGGGTTTTTCCCTGTGTGTGTGTGTGTGTGTGAGAGAGGAGATGCAGCACCTGGCTCCAATCTCACTAGATTGCCTCCCAGCTGATCCTGATGACCAGCAGCATAAACGTCAGCCAGCCCTCAGCAGGCCAGGGAGGTTCTCTCTGGTCTGTTGTCTCCTCAGCAGCTTTTGGTTTTGTTATGTTTTAGGAAACAACTCTGGTGGGAGCTTAAAACTCTCTGTGTTTAACCGTCAGCCTTTTTAGGGGTAAAGGACACTTTACCCCTTCGCTTGCTTTAATTAAGACATCACTCGGTTAAGAAAAATTATGTGATGGTCTTTCGTGGTTCTTGTATTAATTTGGTTAATATGAGTTTAGTTGTTACTTGTTTTGCGTTGCTGCTGATGTGTCTTGTTAATCTGTGTTTTGTGTTTATATTTGTGTAAATAAATGTTGTTTTGTTACATTTACCACGAGAACGTGCGTCCTCAATTGTTACCCCAGGCCCCCTAGACGGCCTGGATCGTAACACTGCAAATGAGTTAAAGTCCCAGTAGACATCATCACACACTGGAGAGAAGACCCATCCTGTAGGGAGCGCTGTGCTGCAGCAGTGTGGTGGTTTAACCCCCAACCCAACCCCTTAAAGCTGAGTGTCCAGCAGGGAGGCTGACACTGTTTTTTAAATGGCATTGATGGGCAAGTTACTTTAAAAAAGTAATTAGTTATAGTTACTTATTACTCCTTCATAAAAGTAACTGAATTCGTAACTAATTTACAATATCGTCTAATGAGCTTGAACCTTCACAGACAACTTACATCATAAAAATTACTGGGGAAATGTAACTAGAAAAGTAAATAATTACTTTCTTAGTTACATTTCAGGTTACATTTTCCCAGTTATTTTTATGAGTCAAAATTACTGGGGAAATGTAACTAGAAAAGTAAATAATTACTTTCTTAGTTACATTTCAGGTTACATTTTCCCAGTTATTTTTATGAGTCAAAATTACTGGGGAAGTGTAACTAGAAAAGTAAATAATTACTTTCTTAGTTTCATTTCAGGTTACATTTTCCCAGTTATTTTTATGAGTCAAAAATGTAACTGCAGAGTTACTTTTTATTTAAAAATATGTATGAAAAAAGTGCTTCCCTTCTTAATAGAACGTCTAACAATTATTAAGAAATGACTATAATACTAAAATCAAAATTACGAAATAAACTAAAATCACTCAAATTTGTTTCCAGTCGTTTATTAAGTTAAATAACTGAAATAAATTGTCATAAAGAACAACAAACAGGAAACATTACACTAATATAAACTATTAACTGTAAAACAGCAGTGAAAAAACAATTTTTACTTCTTATTTTTGAGAATAATTTGTCACTCTGAGTTTTTCATGCAGGGTGAATGAAAATCGTGTCTCCTACTTTTATTTCCTGCATTAGCTTCTGATAGAAAACAGACGGTGAAACTCTAGGATTTGAAAATCCTGACAGGTCTACGTCACACTGTCACTCAACATTCATGAACTCACCAAACTTGACTCACCATGAGGAAGGCTGTTGGTTTAGTGTCCAGAAAACAGCAGAGAACACCTCGGCTAGTAGAAGCTAACCGTTAGCGTTAGCAACTCCCACACAGCAGACCCACCCCCACCCCCCCACCCCATCGGGCCTCTGTTGTTTGTGGAGATAAAACATCAACGTTGCAAAAGAAACAGAGTCAGTGGTAGAGTTGTGTTGCTGTTACCCAATCAGAGGCAAGATTTCCAAATATCAGGAAATAAGACTCCAGATCCTGCTGTCTGAAGCTACGTTCTCCTCTGGCTGAATTCTCTGTGCTGAAACCAGAAACCAGAGACTTACAAGACATTCATTCCTACTAGAGACCACTGCAAATGTATTCAGCGTATAAGTGAAGGACCTCTTAAGAGGACCTCTCTTTAGAGCCACGAAAGGCATTCACACAGGCAAAGAGGATTAAGTGTCTTGCCCAAGGACACAACAGCAGCATTCTCGGCTGGGAGCCAGGATCGCACCTACAATCCTCCGATTACTGGACAACCTGCTTCACCCCCTGAGCTTCTGCTGCCCACATTTTGCACAAATGTCTGGACTCTGATGCTCCGACTGGCTTGTGGAATGTCAGCTTTTTAATGGTAGGATGAAGACAAATAAAACTTGGAATTGTTCATAATCACACAAACCTGGGTCAGGTTTCTGTTTCCTGTTTGCATTTTCATTTTGTTGCTGTTAATATGGAGGCAATTTGATTCTTTCTCCAAGAGTTTCCAAAGGAATTTAGTGCAGGACTTTTACCTGCCTCTTAAAAAGCCACCAAAAGCTGAACCAGCCAGGTGTTTGAGTTTTGCATTTCATTTTGTTTTGATTTCTCTGGTCTTGGTTAGGGGGCACCATACCAGGGAATCCCAAACTGTCCCGTCCATAGTGTTTCCAACCAGCTCCTCCATTGGTATCCCAAGGCGTTCCCAGTCTTGCCTGAAGATATAATCTCTCGGAATGTCTTGGGGCACCCTCAGGGTCTCTGCCCAGCGGGACATGCTCCACACATCTCCTCTTGGAGGCATTCAGGCAACACGTCATATAAAATAAATGTAAAATGGAGCATCCAGGGAATCATGAATCACCGCCTTCACGTTGTGATCTTGACACCATAACGATGCAGGATGTGAGGGGATGAGGTGGGAGAGTCCAGAGGAACAAGACGATGTCTCTTAAGTTCTCTTTGAGAGTTTTAAATAAGTGTTCATGTTTGGGTTTTTTCACCACTCCCGTGGGGGAGTTGCCATTTCTTCTAAAACCCGTAAAGTTTCAGATCAAAAGTCTCATCATAAGGGAAATTTTAACGCCCTCCAATGAATTTGTGTTCTTTCAGAAATAGACAAAGAGAGTTGCGGTGACCCGGGAACTCCGCTCTACGGAATACGAGAGGGAGACAACTTTTCCAACGGGGGAATCCTGCGCTTCGAGTGCCAGTTTGGCTTTGAGCTGATCGGAGAAAAGACCATCTCCTGCCAGGACAACAACCAGTGGTCCGCAAACATCCCCATATGCATTTGTGAGTATGCAGCTTACACGTGATTGTCATGAAAAGTGGTGGGTAACGCCATCTGTACCGCCATTGCCTTTGATCATGCTCAGTCTGACCCATCACCATGGCGACGGTGCAGAGTTTATTGCTTTGCTCGGGGTAGATGACGGCCGATGATGCTGTGAAGATGAATATTTAACAGGAAATCTCTCTGTGTGCATACCCCCCAACCCCTTATGTGATTTCCTCCCACAGTCCCTTGCATGTCCAACTTCACAGCTCCCTCAGGGACCGTCCTCTCTCCAGATTACCCAGAAGGCTACGGGAACAACATGAACTGTGTCTGGCTTATCCAATCGGACCCAGGCTCAAGAATCCACTTGGCTTTTAACGATTTCGACCTGGAGGCGCCGTACGATTCCCTAACTGTGAAAGATGGCGAGACAAACGATGCCAATGTCATCGGGAGATTCTCTGGAGCCGAGAGTCCATCCCATCTGACGTCGAACACCAACACGCTGAGGCTGGAGTTCCAGGCCGATCACTCCATGTCCGGCAGAGGGTTCAACATCACATACAGTAGTACGCTTCCTTTATTCCTCTTTTACTTTTGAAGGTTTTCTTTCCTTTTTTAGGTGTTCTGCTGGAAATCTGAAATTTAAATCCACTTTTTTCAGAATTTGAAGCCCTGATTTCACTGTAGAAGTTTTTTTTCTGTAATTAAGATCATTCCGAGTGCCTCAGATGCGCCTTTCTCTTAAATCGGCACCTCGTGTGACAACAAAGTGTTTAACTGCGTTAAATTTGAAGGATTTAATCTTTATTGAACTGTCAGCAGTGCTTAAACATACCTGAATTGCTATTTTTGTCGAATAAATTTCACTTTCCTGTCAAAACAAAAACAAAACGGCTCTAACTGTGAGAAGAAAAGCACCTTTAAGCTTCTTTAAGTGTCAAAAAAACTTGAGTGAAATCATTCCTCCTTAAGTTTTTAGAAGTTTATTTTGTGAATGTAGACGTGCTGTTAATTTCCTAGTCATTAAATCTGAAAAAGAGTCTGAACAGCTCAAAGATTTTCCTTAAAAGACGATGGGTGGGTGTTTTTGATTCTGACGGTGTCACGGTTGGCGCAGCATCAAAGAAAGTTTAATTTCGGAAAGAAACAGGAAGCCAACGCAGCTGATTGACCTTATCAACCACAAATACGGCTTCAACTCTGTCACTGATATTGAGCTGTAATATTACCATATGATTGTAGTTGAGAGGCTTTTAAATTTAAGCTTTCTCAAATCGGGGTTTCTTTTAAGGCCTTTTCAGACAGACAGAAGCTGTATCATGGAGACAAAGTGAGAGTTTTGGGTTGCCTTTGGAAACGCACGCAAAAGGATTAAGGAAAAAAAAAACTTAAATCTGACTTCAACCTCAGAAGTCAGATTTTTTTTATCATTATTCACATTTTAAACTCAGAATTGTGACTTTAATCTCAGAACTGTGACATTTATTTAATCAGAATTCTTAGTTTAATCTCAGATTTCTGACTTTTTTCAGAATTTTAACTCTAATCTCAGAATTTTGACTTTAATCTACAAAAATCTGACTTTAAATTCAGAATTATGACTTTTCAAAATCAAAATTATTAGTTTAATCTCAGATTTCTGACTTTTTTCAGAATTTTGTCTCTAATCTCAGAGTTTGGACTTTAATCTCGAAAATCTGACTTTAATCTCGGAATTGTGAAAATTTTTTTTATCAGAATTCTTAGTTTAATCTAAGATTTCTGACCTTTTTCAGAATTCTGTGATTAAAGTCAGAATTAAATCAGAACTTCAATCTCAGAATTCCAACTTTTTATTTCAAATTAAAATGTCAGAATTCAGAGAAAAAGTCAGATTTCTTTTGTTTTTCTTTTATAGCGGCTCTAATTTTCCTGAGTACAAATGTTAAGGTGTGTGAGGAAAGGGCAGGTGGTGTTTTAAAGCTATATACAGTTTTTATCTCAACAATGACAGTGGGAGACTCATAAACACACGAATATGATGTGGCTAAATACGACAAGAGCAGCGTGCACACGAGAACCTGAATAAACTGACAATTCTGAAATCCTTTTGAGAGACGAATGAGAGATTAATCCAGGGTAAGGTGCATTTTGAATGATGTACACGTTTATTGCAGCATCAAAAATGAGAAGTGAACACATCGTAAAGAAAGGAGGAAATTCTGATGTAGAATTTGATGTTTTTGTCGTGTGCCGAGAAGTTGACGATGTCAGGTTTGAATCATCTGTAAGATCGGTTTGTTTTATTAAAGTGAGGGGCACCGTGTTCCCTCTGCAGTATAGATTTCTTTTTCTTTGAAACTGTGTCCAGATACTCCAGTATCTGCTATGAAATATCCATGTTTCCTTGTGTTTTTCTCCGTTTACTAAAGCGTTTGGCCATAATGAGTGCCCAGATCCTGGCATCCCCATCAATGCTCGCCGCTTTGGAGACAGCTTTCAGCTTGGCAGCTCCATCTCTGTGGTGTGTGAGGACGGTTTCATCAAAACCCAAGGAGCTGAGACCATCACCTGTCAGTTAGAGAGAGGAAAAGTCATGTGGAGTGGGCCCATTCCTAAATGCGAAGGTAAATATTGATGAGACCGCTGCCCAAATTATTAGCAAGGGAACACTGTCGTCCAAGATATCATCATTACACAGTAAAGAGGTAGAAACAGATGGGAATGGAACCGAGATCACCAGTGATACACAGACAAGGGAAAAGCTCTCGTAGATGGAAGGAAAAGGTTATCACTGCCCTACAAATGGCTGCCACTCTTGTCAAAAATAGTTTCTGAAATTCTAATCAAAAACACAGATTTGAGGATAAAACCGAATGTCATTACAACTTGCACACCTAAAAGGGTAAGCGTCAAGCTTAAAGGGAAGTAAAATTTATAGTCACCATGTTACCCAAAGTTGGGACAAGTGGGAAAAGGCATTTTTTTCCTGATTTTGCAGTTTTTCATTAGCTTTAGCTTAGCATAAACGATGTAAGTGAATGGTAACAGCTAGCATTCGTATGAAAAGTGAAAAATCATAATTTTTCTTGGAAACCTCAATAATCAGATCAACTGCAAATTAAAATATTGAGAAACACGAAGGAATTGAAGAAGCCGATTTTGAGTTGGGACTGCATGATGACAAATCACCTCTGCAGGGCTAGCGGACACAACGCAGCAGCCCCAAAACTCTCCGTTTACTGTCGTTAGGTTGACACGTTGTAAATGTTAAACGGTAAACCTGAAAATGATAATGGCTGCAAGACATCACGTCGCTGTGTCCTGTGCTAGTTGTTACCATTCACTTACCCCCAAATTCCACTACCTCCGCTCCGCTGCGCTCCGCTCCGACACGAACGCCGGAGCAAAATCGGTCCCGTTCTAGTCAATCAGAGCAATTCCACTACTGCGGCCGTGCTCCGGCAGTGCGGCGCCGTGCGGCGCCCTCTGTTCCGGCGTCCGGCAAAAATAGAATCGATCCTATTTTCGCCGGACGCCGGAGCACCTCCGCAGTAAATGGACAGAAATCACAACGGCCCAACAGGAAAAGGAGCAAGCACATCTTCCGTTTTTCACAATAAATCGCTAAACAAAAGGCGTTTTTTGTTTCATATGCACAGGTTTAACAACTTTTAACAACTATCAATGGCGGCTGAAGTTTAAATGCACAAAAATAAGCCATAAATACAGTTGCCACTATCAAAGTAGTCACACTTTGTTGATCCAAACACTGCTGATCTCTCAACACAATGATGGGCAGATTAAACAGCTCATTTCCGATGCTTCTCCCGCACAACGGGTGTTTGGATCTAACTTCCGCGTTTATTGCTCGGACTGTATCGCAAGATCTCGAAAATCCCGCGCATGCTTGTTTGCCCCCCTCAGGTCTCCGCACCGGAGCGGAGCCGTTGTAGAGCGGGTACCAGTAAAAATTGAGTTCGGAAGCGAGCGGCTGCGGAAGGCGGGGGCGGACCGGAGCGGAGCGGAGCGGAGGTAGTGGAATTTGGGGGTTAGATTGTTTATGCTTAGCTAAAGGTAATGGGATATTGCCAGATGGACTGGTTACAAAATGTTCTTTCCCCACTTATCTAATATGGCAACAGACGGAGTCTCACCCTGGGGTGGGATATCTCTTTAAGCCTGCTGTGACGCCTATTGTTGTGCAATCAGTTTGTTGGGAATTCAGCACCAACTTTTGAGTGGAGGAAGCTTTGGGTTTGCAGACTCTGAGGTACTGCAGAGGTTACATTGCAAACTAAAAACATTTGTTCTATCCCAGCTTGTGAGGAAAATAAAACATGCCATCATATAAACAGAGGAGCATGCTCTACGTTTACATTTTGCTTAGTGCATCACAAAATGCTTTATGCATGGCACATGCAGTACAAATAAAGGGTTTTCACAGAGCAGAGTCAGCATGCACGTCCCGTAACAGCATTTAGATGCAGCTCAGTCGTTCTACGTTGCATTGGAATACGTGAAAACACACACATCATCAAAAGAATGAGTATTGTGGAAGACGGTTGGCGTATTTGCAGAGTTGTCTGATGTTACAACCTGCAGGTTGATGCTTTTGTTCTATATGTGAACTCTGCAGTAACTCCAGACCCGTTCTGGTCACCAGATTGGTAGAGTGCACCGTCTTAGTGGCACATGCACTGAACTTAAAATAAAACCATTATTGTTCATTTCTCCACCCCTTTTCCTCACCCAGCCCCATGTGGGGGTCACTACTCAGCTCCAAGTGGGGTGATCCTGTCTCCTGGGTGGCCCGGCTACTACAAAGATTCCCTCAGCTGTGAGTGGGTGATTGAATCCGAGCCAGGACGTTCCATCAAAATAGCATTTGACAGGTGGGGAAACGTCATTTCTGATCATTTTCATCTCATATGGACTCTTAGAGCTGCGACCAAGTAGCTGTAATGGTTCATGAAAGCTACCATCTGATAATTATTGAAAGACTTGAACTTTTTACCAAGAATAAAGGACCTCTTTAACTTTACCGGCCATAAAATCAAAACTGAACTTTCTTTGGCTTCTTATCTGAACAAGACACGGCGATGAAACGTTTCTTTAAATCTGTGATCCTTCACTCATAACCCGATCATCTGAATTGTCAAAGCGAGTTCTGTCTTTGGGAATTTTAGAAACATACAAGCTTCAGTGGAACATTGTGTTCTGACAGGTTCCAGACAGAGTTGGGCTACGACTTCCTGGAGATCCACGATGGGCCGAACCTCCTATCTCCTCTGGTTGGCTCCTTCAATGGCACCCAGGTGCCCCAGTTTCTGTTCAGCAGCAGCAACTTCCTCTATCTCCTGTTTACCACGGATAACAGCCGCTCCAATGTTGGCTTCAAAATACTCTACGAAAGTAAGTTGGAAACAAATACACCCCGTCTGCACGGTGGAAAACGTCGTCTCTGCCGGTCCTTTTGTAGAAATAATAAATATGTGTGCACAGTGCATAGAAAGTGAAAGAAAATGTGTTTTTAGAGACACTTTAGTCGCAGTAGGATTCTGATTGCTCTCATGATAAGAGAGTATGGCTTGACATGGGCCGATGGCCCACCCATTCAATTCAATTCAATTCAATTCAATTTTATTTATATAGCGCCAAATCACGACAAGAGTCGTCTCAAGGCACTTCACATAATAAACATTGCAATCCAGGTCAGTTCATTAAGCCAATCAGAAAATTTTTCTCCTATATAAGGAACCCAGCAAATTGCATCAAGTCACTGACTAGTGTCAGTGACTTTACAGCAATCCTCATACTAAGCAAGCATTTAGCGACAGTGGAGAGGAAAACTCCCTTTTAACAGGAAGAAACCTCCAGAGGATCCTGGCTCAGTATAAGCAGCCATCCACCACGACTCACTGGGGATCGAGAAGACAGCACACACACACACACACACACACACACACACACACACACACACACACACACACACCAAGCAATGTGTCTATGGTTACATTGTGATTTCTTAGTAAATTTTCTAGTTGGTGGGAGATAAACTTTATTGTATTTATCCCAGTGGATCCATAATTAAACGGATAAACTAGTAGTAGCACATCCAACGTCAAGGAAAGCAAAAAGTTATTATCAGGAGAGGGAGAATGTTTAAGTGGTTAGCAGCAGTGTGCTAGACGATGGCCCCCTCCATGAGGCCACCACAGCTCAGCAGAACGTCGTTGTAGCTTCTTCTGGGGAGAAAAACACTTAGAGAGAAAATAAAGTTAACAGCTGAGATTGCAGGAAATAATACAGTTAAAGAGCAGATTGTAGAAGAAGGTAGTCGAGTGTGAAAAGTGGTCAGTGTATCCTCCAGCAGGTCTTGTGTTAGGGTCGTTACCTGTAGGACAACACACAACAATGATTGGTACCTTTTGTTACTGAAACTGTTTTCATTTGTTTTCCAGGTGTTACAGTGGACAGCTACTCCTGCCTGGATCCCGGGATTCCTGTGAACGGAATTCGATACGGACAAGACTTCTCCATCGGGTCAACGGTGTCGTTTGGCTGTGATTCGGGCTACAGACTCAGCCACGAAGAGCCGCTGGTCTGTGAAAAGAACCACTGGTGGAGTCATCCTCTACCAACTTGTGATGGTAAATTTCTGCAGAGTGATGAGTTTTTTCAGACCAATGTTCACTATACAGCAGTGCTACTCACTCCTGGTCCTGCAGGGCCGGTATCCGGCACGTTTTAGTTTCAACCCTGCTTCAACGCATCTGACTTCGATCAGCAGGTGATTAACAGGCTTCTGCAGAGCCTGATGAGCTGCTGCAGGTGGAGCAGAGAGAAAAGGAACACGTGCCGGATATCGGCTCTCCAGGACCAGGAGGGAGTGCATCTGAATCTATTGTTGTCATTTAAAACACACAATAATCCTACCCTGCATTTTAGCACGCACAAGCGAGAACTATGGCAGTTGCAGCAGATTATAATTTAGGAGGAACATCTGAAAGCAGTAGGCTCTCTTTGCAAGTCAACTTTTCTGCTGTGTTCAGTCCTGCCTGTCAGGTTAATTTATCCGATCTGGAAAGCGTGGATGTGCGTGTTCATCCGTAGTTTTCGGAAAGATCTCATTAAGCGCTGAACAAAATTCTAAGGAGGTCTTTATTAAAGGTCCACATCCAACTTATGACGGATGTGCAGGAATCTGTTTCTGAAACGCGCCGATCTACGTTATGTAGAAAATCGGTTAAAAAAAGCTGACACTGAACATCCCTAGTGTCAACGTTTACCCTTTACTCTTTTTAAAGTGCCACAAATTCAGAAATCAGAAGTTATGTGTGTGTTTCTGGAGGAGTTATTTGGGAAGTGTGATTGCTGTAAGAATTAATGAAAAAAATTAGATTTCCGGGTTTAAATGCGGTGAGTTTACTGCTCGAGCGTGTAGCCGTGCATTTGGAACACACGTGTGCCTGTGATGCTCCCATCCGCACGTCACCCTCAAATCAGCAGCTCGGGGGCACGCGAGGAGGTGACGAGGAGATGGAGCGGGGTGGGGGGCAACCTGTCTCTCTCCTTCGCCGTCTCTCGCATTTCCAATCACAGTGGTGCAGGAAAGGTGGGAGGATAAAAAAAAAAAGACAGATGCGTCACCGCTGCATCACTTTTCCGTGGCAGCTTCCTCGGTGTGGCTCGCTCCATCGTGAATCTGAATGTTCCAGAGCAGCTCTCCTTCCTCCGAAGGCAGCTGGAGCTCATCAGCATCACGCACGCCGTCTGAAGGAGATCTTGGGTCTGTTTTCCATGATGTCAGTCAGACAAATGTTTCTGATCTACATTTGCACTTTATCTGATGGAATTACACGACCTCATTTAAAGGAGTGTATTGACCACCTTCCCTTAGGTCCATTCATTACAAATTAAATTCATTCTTTACACTTTTGAGTTTTATTGGTTATATTTTGATTTAAATCTAGTCTTGTTTAATCGATACAATATATACGGAGTATCGGAGAAGGACTTTGGATAAGGAGTTAGAGAAAAAGACCAAAAGTAAAGAGATGGAGAGTAATGCAGTGTTTCAGCCCTCACCGTAGCTTCATTGCAGAAAGTCGTTAATTATTAATAATCCTGTGTGTTCCTGTCTGACGTGTGTTTTTTTATTGTTGTTCTGGCGTTTCAGTCTGCAGATGGTGTAAAAATCAAGCAGACCCACAACGGTCGAGCATCCTGATGACTTGTGGTTTGAGCTGTCTTGATTCAAACGAACAACACGTGCAAATTTTAATCTCGTGTTCATTCACATGACTCTTTACACTCCCGACATCACAGCCTTCGGAAATGTCTAAAAAAAAGTTGAGCACAACTTTTAGACCGCCCACGCTTCCGGTGAACTTTTATAGACGTTATTGTGAATTCATTCAGCCCTCCACCACCGGATTCCTCTCCGTAAACCCGACAGGACAGAGCTGGAACGAATCCCCTTGCAACACTGTTGAAAATGCATAAAAGCACCATCCTGCAAGCTTTTCCTACCGGATATCTGTACGGGTGCAGCTGTCCCCCCATGCTCCGTCATGTTCGGACACTTCGAAGCTTTGAGGTTCCAACCGAAATGGTGAAAAAAAAAAAAGGTGTATTATTTAAAATCCCAGGAAGCATTTGTGCTGAGTCATTGAGCTTATTCTCAGTTTTAAATCACCGTAATCATAATTGACCAAAAAAGGCAAAAGTTACGTAATAGTTTGCTCTAATTGTGCAGCAGTTGCACAATAATGGGAAAAAATAAACCCATTTTTAGATTAAATATATTTATTTTTTCTCTGAAAGTAAGAAAAACTACACTTCCTGGTTGCCTTTTATGTAACAAGAATATTTGCATTTTGAGTATAACTCCTATTGTGAGTTGTCCACACGCTCCTCTCTGCATGTTTAAGGTTCTTTGTTCTTCCTTCACGCTGCTCTTAAACACAAAGCTTGCTCCTTCATTTCTAACCAAGAAAAAAACAACATTTTGACTAATTAATTAGACTAAATGAAAAGATGCAACGCCAGAAATGGTGGTCACTCACCAATATCAGGAGATTAATTAGCACCAGCAAAGCCGGAGTTGTAATGGAAGCGAACTGCTTGTGTGTGTCGAGTCGGGCCTTGCATGCAGATTTAATGGCGTGTATTCTTGACCGGCTTGGAGCTGTGTGTTTGTAGCTCTGGGATGTTGTTTTGGAACAGTGAAGGTCAGTGATGGAAGCTCCTGAAGACATTGACCTAGATGCTGCTGTGACATTTGTCATTCCATAAATGATTAAGAAAAAAACACACACACACACACACACAGAGGGCTTTTACCCTCCGAGGAAAGGTTTTTATTTTTCTACCAAATGGAGCAATAGTGGTGTGAGTCGGAGCGATAGTTGGTTCATCTTTTGAAGGTGGGTGGGTTGTTTAAAAAAATTCCAGTCGGCAAATTTATGGTTATAGAGAAAACTGTTTGTACTTATTATTTTTCTTGTTTCATATCCTAATCAGTGTTTTTTGCTGGAGCAGCCGAGTGTGAAGCAGCTGGTGTTAAAATCAGCTCCGCTAAACCCGAGATAGGCCCCATGCGGAGGAGTTTAGGCATCTCAGGGTCTTGTTCACGAGTGAGGGAAAGATGGACGGATTGGTGCTGCGTCTGCAGGGATGCGGGAGTTGTACCGTTCGATCTACGTTCCTACCCTCTCTACGTTGGGTAGTGACCGAAAAAACAAGATCGTGGATACAAGCGCCCAAAATGAGTTTTCTCCACAGGGTGGCTGAGCTCTCCATTAGAGAGCAAGTCACCCCCAAATCATCTTTTTTTTCTGATAAGCTATATAAATGCGTGTCTAATCGTGCTGCAGACACGTGTAGTCAATAGTTTTGCACTTTAGTGTATTTTAGTTAAAATTTAAATTTTCTGCCTGAAACTGGCAGTGTTGTGCCGTTGTCAGGTAAAAACTCTGCACTGCATTTGAATTTAAATCTGCCATCGCTATTGGCTAAGAGGTATGCTATGATGTAAACTGGTATATTATGATGTCACAATGTCGTGAGTGTGTGTATTTGTTAGTGGCTCCACCCTCTCGGTCTGCTAGGCAACAGCATTTGTTGCATTTTTCAAACATGAAGTGGGAGTGGAGTACGCTTCTTGTAAAGGGTGACTTGCTCTTTAAGGACTCTTAACTAGTTGCTGCTAAACGTTTCAGCCTCTAATCCTCAAAATAACGGCAGCAGGGATATCTCAACCCAGAGACACAAATTTGTTTATTTCAAACGTATCAAATAACAGAGAAAATGCTTCAGCACTAATTATGTTGTTTTTATCTCTACAGTGTTTATTTTTAAATCCTTGTACCAAGTTTCAGAACAAAACATTAAATCTGTGTTTTACAACCCACGAGGTTTCCTGACCCCAACTGTGTACACTGCTATTCTAAAGTTATTAAAAAACATAAAATAAATAAGTGTAGAGGAGTGTTTGGCAGCCTTCATATCATTTCTGTCATTGTTTCAGCACAAATCTGAAATCTGGGTGTGAGTATTTAGTGGGATGTACCCTTCCAAAGCTTTTAACCCACAACTCTTGGATCTCTGTGTGCCTCTCTGCCTCCCTCTCTAATGCTTGCACCACTTGTGTGTGGGAAAACTCGTGAGTACGCCTCATAGAGGTGGCATTAAAGGTCCACGGGGAAGCATTATCTGTTTTAGCAATCAACAATCTGTTGCCAACTCTCCCTCTCTCCCACTCTGTCTCTCTCAATCTATTCAGCCCTGTGCGGTGGTGATGTTAGAGGTCCCTGGGGAACCATCCTCAGTCCCGGCTATCCAGACAGCTACCCTTCATCTCTCAACTGTACCTGGACTGTTGAAGTCAGTCATGGAAAAGGCAAGGGACACACTGATTCACACTCCCTAATCGACAGAGACAGAGCCACAGGACACGGCTCAGTTACCTCCAACTCCACCACAACTCGCAATTTATGAAGTTTGTTTCAGGGTCTAAAAGAAACATACTTAATAAAGTTAACTGCACTTAATAAGTTATTGTCGTGACGATAATTTGTGGTCCAAGAGTCCGATTTAATCCTACTTTTTTTGTTTTTGTGTTCCCGAACAGGAGTCCAGTTTCAGTTCAACTCCTTTCATCTCGAGGATCAACACGACTACCTCTTGGTTACTGAGAATGGGAGTTTCCAGCAACCGCTGGCTCGTCTGACCGGCAACGAGTTGCCTAGCAACATCAATGCCGGTCTCTATGGCAACTTCAAAGCCCAGCTACGATTCATCTCTGACTTTTCCATCTCATACGAGGGCTTCAACATAACTTTTTCTGGTATTTCACCTCAGCATATCACATTCCTTTTGCACTATTATCCTCTGCCGGTCTTGTCTCGGCTCTAAGTTTTTGTTTTCCTCCTAATTATGAAAAGAAGAAAGTAAAGCTATTTGTTTTTCAAAGGTAAAATGCATCTTAAAGAGCAAGTCCCCCCCCCCCCCCCCCCCCAAATCAACTTTTTTTCTGATAAACTATATAAATGCGTGTCTAATCGTGCTGCAGACACGTGCAGTCAATAGTTTAGCACTTTGGTGCATTTTAGTTACAATTTTAATTTTCTGACCAAAACTGTCAGTGTCGTGCCGTTGTCAGGTAAAAACTCTGCACTGCAGCTGGATTTAAATCTGCCATCGCTATTGGCTAAGAGGTACCCTAGAATGTTAGCTGGTACCATATGATGTCACAATGTTGTTGTGAGCCTGTGTTTGTGTGTATTAGTTAGCAGCTCCACCCCCTCGGTCTGCTAACCCTAACCCTGCTAACCCTTTGTTGCATTTTTCAAACAGGAAGTGGGAGCGCAGTAATACTCTGATAGGGGGTGACTTGCTCTTTAAATGTTGTGAGCGATGAGGAATGAGTTGGTGTCGAGCTAAATAAAATTAAAAGCAGTTTTTTCCCCACCGCAGTGAAGAAAATCAAGTTTTTAACTAAACTAGAGTTTAACTGGGTTCAAGTCTTAACAGTGCACGAGTAATAGTTGCAATACAAAGGACAATGGAAGATCATTTACGTACTCTAAATTGATTTAGTGTTCAGTTTAAGACATTTTATTTAGTTATCAAAGAAATCTAAAAATCAATTTAATTAATTTCTTTTACTTAAGACTTGAATTCTTCTCTTTCCACTTTGCCACCGCACTTTTAACAACAAGGGAGATGGGGTTAAGGGGCAGAGCTGGCAGAAACCGGGTCAGGGCGACATTTAAAACAAGACCCTCTGCCTGATTACCCTTTCAGTGCTTTCTCCCGCTTGAATAAAGTAGGACTTGAATCCAAGTCTGTGCCGAGGGAAGTTTTGTTGCCTCCCAGATGGTATGAGCTGATGCTCGGAATGTAAAACACCAGACGTGTCACAAGAGATTCGATTTGAGCTCACGGGGAGAAAATAATGAAATAAATCTCCTGATGTGTCTTGCTAAGCATGCTCTACAGCTGATGCCCTGTTGTTTTTGTAGCTTAACATTTTGTTTGCTAATTGTTTGTCACAAATACATATTATTGGATTTGTTTGTCGAGCTTTTTAATCCTGAGAGTTCTGTTTTTTTTAATACTCTACAAACGCCAAATCAGATCATTAATATGAAGTTTTAATTTTTAACACTTACGCCAATTCTAAACTGCTTTCCTGTGTGTGAACTTGTAAGTGAAGGAACAACCAGAAAAAATTTAGTCCAGATATATTTAAAGGAGCAATGTGTGAGAATTTTACAGAGCAATAATCACAAAACAGTCTTAACGTCTCAATCATGTTAGAATTAATGTTACATTGAACAGATTTCCTTCTCAACAAGCTGGAGGTTGTTTTTTTACTTTGATTAAAATTAGAGGAACGCAGTCGCTCTTTACAATCTTTGAGCCCGTGAGGTTGTTGAATCTGCGCCGAGCTATCGCTGCAGCGCCGACATTTGTAATCCGACACCAGCAGGCTAACAGCTCCAGAAAAGTCTGAATAACTCAAGCTAGTAAACAGGAGCGACCCAGGCGTTATTTCTTGTAACCTTAAGAAGCTGTGACATATGTTTGTTTTACTCTAATATCTGGTAAAGAAAGCAAGAGGCTAACGTTTATCTAATATTGTTAAAATTAGAAGCAAATAGTCGGCTCCAAATAGATCTCAGGCTACTTTATTAATCACCAGTAACTCAATGTAACAGTGAAATGTATGTAGGAAGTGCATAATGAGTCAATCGTGACATTAAACTTAAGCTAGTTTTCCAGGAGCACTACTCAGAGTAACTCAGACCGGCGCAGCTCGGCCTGACCACTGCTCCCAAGGGCGCCACACATTCTCACACCTGAAGCGTCGAAAAACGACGATGGGTGGCCAAGCGTTTGTTTCTGACGCGTTGGGAGCCCTATCGGGAGGCGACGCGCTGTACCAGGGCGTCGTTTTCCGAATGCCACGGTAAAACAGACATTTCACTGAATTCTGACCTTTACCCTTTTGCTATTTAACCTTCCCCTCACGTCCATTCTAACCTTAACCCTCTCGCGCGTAATAACCTTTGATTCTTGTTGTAACGTCCCTCTCTGACACGGTTAACGGAAAGTTTGAGAAACTGGGTTAAGGTTAGGATGGGGGTGAGGGGAATGTAAAATATGTAGAGGTTAGAGGTTAAATGTGCGTTTTACCTCAGGCATCGTCATGTTTCGATGCTTCTGGTATGAGAATGTGTTGAAGGGCACGGTTCGGTATTTTCCCTCTTCTTCGCCCATATTTTTAGTCCCTGCTTTGTTGAGGTACCTGGCAAAGCTGAGTTGGGCCAGCATCGTGACTCTCCGCTGATTGGCCAGGGGGCGGAGTCACTGGTTTCTCCAGAGCTGTTTCATTGCCTGCAGCTGTTCAAGGCGGAGTAGTGCTCTTCGAAGACCACCTTTATACGACTCTGTTGAGGCAGCTAATTGCATCCCCACATTAATGTTGCACATTGAAAATATTTACACAAGAATTTTTGCTGGAAGAAATCACTTTTTCGTTTTTCCTTCAGAATATACATTGGAGCCATGTGAGGACCCGGGAATGCCGCGATTCGGCAGGAGAAACGGATACAGTTTTGGAGTCGGGGACACTTTGTCCTTTTCCTGCAACATGGGATATCGCCTGGAGGGGGCGCCAGAGTTAGTCTGCCTGGGAGGAGGGCGGAGAATGTGGAGTGCTCCTTTACCTCGATGTGTTGGTATGTATGGCAGTCGATTTTACCAAATAATAGTGAGACAAGATCTACAAAGTGCAATGTTCAAAGTTAGAATTTCCTTTTTAAAACTAGCATTTCACATGGAATGACATTCATTCTGGTCACAATGAACTTAGGAAAAAAGCTCCGGTGCGCCTGTTTCAGCACGGAAAATTCAGCCAGAAAAGAAAGTAGCCTCAGCAGGATTTGGACTCTTATTTCCTGATATGTGTACATCTTGCCTCTGATTGGACAACAGCAACACAACTTTACTACTGACTCTGTTTGCTTTGCAACGTTGATGTTTTATCTCTACAAATAGCACAGGCCTGAAGGAGTTCTGCCGTGTGGAGAAGCTGCTAATGCTAACTGTTAGCTTCTCCTAATAAAGACGTTCTCTGGTGATTCCTGCATGCTTAAAACCAACAACAGCCTTTCCCGTCTAGAGTGAAGATGGGTGAGTCCATGAATGTTAAATGAAAGTATGATGTAGATCTGTCAGAATTTTCTTATCCTAGAGATTCACCGTCTATTTTGTACGAGAACCTAATGTAGGAGATAAGTGTAGGAGACTATTTTCATGTTCAGCCTGCATGAAAAACTCATTAAAATTAGAAATAATAAAAAAGATTCTCAGTGAAAGACCTTTTAATATTATTTTAAAAATATTCAAATTTGTTTAGAATTAGAAACTGTAAGGTATGCCATTTTAACATATAGCAGACTAAATGAGAATTGTTGCTAGTAACAACTAAATCTGAAATATGAGTTGAGTTGCAAACATTACAAACTAACAAAGAGCTAACAAATATTAAAGTTATGAATATTATAAATAACAGTAGTTAATTTGTGTACTGACGTGTACTGGTTTTTACATATTGAACACATTTTTACTCAGAAATGTAGGTGATTTATCAAAATTTTCATAAAAAACGAGACTCATGGATTGACAGATGGGAGATTAAAATTTGAGTAATCCTAATTTCTGTCCTATGGTTTTTTGGGAGAGAGTGCAGTCTGTTTCGTACCATTTTTTAGTCATCTTTGTGAACGTAATCTGAAATCATTAGCACACAAATGTTGCAGACGAGTGTAGTTTCACCACAAAGTTCAATTTTTCTCTGAGACGTTGTGACATGAAGAAAACTGATAAATAAGATAATTTAGTTTTCATTTATAATTCCCAACATTTACAGTAGAAACCAAATCAATCATGGACTTGGAAAGGAAAATGAAATAACGAGATTGTGAAATCAGATACAGCACAACACTCATTAATTTACTCCCTCATGTCCAAACGTATTCTAATTTGTGCAAATGAATCTAAATGATGGAAACAGAAATTGGAAAAACAAATTGGAAGAAGAGAAAAAGACAAGATTTACTTTTGTTGAAATGCGTGTGTAGCGTCTACAGTATATAATACATAGTGTCTCCATGAAAGAATATCATAGAATACTGAATTTCTGTATTTAGTTTAGAATGACAAAAATTAGGGTAATGTGACATCACTAGGGATTAGTTGGCTAATCTGAGGAGATTCAGTTTCTCATCTCTGACTCGCTACATGGAAGTGGACAGTTTCCCCCAAAGTAAATAAATCCGACTGGGCTGAGGTTTCCCTCCAGGCGCATGCATTAATCAGTACCAACATGGACTGGATTGAAATAAGCCTTTTTTAAATTTAATCCATGTAATTAGAGTACTCTACTCCAACAGCTCAGCATGAAAATGAACCACACCTGCAATATATATTTCTGTCGTCAATTCTTGATTTAGTGAAAAACCTTGAAAGACATAAAAAAAACAAGAAAATGTTTCGAATAAAATAAATGCACGAGTTTTTAAGGAAACATCGATGTGCTGAATTATCACAATATTTTATGCTATGACACTGAATCGATATTGGAAGGCATTTTTATTAAGAATTTACATCAGATCATTTACTTTAGTTCTTTAGTTTTAGGCAATTCAAACTTCTACCACTAGGTGGCAGCAGTTTTAACGCCTTCAGCCCGACAGAACAAGATATCTTCATAGCGTCGGATGTGTTTGGAAGTTTCTGAGTTTTTCTATTAAATTATCATCTGGATTTTGGTCTTGCAACATATCGTATCGTCTTTTCTGTATCGTGATATTTATCGTATCACCAGATTCTTGCCAGTACACACCCCTATTGCACAGGTGCCTTACTGTTAATGGTTAATCTGCAGCACAGCAGGCTCCAATAGCAGCGTAGAATATCAGCTGGGTTAAAGAATAACAACATATTTAACGGGAAAACTGGTTTAGCTCAAACCCAGTGTAAAAGCTCTTTATCTAATGAACTACACTGGCTGTAACTGTTGTTACGGTGGTTTGCATTTATTATTTTCACAATAGAATATTCAGAAAAGCTTGGACAGTTATATAAGAGGTTATTTTTTTATGTTCCCTGACCATTTTTGAACACTGTATTAGATTTTTGCTGATGAAAATGAGACTAGATAGGGACCGACAGCACATAAAGGCATAGCATAAATGAACAAGAGGGAGGATGGTGTAGGAAACTCCGGAGAAGGACTCAAAGAGGAAAGATGATTGAAATAGAGGCTGGTGATGGAGGCGCTATTGATATAAAGTGGAAGAGAGGGAGAAAGCGTAAGCATGAGGGAATTAAAGAGGAAAAAGGGAGAGGGTGGAGAGGTAATTTTCTAAATGGAAACTATAGCAGGGTGATTTATCGATGGTATGACAGCTGTAATGTGACTATTACACAAGTATGGACACAGAAAGGGAGAGAGGGAGGGAGAGGATGGGGACATGAATTCTGAAGATGGAGGGCAGATGTGAAAAGTTCAGAGAAGGAGTGTGTTTGAGCCAAATACTTGATGCATTGCAGCCTCAACATATGCAGAGAGCGGATAGTTTGGCTATTTTAAAAAGATTGTTAAATCGTTCTCATTCTCAGATAATGCACGAGGCACTTATTGACGTATTGATTCATTTTTACTGCTCAGAAGAAAGGATTGCCACTTCGAGGCCAGCCAGTGTTTTCCCACTGTCTGTTTAACAGGTGAACAACTTATCCAGCCTCCTCCGGATTATTCTAAATAATGTTCTGCAGTGTTTGCCTCTCCCACCCATTTAAAGTACTGTCACTTTTAATACTGCCATTAACTTATATAGTTTCTAAAATCTAAATTTAGGTGGAATAATTGTTTTTGACGCTTATAAATAGTTTTCAGAAGATGTTTAATTACCACTACTTTGTCCTGATTATTTCACTATTAAGCTTTCACTGTGTGTCGACACAGATGACAAAAAAATACATTATAAACAACGGTAACACTTCCTTTTACAGTCCCATAAATACTAAGTACTTACATGGTAATTGCATAAGAAGTTAAAGTGTATTATGATAAATGGCCTGTATTTGATATAGGAGAATAAGAAGAAAGTATCATTTCTATAGCGCCTCTCAAGTTAAAAATCACGAGGCGCCTATAGCGCCTTCTAGAGTCCTGGAACCCCCCAAGGCGCTTTACAACACAGTCATTCACCCATTCACACACAAATTCACACACTGGTGGGGATGAGCTACGATGTAGCCACAGCTGTCCTGGGGCGCACTGACAGAGGCGAGGCTGCCGAGCACTGGCGCCACCGGTCCCTCCGACCACCACCAGCACAACACATTCTCACACCCAGGGCGTCGGAAACAAACGCTTGGTCAGCCACCCTCCACGTCAGACCCCAGATGCCAAAAGTGCCCTTTTTCATTACTTATGTGCGAAATGGGTTTTTTCTAGGGCCGGGACTTTTAACGCGTTAATTACGATTAATTAATTAGAAAAAAATAACGCGTTAAAAAAATTAACTCATTTAATCGCAGCTTGCATTTCAAGCACGGCGGAACCTTTGTCATTGCACGATTTCCTCATAGACTGAATATCACTGACGCACACAACAATGCACAGCCGATGTGCACAGCGCTAATGGCTGCTAAAACGTAATAAAAACAGAAAGAAGTTGCCTTGCTTGGACTGATGCAGGATTTAGGAAACACGTCCGCCTCTTTTCTTAACTTGGGGAAAAAAAAAACTTCCAGACAACAACGGAGTCCATGCCGCGGACATTTTTCAGAGATCGTCTCTGCTGCAGCTGCCCGCCCGGTAGCACCGAAAACTTTACAAAAGTTGCGGTAAGCTATATTTTTAGCATTTACGTAACATCTGTGCAGCGCTGAAAGCACCAGACATAATAATTCTGTGCCCTAACAGTAGTTTATGAAAGTAGTCAGACAAACGAGAGGCACCTGGCTGCCGCTGGAGAACGCTCCGTGTTCTCCCTACTATGTAAACAATCACAAACAACGTGTCTTAAAGTTGAAAACAGAAGTTTCAGTTAAAACAGAAACACTCTGAAACTTTTCTTATGATTTTCTAAACAATTCTGTGGGGGAATTATATGTTTTTGAGACGAGTCTCTGTCTAAACATCACATGCATTACTATCATTAAGCAGCAGGTGTGTTGAAGCTGTCATCAGCTAAGGGGCGGATGCTTAAGTGCATCAGGGGCAGCGAGGAACGAGGAAGTTGTGATCAGGCTGGAGATCACACCAGATTCGCTGCTGCAGGCATGAATCTGCGGGTCTGCAGCATCCCCTTCTTAACGTGACATCAGGACTTCCCATGTAAGGAAGGTCCGCTCACCTGTTCGTCAGATCATCATTTCCTCGCCATGATCTTTTATCTTCCCATCAACCTCCAATCATCCAACTGGAACCAGTTAGTGTTCCTGATCATTCTCAGAATATGCCACGCCTGCTCTGGTGTTAAAAGTTAGTACATTTAAGTCCTAGATCATATTTGTGCCTGTTCTACTGTCATTTTGAAGGATTATTATTTATGTGTTTTACTACATTTTGAGTAGAAATACTAATAAAAACTCCCAATTATACAAACAAGTGAAACTGGAAAAATTAGAACCTGGTGCAAAGTCAAATTTATTTCAGTCATTCAACTAGACAGAGAGACTATTTAAAGGCTCAGGAACCTTTTGCAGGTGTTTTCTATTTGTAACTATAAATTTTAGTTGATTTGGGTTTTGTTTCATATCACACAGTGACATTTGAATAATTAAAATGCATTTTTTATTAAAAGCTTTAGTTTACAGTAATAACCATGTCTAATGTTTGATTCTCTATCTCATAATTTTAATTAAAAGTTTTACTTTGAGAGCACATTTTCCTGAACGATTAAAATGCGATTAATTGAGATTAATTAATTACAAAGCCTGTAATTAATTAGATTAAATTTTTTAATCAAGTCCCAGCCCTAGTTTTTTCCTTTTTGTAACTGCAGTTCCCAATGCAGCGTAAAACTGACGTGATTAGATATCCGCTGATGCGGCACAGAACCAGCTCATTTAACCGCACCTAAACCTTAACGTTTCACTATTTATAACCTTCCCCTCACCCTCATCCTAACCTTAACCCTCATTTAACCGATGCAGCACCGAACCGGCTCGTTTAACCGCACCTAAACCTTAAATGCGGCACCGAACCAGCTCATTTAACCGATGCGGCACCGAACCACCTCGTTTAACCGCACCTAAACCTTAACGTTTCGCTATTTATAACCTTCCCCTCTCCCTCATCCTAACCTTAACCCTCTTGCTACCTAAAACGTTACTCTCACTGCGATCAAGCATTTGTTTCCCCTGCATTCTGACTCTGACAGTCAGAGTCTGACTGTGAATTTTCGTATTTGCCGCCCAAGGGGAACGTTAAAACGTACCATCTGGCGAGGGGGAGGTTACACATACCCTCTACTTTTAACCTCCACCGTGGTAGTTGAAACCTCCCCCTCGCGTTGGCTCGGTCCAAACCCGACCAATCTCGAGGCGGCTCCCGCCGTTCACTTCATAGAGCCGGCTTTTAGAGCGATCGACACATCACCAACGTGTTCGCTAGCAAGATGGTTAAGGTTAGGATAGGGGTGAGGGGAAGGTTAAATAAGAGGATAAGGTTAATGTACAATGAGCTTGTTTGGTGCCCTGGCTGCGTACATCCCATCGCGTCAGTGTAATGCTGCATTGGGATCTGCAGTCAAATAAGGGAAAAACCCCTTTTCGCACATATGTAACGAAAAAGGGCACTATTGGCGTCTGGGGTCTGACGTGGAGGGTGGCTGACCAAGCGTTTGTTTTTGACGCGCTGGGAGTGAGAACGTGTTGACCAGCAGGCAACGTGGGTTGTGTCTTGCCCAAGGACACAACGACAGACTGAGCGGGGCTCGAACCTGCAACCTTCCGAATATGGGGCGAGCCTTTAACACCTAGGTGGCACTGTTTCTGAGTTCTTAAACAGTTATTACCATGTAACTCAGGTTTAATTCTAGTTTTATTGTTATTAATCATTCCCAGTAAATACTGTTTTACACAATAATTACTCTTTATTACAATTTTACACTTCAATTACACAATAATACGCTTGAACTTACTATGTAATTACCATGTGAATACTTAGTAATTAGGGGACTGTAAAAGGAAGCATTACCAAAACAACTTTTAAATACTTTTTTCCTGTGTTTTGTTGTCTAGCATTCTTGTTGGAATAATGTCGATGGAGATTTTCAAAAGCAAAAATGAAATGTTGAGATTTGCGCAGAAAGACCGTCAGCGGAATGGAACCAAACCGCTTTCAGAGTCATTTTGTGCAAAACTCAGATGAAAGGTTATCTGGTTATGAAGTAAACCTTAAAAGGTTTCCTAAAAATAAATATTTTTGAAATGGGATCAGCAGTGATGGGAATAACGTCGTTTCAAATAACAACGTTACTAAAAAAACAGTTTTTCAGTAACAAGTATTCTAATTAATCAACATCTTCTTTTATCATAACGCCATTTTCCGTTACTGATGAGGAAATGCGTGCGTTACTAATCAGCACCGTGGTGTGTTGAAGCTGTCATCAGGAGCTAACGAGGCAGCAGTAGCTCCACAGGTTGAGCGGGTTGTCCAATAATTGGAAGGTTTCAGTATAGCATCCATCACAGAGTTAGTCCTGGTAGATTGTAAGAATTTATAATTATAGAAATTAAAGATTCTTAAACGATCCCAACTCTCTCTTTTCTTGTCTCTCAGTCAATACAGAGTGTTTAAGTAAACTCTCTGATGATAAAAACAACCACTTCTGATTATAATATTTAGATCAAATTACAGTGTATAAATATACGAACCACAGATCACTACAGGTTCAATCCCGGCTCCGGACAGAGAATTCTGCTGTTGTGTCCTTGGGCAAGACACTTAACCCACCTTCCCTGATGGTGGTGGTCAGTGCTCAGCAGCCTCGCCTCTGTCAGTGCACCCCAGGGCAGCTGTGGCTACATCGTATCTCATCACCATCAGTGTGTGAATGTGTGTGATGGATGAATGATACACTGTAGTGTAAAGTGCTTTAGAGTGCTTACTCTGAGAGGCGCTACACAAGTGCGGGTCATTTATCATGTTTTCATCCAAGCGCATCACGGCCGTGAAGAACAAAGAAGATGTGATAATAGTTCCAGCTGCAGACCCGCAGATTCGCTGCTGCAGGCGTAAATCTGCAGCCGTACCATTCTTGGCGTGACTGCGGAACGTCCCAAAGGTCCGCTCACCTGTTCACCGCTCAGACGTCACGATCTTCTACCTTCCTAGATCATCCAACTGTAACCTGTTTCTGATCGTCTCTTTAGTCCAGCTGTAACATCTCCGACGTCATGGAGCTCAGGTGTTATCAGAACTTCCTGTGTGTGTTTACCACCCAGCTTCAGCTCTTCTGGGTTTGCGTCTGACCCAAGTTAGTAAAGTTAAGTCCTCCATCAGGCTTGTGCCTCTTCTAGTGTCATTTTAAAGGATTTTATTTATTTATTTACCCATTGCTAGATTACCAGCAACAGAAATGTTTCTAAAAACACACAATTATGGGAAGCTGAAAAATTAGAATACTGTGCAAAATCACATTTATTTCAGTAATTTAACTAGACTGAGAGACCATTTAAAGGCCCATGAACCTTTACAGGTGTTTCTATTTGCTATTATACATTTTAGCTGATTGGGGTCTTGTTACATATCACACAGTGACATTTTAATAGTCTAGATTAGTGTAATGTTCCAGTTTGTAGTTCCTCCTGTTAAACGCCCATTTATTTCAATTATTCAGTTTTATAACAAAAAACATTGGAGTACATTTTATTATGTTCCAGTCTCGCCATTTATATTTCAGTAATATAGTAAATTTAGCAAGTTTAATTAAGAAGGGAACCCATTTTTATTGCGTTCTTTAATGAAAAAAAGTAATAAAATAGTTATTTTTCTTAGTAATTAGTTACTTTTGTAATCTTGTAGTAGTAGATAAAGTAATCAGTAACTATAACTAATTACTTTTTAAAAGTAACTTTCCCAACACTGGTGATCAGTCACTTTGGGTTTCAAATGCAGGCTTAATGTGAAAATAGCCTTCTACCTCTATTTCCTGTAAGTTAGCATTCATGGACTCACCCATCTTGGCTCGCAGCGGAGGAGACTGCTGATGGTTTAGCCTCCAGGAGAGAGCAGAGCGTGCCTCGTCTAGTAAAAACGAACCGTTAGCATTAGCAACTAATCAACATGACAGAACTGCTTCAGACTTGTTAGTTGTGGAGATAAAGCATCCAGTGTTGCAGAGCAAACTGAGTCAGTGGTAGAGATGTGTTGCTGTTATCCAATCAGAGCCCAGATGTTTGAATACCAGGAAAAAAGACCTAAAATCTTGTCATCGTCTGCGCCGGCTAACTTCCACTTTCTGAAACAGGAGCGCAAGACTTTTTTCCACACAGAATCCCACTCACAAGGCATTCATTTATACTGGAGACCACTGCAAAAGTACTGAAAAAAGAAGTGAACTTGTCATTTTACCAAAACTTTCCCAAATGCTGCCAATGGAAGTTAAACCGTGTCTTTGTATTGTGTTTCTTCTTTAGCCGAGTGTGGTTCTTCAGTTGTAAATAATGAAGGAATACTCCTTTCTCCCAACTATCCACTGAACTACGACAACAACCATGAGTGCATCTACAGCATCCAGGTAGTCCTGTAACTTGTAGGACCTTTGGGTTTCTGTTCAATAGGGATGGTTTAAGCAGTATTTAAAAAGAGGCACCATGCATTCAAATGGTGCAATAATACAGTTTTAACAACAAGTGCAAACCGCCCGTGATCCTGGTCTGTAAGCCTGATCTGTATTCCATGTTGACTCCAGGTGCAAGCTGGGAAAGGCATCAACATTTCTGCGAGGACCTTCCATCTCGCTCAGGGCGATATTCTCAAAGTAAACAAACGCATATACTTACAGAGCTCTCAATGTTGTTCTTTCTACCCCAAAAAAAGTATTTAAAATGTTGTTTTGTTGCAGATTTATGACGGGAAAGACAACACAGCCCAGGTTCTGGGAGCTTTTACTGGGTCATCCATGTTGGGCCTCACTCTGATTTCCACATCAAACCACCTTTGGCTGGAGTTTTATAGTGATTCAGAAAGCACCGGAGAAGGATTCAAACTAGTCTACTCAAGTAAGTTTTGAAAGAAACTTCTCTTTTCATCCGCCTTTTTATTTCCTCTTGAAAGAACTTTGGGCATGGGAGAAAAAAAATCTCGTTTTTATTCACATGCGGCCTTCATTTAATCAGGAAACACTCGGGGAGATTAAAAATCTATTTTGCAAGCGCATGCTGGCCAAGACAGCAACACAGAAAAGGTTTCAGACGTGATTACAAAAATCAAAGCAATAAAAATAAACCCAAATTTTAAAAGCATTTACAACTAGATGTACTTGTCACCAACTGTTCTAAACAAACCACTTTAAAGTGTCCCGGGAGACCGGCTCGTGAAGCTTTAAGTCTAATTCCTCTACTGATTCCAGGAAGATGGATATTTAAAAAAACCCTCTTCTCCATTCAGGCTGGACTCTTGGGGCTGTAAGAAGGTAGATGTTCTGAGAGTGCGAGTGTTGTCTGGTTGATTCTTGCATGGAAAACAGTTGGTACTCACTCTTGTTTATGGCTCTGCACAAGCTTGTACATGTTTTTTTTTTTTTTGCTAGAATAAAAAAATGTTCAGCAAACCTTAGCAAACTATTGGAAATATTTTTGTAACAAAGGTCCTTGACTGAAAATCGTACAAAGTGAGAGCCTGATTGCAACACGGGGTTTACTTAGCAACACAGCTAATTATGTGGGTGGTGCCCCGGCAACAAAATGGGTATAAGTGCCTTTGTTAGTAACCAAGCTGTTGTAGTATAAATTACTATAGTATAAATATGGCCAGCATGTGCTGAGGGGACCCGTTTTGGTGGTCAGGTCTCTGCTTTTTGCAGATGAGGTGGTCCTGTTGGCTTCACCAGACAGTGATCTCCAGCTCTCGTGAAGCAGCTGGGATGAGAATCAGCTCCTCTAAATCTGAGACCGTGGTCTTGAGTCGGAAAAGGGTAGAATGCCTTCTCCAGGTCAGGGATGAGGTCCTGCCTCAAGCGGAGGAGGTTAAGGATCTCAGGGCTTTGTAGACGAGTGAGGGAAATGTAGTGCGGGAGATGGACAGGCGAATTGGTGCTGTGTCTGCAGTGCTGCAGGCGTTGTACCGGTCTGTCGCGGTGAAGAGTTGGAAGGCGAAGCTCTGGATTTACCAGGTGATCTACGTTCCTACCCTCACCTATGGTCACAAGCTTTGGGCAGTGACCAAAAGAATGAGACCGCAGATACAAGTGGCCAAAAGGAGTTTTCTCCACAGTGTGGCGGGGCTCTCCCTTGGAGATAGGGTGAGAAGCTAAAGTGACTTCCAATTTTTGAGTGAATGGACCTAATATGCGTGTTTTTGGACTGTGGAAGAAAACCCACTTTTCCAATGGGAGAACATGCAAACTCCACGCAGCAAAGGCCACAGACCGGATTCAAACCTGCAACACTTTTGACTGCAAGGTAACACTGCTACCAACTATGACCCCTTTTTTGTTTCTGTTCAACATAATAGGTCGTACTTGAAACCTGAAGATAAAAACGAATTTGTCGCAGTTAGTTAAAGCTTCCAAAGAGTTCCTGCATCCGTTGGTGCTCGCCTGTCCTCGACAGTCCGCTCTCATCGTTGAAATTAGAAGCTCTGCTCTAATTACGCTTCACATGATTGCATGACCAGGTTTGCATTGTTCTTTTTGAATGAACGGAGGATTTCTCTGCACCCTTCTCATAATTTAGCTAAGTATTTTTTGGGGGGGTGGGAGAACATTAGCTTAAATAGCACTGCAGCATTTTTCTGTTCGTATTTCTGTGCTACAATTTGATATGAAGACAGGGTATCCGCGGGTCCTTAAAAAGTCTGAAAAAGTCTTAAATTGGCTTTTCTAAATTTAAGGCCTTAAAAATCCTTAAAAGTGACAAATAATCCTTAAATACAGTTTCCAAAGGTCTTAAATTACCAAAGACCCAATGAACCAGAATTTCTAGTTAGTCTTCAGCATTTTTTTTTTGTATGATGTTGGCGTAAGCGGAACCGTACACATTCAGTTGGTTGTGAAAGAGGGCTATTTTTAGATGAGCACATTAGCTGGTTAAGCTAGTGGGAGCTTGCGCCATGGGAAAGTGCAAGTTTAATGGTAATTGGGTGGGTAATCCCACGTTTGCGATGTGGTTAGCACCGGTTCCAGGCAATAGCTGGAAATTATAGCTTCAATTTAATTAAAAAAAAAATAGCTTAAATTTGGTCGAAGCGGCCTTAAAAAAGGTCTTTAAAAGTCTTAAATTCGGCTCCCTTAATCCTGCAGATACCCTGGAAGAGTAAAAGCTGTAATCGAGTATAAATCTCGATAGATTTCAATGAATAATTCATTCTCTTTTGTTTCCGTACACATGTTTAACAAACAGAGTCATTTCAGATGGGTAACGGTGCCCTGTAGATCTCTGGGTGATGATAGATGTGTTTCCGTTGCTCAGTGGTGAAAGCTCGGTTTTCCAAATGACCACGTTTAAAGATTTAGACACGCCCCTACATCACTGCCCGGAGAACAGCTCAAAACACGGCCGCCACCTTGTCTTCTGGGTAATGTCGTAGATCAAATCCTGGTTATGGTCTTGTAAGGATATTTATAAATCTATTCAAATCCTACGCTGGAAGACTGTGCGCTAACTGAATATTCTGAATATTACCATGGAAACTGAGCTCAGAGAGTGAAAAACAACCTTAAATTGGATAAAGTGTACACATGTTCCTGTATCACTCCTAAATGGTATGCATCGTGTATCCTTTTTACAGAGTTGCTGATGCCAGCTTGGTTGTAAACAAAATACTTAAGTGCACCAGATTTTAAGGAGATATCGCCATTCATTTGGGGAAAAATACATTTGTTTCCTCATATGGGCTTTGCATTTCCCATTTGAAGTTTTTTTTAAGTCCACTCTGAGTATTTTTCGCCCTTTTCTCCAACCAGGTTTCGAATTATCTCACTGCGAGGACCCCGGCGTGCCTCAGTTTGGCTTCAAAGTCAACGACCAAGGCCATTTCTCTGGGAGCAGCATCACATACAGATGTGAGCCAGGGTACACGCTGCATGGGGCCACCACACTGAAGTGTATGACTGGTGAAAGGAGAGCTTGGGACAACCCTCTGCCTTCATGTATCGGTAGGTCTTTGAAATGTGAATCAGTTACTCTTGGAAAATCGGTGGTCTCAAACTCCGGCCCTTGAGGGCATCGCCCAGCATGTTTTAGTTGTTTCCCTGCTCTGACACAGTTGATTGAATGGTTGAGTCACACCTTAATCACCTGCTAATGTATACAGGTGGTTTTAAACAGCCCTCAAAGACCAGAGTTTGAGAGCTAAGCCACAGACATAATGGCACTTAGCTACACATTTTATTTTACTCAGTGGAAACATTTTAGGGACAAAAACCCAATGTTGTATCCGCAGTAGCTGCAACTCCGCCAAGGCTGCCCTTTGTCACCGATTTTGTTCATAACAATTATGGACAGGGTTTCTAGGCACAGCCAAGGTGTTGAAGGGATCCGTTTAGGTGGCCTAATTATCGAGTCTCTGCTTTTTGACGATGATGTGGTCCTGTTGGCTTCATCAGAACGTGATCTCCAGCTTTCGCTGGAGCGGTTTGCAGCAGAGTGTGAAGCAGCTGGGATGAGAGTCAACTCCCCTAAATCCAAGACCATGGTCTAAAGTCGGAAAAGGGTGGAATGCCTTCTCCGGGTCAGGGATGATGTCCTGCCTCAAGTGGAGGAGTTTTAGTATCTCAGGGTCTTGCTCATGATTGATGGGCGGATCGGTGCCGTGACTGCAGTGATGCGGGAGTTGTACGGATCTGATGTGGTTAAGAGAGAGCTGAGCCAGAAGGCAAAGCTCTTGATTTACTGGTCGGTCTACAGTCCTGCCCTTACGGTCACAAGCTTTGGGTGGTGACTGAAAGAACGAGATCGCGAATACAAGCGGCCGAAATGAGTTTTCTCCACAGGGTGGCTGGGCTCTCCCTTAGAGATAGGGTGAGAAGCTCGGTCATCTGGGAGGGGCTCTGAGTAGACCCGCTGCTCCTCCACATCAGAAGGAGCCAGTTGAGGTGGATCGGGCATCTGGTCAAGATGCCTCCTGGACGCCTCCCTGGTGAGGTTTTCCAGGCACGTCCAACCCAAGGGAAGATGCTGGAGGGACTATGTCTCATCTGGCCTGGGAACGCCTTAGGATTTCCTGGAGGAGCTGGCCCAGGTGGCTGGAGAGAGGGAAGTCTGGGCCTCTCTACTCAGCCTTGTTTTAGCCCAGAACTAATATTCCGTCGATCAAATCACATTGCAGAGATTTCCTGGGCCATCTTAAAATGTGCCAAACAAAAAAATAAAATATCATAGCCTAGCATAGAAAACCGAATCATATTATAGGGACGCAGCAATTAAAACACACTTCATTTTAACGCAAACACTTTCAACAGCAACATTTGTTATTGCACAGTGGAAAGATTACACCGTTTTTCTGTTTTCGGCAACATCTCCGCTTACGGAAGATCCTCTCAATAAACTGGAAGCAAAACAGATGGGAGGCCAATTTCTTTTTGAATTGCCTTCTTGATTTCTTACGTTTACCACAAACTGTTGAGAGTTTAAAGTCCCAGTGAAAAACCAATTTATTTAGGATTACACCACCTGGATGCTTTCTGTCCAACACAAACAACCGTTTGCCTGTAGTGGGCAATTTTATCTTGTGTTTCTGGAGGCTACATTCATGTATGTTCAGCTCTCAGACATGCTCTTACACACACACACACACACACACACGCTTCCTACTAACTCCTATTTATGTGTCTGTCTAAGCAACCATCCCTTTTTCTTCGAATTGACCCATAAACTACTTTTAATCAATTTGCTTCTTGCTACAGACACATTTATCAAAGCAGCAGTTCTTTTATGGAAACGATAAAACACGCTGGGAAGTACACCCCCCTTTGAACATTGACACATTTCTAAATATTCTGTTATAACATCATTGCCGTTTTAATGTCTCTAAACAGATGGGACATCATACAAACAAATATTGATGTCAACAAATCGATTTTCTTTCTCAGGATTTTGCACTTTAGCTTTTCACAAATACACACCGACATGAAAAGAAAGGGTCGTATACACAAAAATATGATGTCGCGAAACTATGAGGTACAATTTGCTGCTAAATATATGAACCAATTTATTTTTTATACAATATAAAAAAGAAAGTGATAAACTGTGAAATAGTACAATATGAAATTAAAATAGAATTTGATAAAAAATACAAGCTAATCAAGACGTTTATCAGAACGATTTATAAACAATACAATATATCGCACTAAAAATTTCAATTGGAAATAACCAATATTGGTTTTCAGTCTTAAATACATACCATACACACATTATACATCAAACTCTTCAGCTACTTTTCCTCTCTCTCAAAATTAAAGCATATGAGAGATTTGAAGTAAAGTTTATGAAATAGTTCAGTTTGTTTGGCACAACTTGTAGGAATTAGCCCTGTGTGAACATACGCTGCCCTCAACACATAGCTATGTGTAGCTAGCCAGCTAGCAACAAAAACAAAAACAAGATTCTTATTCCAAGGTTTGATTTTCTTATCTGAAGATCTTTATGAATGTTTTATCATAGCTGCAATATACAGAAAAAGAAAAAATGCATTACTAACTAATACACACATCTTAGTGTCACTCTTAAGGAGAATGACTATTACTACTATCAGCCTACTACTACTACTACTACTACTACTACTACTAATGAGATTCTGCTTTTGGAGACAAAATAAATGTGGCACTTTTCCTATTACTAACTTAAATGGAGTAGTTGTAAATGTAGGCATGCATAATAGGAGATATGTGGTGTTAGTAACATAAAATGTTTTAGTCTTTCTTTTTTATGTGAGTACACATCATATTGGAAATTAGGACTAGGAAATATGCATATATCTGTAAAAACAAAATAAAAAGCCAATACAGAGTATCCATAGTTGGATGTTTTTGCGTAGAAACATGGTGGTGCTATATACTGTCTCTGCCGGGCCAAAACCTTGAATCTCCTAAAATCTAACGTTTTAGTTCAGTAAAGTCTTTTATTTTTCTTTTACATGAAATTAACAGTTTAGTCACTAATCCTGTGACACTTTTACTGGATCGTCATCCATGAAAACAACCACAGATGTTAAGGGTGACCCATGGAGTTCAGAAACTTCTAATGAGGAATGAAGGAACAAGGATTTGCCTGACTGATTGTATACTATATGATAAATGACCACAGTTGTATAGCGCCTTTCAGAGTCAGAGGACTCCAAAGCACTTTACACTACAGTGTATCATTCATCCATTCACACACACATTCCCTGGTAATGAGCTACGATGTAGTCACAGCTGCCCTGGGGCGCACTGATCTCCACCAGCAGTGTCTTGAATCTGCAACCTTCCGATTGTTGGACAGCCTGCTGTACCTCCTGAGCTTCTGCTGCCCCCACGATACTTGATGGACCAGATGCACTGTGCTACCAAACCCATTATTGTCCCTGTACGTTACATTTCATCTCATACGCTGCCTTTATTAAAGCTGCATAAATAAGTTATTTAGTGCGCCCTGTTGCACCGCTGCAGTAACATCGTTTAATTAGGCCCAAAGAAAGGCAACGTCATTTCAAAGGGACGAACAAAATGTCTGCTGCAGTTTAGGACCCAGCCAAACACTTGAAAGACCTTTCTTTCCTCATTCCCTCCTTTCAACTTTTGGATTTTGAACTCAGCTTAATAAGACTCCCTCCTTTTTCACTATTAATAATGAAAGACTCATAAAACCACTGGCTAAAATTCTCTGACTTTGTATTTTAGCAGTGACACACCGTGACCTCATCCAACCGCCAGTCTTAATATTGTATTTCTTATTATTATTGCTCAGGTTCTCCTTCTTTACCCCCGTTGGTTCTTTTTTAAACTCCCCTTCCCTTTGCCTATAGTCTTACGGCGTCCTCTCTTTATATTGCTCCTGTTACACCAGATAATGTATTCAAGTGATGAGGAGCCCGAGGGAGGAGGGACTTGCAGAGGGAGGAACAGCAGAGAGAATGAAGATTGCGAAAATATATAACTGAGAGAGACAAAGTGGGAAAGAGGAATTATTTTAGTTATATAATGTGATGTGATTCCTTCAGGGAGGAATGCAAGATCAGCACTTTGTTTCTTCTTCCTGCTCATCCGTCTTCCGCTCCACTCTTAATGTTCTGCTGGGACAGAAAAAAACCAGAGAGACGGCTTGACGCAGAGGTGGAGCGGCGGCTTCGTTTTTAATCATCTGCTTTTTTTCTTTGGTGATCATTTAGCGGCCCCACGGGTCCACCTTGTGGGTTTGAATGTCTAAATAAACAATTGCCTCAGACAGATAAATGGTTGACTTGTCGTCGCTCTGGAACACACTGGGATGTCTTAGTTCATGTCATTCGTGGGACGTCTGCGACGGTTGTGTAACATCATGTCAGTGACATTTCACACAGTATTCATATCAAAAGGGATTCGGTGTATTTTACGTGTTTTTTATCTGTCCTGCAGCCGAGTGCGGCGGACGCTTTAAAGGCGAGTCCTCCGGGAGGATTCTTTCCCCTGGATACCCCTTTCCTTACGACAACAACCTCCGCTGCACCTGGACCATCGAGGTGGATTCAGGGAACATCGTGAGGTAAAGCGACCTTTTCAAAAGAAGGCTTTCCTTTAAAACGTCATTATTTTTAATCGTATAAACACATTATTACAGCCTGCAGTTCCTGGCCTTCGATACTGAAGCCAGCCACGACATGCTGAAGGTTTGGGACGGCCCACCTGAGAATGAAATGTCTCTGGCTGAGCTCAGTGGGTCTCTGCTCCCGGAGGGAATCCACTCCACCCTAAACACCGTCACGGTTCAGTTTGAGACCGACTTTTACATCAGCAAGTCGGGATTTGCTATTGAGTTCTCAAGTAAGTAAAACGAATCAAATATTGAACACGTACGTTTGCTCTTCCCCAAAGTAGAATCCCGTTTATTTAATTAGACCTAAAATAAAATGTGTGTTAGCCACTTCATCTCACCCATGAGAGAAAAATGAAAACCATAAGAGAGCTCTGCGGATACGGAGTCCCAATCCAAGACTTCAGCAACGCATTAAAATAAGAAGACCAAAGGAAAACACATCTAAGTTGTCCATTAAGTTTCTCTTTCGCTTGTGTAGGAAGAACATCTCCCCCCCCCCCCCATTATGCAACTTTTCTCTGCACAACACCTGTAGCTACTACAGTCAGCTCAAGTGCTGTAGGAGGCTGAGAAGCCCAGACTTTTCACAGTCCGTCTGTGATTTCTCGTTGTGTATTAGCGTATCTTTTACTGTCGGCTGGTTCTGCGTTTTTGTCCGAGTTGCTGCAGTGAACTAGGCTGAGTGGGACTTCGCGGAGACCTGTGATTCGCTTTGGGGACACCTGAAAGAAAAAGCTGAAAGAGAGTAGTTTGTTTTGAAGGCTTCGTGTCATGCAGCTCTGTCTAATCCACCACGAGAGATGCTCAGAATGCACACATTACAAGCGTCTGTTAAAATACCACCAACTTACAGGCATCTTACCTCTCCGCTGGAGACACGTTAGCCTGCTAGCTAAATTGTGTGACGTTGTGACGTTTTCCTCCAGGAAACGATGACTATGATGTAGGGGAGCTTGTTAAAATTAGAATTGTTGTTCCATTTGAAAAATATCTATTTCAGGATGAATTTAGAAAGTCATGTTTGTTGTTTTATTTGGTTAAATCCGGTCTTTTCCTTGCGATTCCGACCCTTTGAGAATCACGTGATCGGCCCGATCTGTGATCACGCGATTTCCAAAGGGTCAGAGTCGCATGGAATCGGAGCATCCCCTAATTTATATCCTTTTTTATTAGGCAAGGCAGTGCACCTTTACGTATAGAGCACATTTCAAACACAGAGGCGATTCAATGTGCTTTACAATTATCAGGACACGATATGAAAACATAAAAACACAAATGGAGTTGCAGTTCAGAGCTAAAGGAGAAGACAGAGGTACAGCGCAGATTACAGCGGAGACAACGAGTACATTAGGGTTTTTAGTTTAACAACACGAGGGTTGGGGCACATCTCAGGGCAAGGGGAAGCTGATTCCATATGTGAGCAGAATAGCAACTTAAAGCATCTCCATCTTGTTTTGTTCTGACCCGAGGTTCTAACAGCTGATTGTTATCAAAGGATCTCAGAGCCCTGTTGGGTGTACATATAGGAATGACATCTGACATGTATTTTAGTCCCATGCCATTGAGTGATTTATGAACTAGTAGTAGCACTTTGAAGTCTATTCTATTGTTTATTGGTAACCAGTGTAGGGATCTAAGATCGGGAGTGATGCGCTCCATTCTCTGAGTTCTTGGTAAGACTCTAGCAGCAGTTGTTTCACAGCTTCTTTTATTATATTATTGCACGAGAATTAAACAGCAAAATGTAAAACACTTAAGACTGACACCAGAATATATTTAGTTATTAATAAAGTCAAACCAACTCTAAGGAGATCAAATAAAAAGTATAAATGGAAGTTCATAATGGAAAAAAAACACAATGAGTTCATTTTAATGTTATGTGACCTCACCATTTTATATTTGCTATTTCAATAAGATAACAGGACAAATGACAAAAGGTCTGACTAAATGTAAAAATTTCATCTACCAAGGCAGAAATAGATCTAAAGGAACAAATTTCAATGTATTTTTTTATTTCAAAATAAAATAGAGGATTTTCACAATTATGAATATTACAAATCACATTCAAGGGGTGAAGCAATAATAATTAATTTTGTTGTTTTGAACTAAATATGTAAAACAGGCTCAGAACAACACGCAAACAAACCCCTGTTCAGTAAAAACTAAATGGAAAAGCTGGTAAAAGCTTAGAAAAATCACCAGTTAGAGTTTTTGTTTGCATATGAGCGTTATTTTAATAAATATGTGTGTATTTTTACAAACCCCACTTCTTATGTAACCTAAATAACTTTACCCAAGAGGATAGTTTGGCAGCATCTTGCTTTGAACGTCAGATATTCTACACTCTGGTGTTGTACGTAGTTACTGGGGTTGTTTTTAGCAAAGGTTCGGCACAAGGCAATAGTCCAAACCCATATATAGTAGAACGTGTGTGACCCTGCTTTTTGTAATTGCTCTCCTTTCCCTCATCCATTGTCCCCATCTCCTACCTGTCCAGGCTCGGTGGCTACAGCCTGCAGGGACCCAGGTGTACCAATGAATGGTAGTCGTAGCGGAGATGGCCGTGAGCCGGGGGATTCGGTGTCCTTTCAGTGCGACCCTGGATACGAGCTCCAGGGGGACGACAGAATAACCTGCATACAAGTGGATAACAGATACTACTGGCAGCCCAGTCCTCCCGTCTGCATAGGTAAGAACTCGGGTACATTCTGTAGGGACATTAAAATAGATGTACTGCACACAGCTGGAGTTGTTTACACTCAAGGACACACTTGCCACGGACGTATAGAAGGGCAGTGTCCTGTTTGCTCAAGCATATTTAGGGAGTTATGGTGTTTTAAGGCTAATAACATTTAAATTTGTTGCCATTGTAGCACCTTGTGGAGGAAACCTGACAGGCTCCAATGGATTTATACTCTCTCCTAACTACCCCCATCCCTACCCTCACTCAAAGGACTGTGATTGGCTCATTGCTGTCAACTCTGACTACGTTCTGTCACTGGCTTTTATCAGGTAACTTGCAAACCTGCAGTCTGTTCCCGGTAAAAAAAACGGGAGCTTCTCACCTCTTATCTTGTTTCTAGCTTCAACATCGAGCCAAACTACGACTTCCTTTACATTTACGACGGTCCGGACAGCAACAGTCCGCTGATCGGCAGCTTCCAGGACAGCAAACTCCCAGAGAGGATAGAGAGCAGCTCCAACACTATGCACTTGGCATTCCGCAGTGATGGGTCGGTGTCTTACACCGGCTTTCACCTGGAATACAAAGGTAACGTAAAGATGAAGCTCTGAACTGAACAGATTATTACAGTGGAGGTCAAATAAGTTCAAAAAATAGTTAAAGAAGTTAGGATGGGTAAATTCGACCTGCCTAGAGCGTGTAATATCAGCTATAACCAGCAGCCACACTAGATGGATCTCTGCATGTCGTCATGACAACATGCAACTGCAGCGTTGTCTAACCAACCAGTGTCACCATGAGACTAACGATAAACCTCTCGCTGTTTTATTTTAGTTAGGTTTTATTTGCAATTTACTGGAATATTATTGGTAAATAGTAAAACTATTATTTATAATTGATGTTGCAATGCCAGTCAGTTGTTGGTGTATTGGCTGGTCCTAATCAAAATTTTGAGTCACTTGTCTTTTAAATAATTCTCTGAAATCTTTTGTGAAGGAAAATAGTTTCTTTCCAATCTATTTAAAACAAATGATTGTCACGTTGTTGATGAACCAAATGGAAAAGCTAGTTTCTGTGAGTGAACACTGTCTTACCTTTAAGCTCTGCACGAGTAATCCTACGTACTCAGTCCAAGTGCATGTCTACAAAAGGCAAATAAAGATGTCACCCATCTTATGTTATCACACAGCCGAACAACAAATAAAAACCACTTTACTAGGTTATGAAATGGTTTCTCTTATGGAATTAGAAGCCAAATAAACATATGTATGGCATCCAAATGTACTTCAGCAACAAGTACTAACTTTTTTCCATTAGGGTTTGAGTTGGTTTGCATGTTATGATGCAAACAAGTTTAGCTACAATCGTGACGATGAGTCTCGACTAAGACACCGCTGCCAGGAGGAAACATCTGCTGATTAACTCTTCAGAGAACTGGGGCTGGATTTTAGTGTCATTATAAAGGTCTGTCCCGAAGGGCCTAGTGTAGCGAAGATGATGATGATGATGGCTTTGTTTTTGGAAGGACTTCCCTTCATTAGCTGGGATGACTTCTTCTATGGTCTTTTTCTTTTTTGTGCTCCAACCCTTCTACTGAATACAGCCTCAATCACACATAAGCAAAGTGTTTCCTGTTTGATGGCTTGAATGTCCTTAAATGACATTTTAATGGAACGTAGTACCTCTGGGGACGTGGCCTGAGCGGTACCTGTTCTCTTCTCCATCCTGCTCCTGAATAATCACTCGGATCCTGTGAGGACGAGGAGCTTTTTTCTCCAGTGTGTCTTTTTCTCAAACCCCCACTGATATCCCGCCGTATCTCCTGCACTGATGACTCTCCAGTGCTGTTCGTTCTTTCCTGGACGCTCGCAGTAACCCAATCCAGCAGATGGTGAAGCTGCTCTCGTTTGACAAGAGATTAGTTCCATCGCTCATCGACTTCAGGGATGAGATCTTCCGCCTTGGAGATGTCTGCCTCTCTGAGAGTACAGATGTTAGGCTCACATCTCCACACCTGAGGAGTCTGGAAGACAGCACACACTGCAGACTGTTGCTCTGCGAACCTGTCAACCATCTCATCGGCACTGTTCCACCTGGTGCCTACATCTGTTTCCAGCGTGTGTCTCAGCAGACCAGCTACCTTCTGCTCGTCTTCAGGCGGCTGTTTTTAAGTGCTGAAGTGGTGGGGAAATGTAATGTTTCACCCTCCCACGCTGCCTTGACACCGCAAGTGACTAGAACAGGTCTAGTCTGTGGGAGGAGTGCTTCACACCGCCCAGTCTGGATGTGTTGGTAAAGCCAAATCTGTCTTGGGACTCTTCCAGTCCTTCTCTATATTTGTTTTTGAGCACAAAAAGCAGATCTGGCTCTCACCTGCGATAAAAGTCTGCCATCCGGATGACGCAAGAGTCGTAGCATCGGATGTCCACTCATCATAGAGCTGTTCTTCCTGCTTTGTTCAATTATTCTGACTTGGGTTTTGATCTTTTTACAGAGTGTGTCACTTGGGGTGTCAGTAAAACATCTCCACGAAGAGGAGTTTCATGTCTGTTTCAAAGAGTGAACACTCGGTTCCTAGTGACCAAATGTGAATGCAGTCCTGTGGAAATAAAAGCTGCATTAGTTTATTATTGGCTTCATCATTTTTAAAATAGGTTGAAGCTTTATGTGATGATCTTCTTGGTGACAGAAAACACATCTTTTTGCTTGTCTTCCTCCTATTCTTGACCATTTGTACGTTTAATGATTTATCTGTTTCTTCATGTTTTTCCGCTCTCTTATTTCTTGTTTGAACCTTCAGTCAAAAGTTGTTTTTTTAAATACTTTTGATTCAGATTAAAATCTAAGTTATAGTTTGATGCACACACGCTTTTACGGAGACGTTTTCCCTTTGGGCGTCAGTAGCAACAAAGCCAGGTCACCATCAGTCCATGATTTCATTGCTTCCTTCAGGATCCTCAAACAAGTGTAGGTTTTGCAGATCTTCACCTCTTTGCCTCACCCCAGAGAGATAATTCTCTGACTTTTACTTCCACGCTCCATCATGTTAACAACAAAGCAAACTTGTTTTTGCTGCTTCTTCTTCTTGTGGTTCTTGGCATTGGTCGGTGAACTGATAAAGCTAGCTGCTATCCATTTATTAGCTACCAGCATGTAAAGAGCGCCCCCTAGGGCACCTACCCGCTCCACAAAACTGTTAAAAGTCCTGTTTCTGCTCAGCGGAGGGCTGGAGAGTGCTGTCCCATGTGAAGCTGGTGAAGTTTGTACCTACACCCGGGGTATTCAGCAGAGGTGTGGACTGGAGACAGTTGACTTGGACTTGAGCCGTTATTTTAATGACTTCTGACTTGACTTGAGCATATTTGATATTTTAGCACAAAAGTGGCACGACATGGACAAAAATCATAAATCATTCTTCGTTCTGGGTTTGATTTACTGCTAAATGCAGCAGCTCTTTGTTTATAATCAGTTTCAGCTGCACTTTCTGCTTGTTTCAGCAAATAAATGAAGCTTTAAGAAGCTTTATTTCTGGTATTTATTCATTATCATTGTCATTAAATTGAATTTGGACAGATGACTCGATAGTGACTTGAAAAATCAAAGTTAAGGACTTGGACTCGACTTGGACTTGGCTGTCTTTGACTTGGACTTGGCTCGAGACTTGACTGGAAAGACGTGTGACTTGCAAAGCAGTGACTTGGTCACACCTCTGGTATTCAGTTCTGGTCCTGGAGGGAAGGTATCCTGCACATTTCAGTTTTAACTCTGTTTCAGTTAAAATCGGTGATTAACAGCCCTCTGCAGAGCCTGAGGATCTGCTGCACAGGTGACTCAACCACTGAATCAAGTGTGTTGGAGCAGAGAAACCAGTAAAACGTGCTGGATACCGGTCCTCCAGGCCCTGACATGAAGACCTCTGATCTAACTTTTAAAGAGATTGGTTAAAGTGTAAAAAGAAAAGTCCGAAGTTTCTTAATTCTGCTGCTGCTAAATTAATAAACAAGGAAATCTCTGAAACTCAGTTTTAACATCTTATGAGCGGCATTTGTGCTACTTATAGCACCACCATACAGAACTTAATAATTCATGAAGCAATGCATAAAAATTTCATAAAGAAACACAACTTTTTTTTGTTAACGGAGTGCATCCCAGAGGGAAGTTTTGTTTAATTGCCACTTTATAACTCATTTGGTGAGAAGTGAATGTAATAATCTGCTTAAAGCCATTATGTCGGGGCTTTTTGGGTCTTATCTGCTTTTCATAAGCACAGCAGCTTGGAAAATGAATCTTTAAGGTTTCTCCTGGTAATGTGACAGAATGTTGGCCTGTCTGTTTGGAGAAGTTAGGAAACATGTAAGCGTTTAAAGGAAGCTGCAACCTGTCCTTATTGATGACTTCATGTTTCATGCTGCTTTCAAGATTAAAAGAATGATTACCCTTTCTGTACTCTGCTGAATGGTTGGGTACTAAATGAGTCCATCAGGGTGTGTGTGTGTGTGTGTGTGCGTGTGTGTGTGAGTGATTTACTTGCACAAAAGAGCAAATACTGGCTCTTTGTGGCTTCCAGAATTAATTTTGAAGTTGATGCAGGTGGCTGATAATCTTTTAGACGAAGGGCCAAAGCCTTCGTTTCCAGGGTTTGAAGCTGGGACAACAAGTTATCGTTCTTTCACCATCTTGGCAACAACGGCTAAGTCAAACAGACTGTTAGAAAGGCCAACGCTACGCCTGCCTCGTTTGATTATTGCAAGGGACTTAGTTATTATTAATTTGCCTCATTACTCATGTGTGCCTGTCCCTTTTTCTCTGCCTCATCCTCTCTCTTACTAATTTGTTCTTTCATGTTTCTGCGCTCAGCTAAGCTGAGGGAGTCCTGCTTCGACCCCGGGGTGGTTCTGAATGGAACCAGGCTGGGATCCGATTATAAGCTGGGCTCGACGGTCACCTTCTACTGCGAAGCTGGATATGTCCTGCAGGTACAAACGACTACATGACTGTTGACACGCTGGAATGGTACATTGGTTGGTTAAAGGCTTTGGCAGGTTGCTGTGTGGTTTATTGGTTAATGTGTTTCAGGATGGCCGGTTTAATTGGGGAACAGATTGGTGGCTGGTTAATTAGCTTATTGTTAATTTTTCTCTGTGTGTGTGTGTGTGTGTGTGTGTGTGTGTGTGTGTGTGTGTGTGTGTGTGTGTGTGTGTGTGTGTGTGTGTGTGTGTGTGTGTGTGTTTCTAGGGCTATTCTACTCTAACCTGCAGTATGGGAGATGATGGCAGGCCTGGATGGAACAGGGCTTTGCCTAGCTGTCAAGGTAAAGCTCTATAATAAACAATCAGTACGCACCCACTAACCACCTGGCAAAGTACTTGTTGAATAAACTAAAATTGTGTGTGTGTGTGTGTGTGTGTGTGTGTGTGTGTGTGTGTGTGTGTTTTATTTTTAAAGAATCTGGTCATGGTTCAGAATGTAATCTGAGTATGTTCCTTTTTGTGTGGATGGACAGAGTTAATCCCCTACAGGTGTTTGAGTTCAGTTGAGTGTTAGATTTTTTAGTCGAAACAAAATAAAAAAATTGTTATGTAAGAACAATTATTGACAGTCATGAAAAATCAATAAAAATACTTCTTATCGAAACAAAGCTGAATAATAAATGTCAATGAATAGAAAAATGTGTTGGTTAATAAACTAATTATTTTAGACAACTTCAGTAAATCCATCTAATGAAAACAACCACTCTATCACATTAAGCCATAACGACTTCGACAACTCATCATTGTATGGAGGAGGGGTATTCATATGTAGTTTCAGCTCTTTTAAGCAACAACAAACAGCTCCAGTTTATAAGCTTGGCTCTCCCATATTCCAGTCAGAATGGACGAAGCTCCTTGGATGAGAAGCAAAACATCAAAAAGTCCAGTTGCCTTCATTTGAATTTAATCCAGCTGCACACTTCCCAAAGGACTTTGTGGAACCAACCCACATGGACTGTTAATACGAACTGATTAATACGGATGCTTATGTGCACATGGGCGTGATGTTAAACAAATTGTTTTAGAACTGGATTCATAACCCATTATTTTATCATGCCTTTGCACCAGTAAAACCAGATCTTTCCATACATGATGAATATAACTACAAATTACAAAAACCTTATGTTTGTCTGACAAATTTAAATGACATTTATTTACATTACAGTGACATTGTTTTCCCTTGGCGATAGGGGGCAGTACGTATCGCAGTACGTCATTGCGAGCAAGCTGTATTTTTGTGTTTGAGTAAGACTTAACCTACGGATGGCCATTAGGGTCAAAAATTCCTAGTTTTCGAATGAGTAATTTGTCAGATAGTTAAACCTCCAGCAAAATGAAAATCACATGCCCACATAGAAGGAATCGTCGTGTCTAATATGGCGTCGCCCAGACACTTAGACTCGCTCCCGTGTATTTTAGACCTAATTTTTATGGTTTTATGTTACAAAGTCGCCAATGTTTTTCAACAAATGGGCTTCATTTGATTCATTTTAAACAACATTTCAATGGATATTTCCAGAGATTGTTGGTAAAAACTGCAAAGTCACTTTAATCAATTTACTTTAGATTTCCTGAATTACACATCACTAAAACTAATAGTGCTATGGAAGTTCAGGAAAAAACATTACGAAAAATTTAAATAAAAGAATAACAAGGCTGCCCATTTTCTTAGTTTCTTTTTATTTTCTCAACATTAAGATCTGTTTTAAAGGATTTGTCTAAAAACAAATAAGTTTTAGCCACAAAATGCTAGCTAAAAAAAATAAAAACACGAAACAATTTCTTTTTAATTGCTTTTCATGGTTGCTTACAGGACGAACCAAATGTTCTTTTAGGGCTTTAATATAAACCCTTTATTTACCAAACCTAAAGTCAACATGTTCATGTTATGTAAACATATTCATGTGTGAGTCAATCAAACACTCCAGGCTGGTTTTTTTTTTGTGTAATTTGACTTAAATTCTGCATATCCTGTGTGTTTTTGTGTATTCCTCTAAAAACACCACTTTCTGTGTGTTCCCACATTCAGCTCCGTGTGGAAGTCGCTCTACGGGTTCAGATGGGACCGTTTTGTCCCCGAACTTCCCCAGAAACTATACTTCTGGACAGACCTGCGTGTACTCCATATCTGTGCCGAGAGAGTTCGGTAAGCTCGCTCGTGCAGAACATACGAGTTCAGACAAGCATTTGCATTACACACTTCCTTGTCAAAACAATATTCCTGAATATTTCAAATGATTGCGTCCCTTTGAGCGTAACATGGAGAGAAAAAACAGCTTAAGTGTAAACACAGTTTGAGACAGTAAGCACAAAAGCTGTGATTGCTAGTTTTTTTGACAAGAATTTCCATATTGAATTTTACTCAGTGAAATAAAGTGACATTAAAACACGTCTGATGTTTACTGCATAGGAACTCCTGGAGGTCGCCTGTAGGGTTTTATTTTTTAAATCATGCTGGGAAGCAAGCAGAGACGTTCCGAAAAGACACTTGCCGCTCGCTTATTTGCTTCAAGGTCACGGATTCATAATTGAAATGACATTTAAAGATGAGACTGTTTCTTATCTTGCCATGTTGGGTTGGTGGTCCTTAAGCCATTGGAAAATAGCATGTTAGGAAAGGAAGCTCTTACTCATTAAACAGGCTCTTAGTGTGGTTATGAAGGGAAAGAGAGGGGTCAAAGGGCACATCTGAGAAGTTTAACAAGCTCTGTAACTTGGTGGCAAACACAGGAAGCAGAATATTCTGTTGTCAGTCCACAGATATAATTTCATTCCTAAAATGGGCAGGCTAAATGTGTGTGTGTGTGTGTGTGTGTGTGTGTGTGTGTGTGTGTGCGTGTGCGTGTGTGTGTGTGTGTGTGAGACTTGAGCTTCAACAGTCAGTAATTGGTGGATCGGATGTCCAATTATTATCTGTGGTGCTGTAAATAAATGCATCTAACCTGACTGACGGTGGCTGTTGTCTTGTTATATTAGCCACGTTGGAAAATTAGCTCCACGTATGAATTTTGACTGAGCAGACTGAATGTTTAGTCGGCCTTCTTGTTGTGATTGACAATCTCAGATGCCTTCATGTTTTCTTATGCTTGAGCTAGTAAATGGTAAGTCTGAAAGCTCTATCGTATTGCAAAGTGTCTGTTCTATATCTAACCAGGACTCATCTAGTGGTATATAATGCAGCCTGTTGACGAAGAAATAATAATAAAAGTTGGGTAGATCCAGTCCTCCTCTGTCTTTGGTCTTCTGAAGCGTTTTTAAGCTAATTCGTGGAGGTTTATCCTGCCAAATGAATTTGGTACTTGAGGAGTCCAGAGATCTAAACCAGTCAGCTGGTGGTTTGTTTGGGATCATCGAGAATAAGTAATTTATTCTGGGTAAGACCATCATTTTAATTGTAGCAACTCTCCCCATGAGTGATATCTGTAAGGATTCCCATCTTGCAAGATCATCTTCCACTTTCTTTAAAAGTGGGATGTAGTTCAGTTTGGTTAGATCAGCCAACTTGGGAGAGACATTAATTCCCAGGTATTAGTATCAGCACCTCTCTGACAGCATGGTGGGAGTATCTTAAAATGACCGAGTCTTCACTAGTACCATGCAGACGCACACCTATCTCGAATAATCCTGATATTTTGCTAAATAATAAAATGATGAACCTTCCGGACTGGAAAAATAAAGGGATCCTATACCTGGAAAACATATATGAAGGATTGGACTTCATCCCATTTAATTGAATAGTCTCCCAATTTGGAATGGATAAGAATAGCTTTTTAGAATATCACCAAATTAAATCTGTAGTCAAGCAAAAATTTAAGCTCAATAAAATAGAATTACAAACACCGCCAAGGGTATTAGACTTCTATAATCTCAAACCCCCCAAACTACTGTCTAAAGTATATAAGACACTGTCCACAATAGACGATAGAATAGTAATCCCTATTGAAAAATGGGAGGTGGATCTATCAGTCAGCTTTGACCAGAACTTCTGGTCCCAAACTTGTTTAAAAACTTTTAAAATGATCAGACACCCCAATTTACAATTAATTCAGTACAAAATTCTACACACTATACAGGATGTTCAAGATGGGGTTTGTGTCATCTGACACCTGTACACACTGCACAAACAACATTCCTGACAATTACATTCATGCACTGTGGTCCTGTCCACCTGTCCAGGAATTTTGGGGCTAGAGTATGTGAGGACCTGTCAAAGTCTCTGAAATGTCATATCCCAACCACCCCCTCTCTTTGTTTACTGGGAAACCTGGACGATGTCCCGATTGAAACATCTTTGGCTCATGTGACAATCCCAGATGCCAGGAAAGCTTCATTTCTTGCGTAAATAATTACAATAATGATCAGAGTCAAATGGCGTTTTTCATCACCGATGCTTAAATCGACCCACTGGGCTGGTTATTAAATGCTTGATGATGTTTCACCATTTATGCAAACAGCCCCGGCGGTTGAAACAGCAGGTGGGGGAAACCCTTGGATTCTGTCCCTGTGGAGCCACCATCCCTCCTCCTGTTAGATGATGACACGGCTGAGGACACCCACTCAGGCAGCTCATCGGGAGGTTCGGCGACTCCACGGGGACCGGTGCCCAGGTTTTATCCATCTGATGTCGGTAAGAACCTGTTTAAACCAACACTGAAACACTCAGTCATCTGATATCTTGGCCACTGGGCTGATTGAAGCTTTGCCCGACATCTTGGGACCCAGACTGTCTCCTGGGTGTGTGTGAGCTGAGTGTAGAGGCATCAATGAGCCGTGTAGAAAATGCACCGCTGTAATAATCTCTCCTAGTGTTGATTATCCTTGATGATGTCAGTATGAAAGAAAAATTGGTTTATGGCATCAAAATTATCTCCCCCAAAGGTCGTTTCCCATTCTTTATGCTTTGACTCGGAGAGAAGTGGAGAAGAGCTCCAGAAACTACTTATAACGCTAAATTATTTAAAATTCTAGCAACACGGGCAGCATTTTGATGCATTATGGTTCATTTTTACAGTTCATCATTTTGTGAAGCAAGAATTATTTGGTGGTTTTTCGCTCCAGGTTTTTGTAGAAATCTGATCAGCACATTCTGTGTTTCACCCTTTTGACTTCTTTTTGTTCGAAGCCTTAAAGTGGACATAATAGGCCTTTTTTATTGTAATAGTTCCACAAAATATATCTTTATGAAACTCTTTGCGCTAAGAGCCTCTCACATCAAGCGACTATAGTAGTTTTATTCTTGACCTTTTCAGTGCCCTCCACAATAAGTCGTTTCAGCGCTCTGTCACTTTAACCCTTTAAGCTGAAGGGTCCCCCAGGTGGGGGACCCTGTGACGTTAGTTCCTCAGCAGGCCCAAAACAACCCTCACTCTACAGAAGAAATTGTAATAATTCCCATCAAATTAATCAGCAAATCCAGCACTACAAAGCTATCTAAACTATTTTTACCATTAAATACCATTTTTACCATTTTTCGAGGAATAGGCTTCAAAATAGCCCTAGGGCTTAAGGGGTTGTTTAAGAAAACAAGCTTTAGCTGGCCACGCCCACCCACCTCATGCTCAGACTTCTAAAAGCTGAGAAGCTCCATTGTCTGGGAGGGGCCTGGAGTATAGCTGCTGCTCCTCTAGCAGGTGAGAGGTAGATGTATTCCAGTGTCATCTGTGATTTATGACATCACAAACGGGGACCTTTTCAAACAGCTTGTTTTAGGCACATCCTTCCTAAAACCACACCCTGAAAGAAAACAGATGGACATGTTTTTTTCAAGTTTGGAATGTTTATAGAGGCAGTAGAGACCCACATGGCAGCACAAAAGGCTGCAAATGGTGAGTTGTGCATCAAATGTCCCCTTTAAATTTAGCTATATATATATATATATATATATATATATATATATGTGTGTGTGTGTGTGTATAGAATGCTCATTGCTTTGAGCGTTTAAAATCTTTATTGATGACATATCTTTTTAATCTGGCCTTTGATGCCGGCCTTTAATGTGGCGTTTGAGTCACCTTTTAGACATGTTTTTAGCTTACTTGCTATTTTTACAGTGTTTATTGTTTTTATCTTAAGGAAATGCATTTGTCCTTTGCTGTTTTTATTGTTTGTGCTTTTGTTGGACAGCACTTTGGTGCAGTGGGAACGTGTGCTATAGAAATAAACATGATGCCAACCTTTAAAACGAGCAAAATATGCTCATTTTTTTTTAAAAATACATGGTTTTGTGATAAGTAAAGACTTTCGGTAGAAAATAGAGGAAATGACAAAATCCTAAACTGTTTCATGTCCACACCAAGAACAAAAGCATTCCATTCTGCATAGTTTAACATTTTAACATTCCTGAAATTTAACTGTTTTGTTTTTTCTCTATGTGTATCTATCTAAAGGATATAGGGTCTAATAACTGACCAGAATGTTCAACCCTAACTCATGCATCTTTTAACCTTTGGTCTTCCTTGACCATTTAAGAAAGCAAGACTCCCGACTGAAGCTGCTCTGTGCCAGGAGAGTGACAGCATTGTTGTGGTGCGTTCACTGACTGGAACAAAATCAGAGGTATTACTGCCTGATTTGCCAGTCACTGGTCAACCAAGTCGAGCTGAAAATCGTCTTTCTTGTCACCTGCCGAGGAATCAGTGCATCTTTGCTGAGAAGTAGCACACAGGGCATTCTCGCTAAAATCTCACTGACCCACATTCCCCTTCAGCCCGTTTTGAGAGTTGTCACCTGTAAGTTGTTTACCTACTCGGATGAGCTGTGTGGTGAAGACACCTGGAGATGAGAGGTTTTCCTTCTCTATGAAAAGGTTCGACTGAGATGTTAGCATTAACTTACCCTATAGATCCAAGTGGTGCTCGCTGCAGAACCACAAAGGCGGAGCTGCACCAGAAGGTGGAGCTGCACCAGAGTCAGCCCCGCCCATTCCAGAATCAGCCCCGCCCATTCCATAAGAGTCAGTCCAATTCCTTCTAGTTGTCAGACTTGATAGCATTCTGGAACCAAAGAGGGTGTTATAGATAAAAAATTGAGGACGGAGTTGAGAAGTTAATTGAACAGTTTTTGTAAAGGTTCCATATAATTAAAAATCAAACTTTTGGAACTTTTAATCATGTTATATTGTCATTTCCTCATAAGAAACACGCCAAAGCCATTTTTGGCCTCATTCATGCATTTTCTTCCCATCTCAGCTTCAATTTGGTCTCCTCCCCCGAAGAGGGTCTGGTCTTGGTTCTCAAATCTGGATATTCTGTGAATTTTCTGACAAATTATTTCTTAAATGACTTCTTCTGAGACACCGCCGGAAAAATCATACATACCATCTACAAAGACACACCGGATAGGACAATCAAATGTAACGCCACTTGACTTTTTTAAGATGTGGTGGTGTAGTGGTTATAGAGTCAAGTTGACATGCAGTTTTGCGCAGGTTCGCCTCCCACTAGCAGAAATATTAGGTAGCTTACAACCCCTTTTCCTCATTTCTAGCTACACTTGCCAGTACTATGTTTACAACAATTTACTGGTATACCGTTTAACATATAATGACTAATGTGTTTATTTATTTATTTGTTTATTTAGCCAGTGTGAGTCCATTTGTGAGCAGAGTTTCAACTAAAATACTGTTTAGGAACGACCAAATTCAAAGAACTTTTAGAGACATAAATATTTTGCTGAAAATAAACATTACAACTAAAATATAAACAAATTAAAATGTTTCAGATGGCTAAATGGATTGTTGCCGACCTCACCGAGAATCGAACCAGCACCAGCTGAGGGGAAAGCAAAACTTAAGTTAAACAATCTCGCCACTGGACTACCAGAGCACGTACATAAATCACAGATGCTGTTGTAGAGCACTTTTCTTGGAGCGGCTGTGGGTAGATATTCGTTAAAAGAAACCTTTTCATTTCGAGATATATTCAGGCTTTGTCATGTAGCAAGTTATATTTATCTTGTTTAATTGAAGCATAGAACATAGCATTAACGACTGTAAACTAGTAACAGCCGTAATTCATGTGGGTCAGGTTAGTTTGCGATAAAGTTGGAAAAACAAAAACGGAAGTCAGTGGGCTAGACTGAGTTTGCGTGAATGGGCGGGGCTGACTCTGGTGCAGCTCCACCTTATGGTGCAGCTCCGCCTTTGTAGGTCTGCAGCGAGCACCCTCTCTATAGATCTCTTATGACTCGCCTAATCGCCAAATCCACCTTCATATCTGTGCAGATGACTCGATTCTCAATTAAAACTCACATTTTTATACCGCTACGCATTGCTTGCCATAAATTTTACATGCAGTGAGCTATTGCATTAAACCAGGAAGGGGAGTCTTTGCCTTTTAAAGAAATCTATAGAAACACCCTTGTGGAATGTGGCCACTGACCTTCTTATAGCCGGATATCCTTGGCAATGTTCACGTTAATCCTCTACAACTCAGCTATTGGGGCCAAAGTGAGAGTGAGGGGAAGGCAAAGATGAAGAGGTGAGATATGTGCTTGTGTGTGTGTGTGTGTGTGTGTGTGTGTGTGTGTGCGTGCGTGCGTGCGTGCGTGCGGACTTGGAAGGATATGGCTTCCTATAAATGCTATTCCTCATGCAGGAGATTCCTTTGTTTTTGTTTGGTTTTTGAAGCGGAGTTGACATCAAACATAGATTTAATCTTAATCCAACTAACGATTGGTTTGAAAAAACACTAATTGCTTAAGACAGAGAAAATTGTGCTAGATTAGGAAGAGACAGAACCCTACGACCCCAGAGGGATTGTCTAATACTGTCTGCCACTGCAGCTGCACTAGTGAATTTATGGTTTAGCAAAGGAATACTTCGCCATTGGAGGCCATCTAGAATTTAATTTTTCACCAGCGAGAGTGAAAAGCAGTGGATCAGTATTACACATACAGCATACAGGTAATCGCCACCTGCTGGCATGTTCTCCTGCTGGTAATAACGGGTTGATCTTTGGCGTTGCAAACCGTTTAACAGGTTTCTACTCTCGCCGTGTGTCTTTCGTTGGGTTTTCTTGCTTCTAAAACGATAGGAAAGCCTTCTCACACTGGCATACGTTTCCAAATGTAAGTCAACGTTTTGCTAACATTAGCATTTTACACCAGCTGACAACACTAATACTGATGGTCGGGCAGGAAGGGAGGGCAGTTCGACTGGCGCATGATGAAGATAAGGTGATGTTTTGACTATTAAGTGTGCTGATATGTAATTTAATGCCAATAGTCAGCTTCAAATAGAAGTTGACACTCCAGCTTAATAAGATGTAAATTAGCTATTGCAGGTTAATTTTATCATTGGAAGGTCAGGCTCTGACAGCAGCATGGAATAATAATTTGCCACCATTCAATAGTTCTTAACTTATTTCGTCATCTGGCTCTTTCTCCCCCTTTTTTCCTCCTCCAGTCCTGTTTGGTCAGTTTGTGCTGTTCCAGACGTCTCTGAATGACGTAGTGGAGATTTATGATGGACCCACCCAACAGAACACACTTCTGTCCTCCTTGTCTGGTTCCCACTCAGGTACGAAGGAACACTTTTCTTTATGTGTGCAAAGAGAAACAAAGTCCCCGTGGTAATCTTTTACTCTTTTCTTCCTTCTGTTTGGTTCAGGCGAATCTCTCCCTTTGAGTTCAGGAAACCAAATTACGATCAAGTTCACCATAGTTGGACCAGAAACCGCAAAAGGATTTCATTTTGTCTACCAAGGTTAAATCTTGACTTTTGACTGTTCTTCTTTTGGGTACTTGCATGTTTGTACTGAAAATAAATAATCTAAGGCAGAGATTGTCCAGATGCAAGTAATCTGTACCTAACTGGCATGTTGTGTTAGAGCTGAAGCTCAGAACATCAGAGGCTGCGCGGGGACTGATGGGGACAGACACCTTTAGGAGCGGCCTCAATCGCAAAAAAAGCAAGTTATGTCCAAGATAAACTGAAGTCTGCGGCATTGCAGAGACCACCCCCATACCCCCTTTATGCCGCCATCGCCTAATCTTTTATAAAAAGGACACTATTGCGCCACATGACCACCACGGTCTAACCACTTATAAATGGCCTAAGGGTCCCTGATGCTGCCATTTTTCCAATGAAGTTCTTGTATTTACTTGTTCCTGGACAATACCATTAGCCTGGCCTGCCAGACGACTCCGCTGTTTAATTCTGCACAGAGAAAGAGTCTGGTAACTCACAGGCAGAGAGGCACTTGAGGGGCGGGACTAGGCAGCTCAAAAATAACCAATCAGAAAAAAGACGGAAATGCCGACTGTAACGCGCGACGCTGCAGTTTTTTAGCCGTAGTCAAAAATGGAGTCTGGTGACAGCGCAAACATCTTTCTTTAGAAGAAAGGCTTTTATCGCTTCTACTTGTTGTTTTAAAGTTGTGTCCAAGTCGTTTAGAACAGAGGAAAGAGCAGCAGCAAACTCCGCTTCAGTCGCTTTGTTCGACAAACTCGGCGTTGTGGTGTGTAACGTGAGCTACTCATCCCTGATTGGCTCGGTTAGAATTCTCACGGGTTGGGGTTATTTGAATAGGAGAGTTCCCAGAGCCTTTCTCTGTGCAGAATTAAACAGAGGAGGAGTCTGGCAGGCCAGGCTACAATACCAGTACTTTAGCAGATCGTACAGACACAGTGGGAACATTGTGGGTTTGGAAGTGGAGAAAGCTCGACTTGATCAATTGTACATTTTTCACTTTTTATCCAGAAACTGCTCACGGAGTCCTTCATTTACAGCCTTTTCTTTGCAGCACAGCCAACACAATTTGAATCCCTGTTACTGAAACACATTTTTATTGTTGTCTCCAGCTGTACCTCGAACCAGCTCCACTCAGTGCAGCTCAGTCCCGGAGCCACGCTTCGGGAAACGTCTGGGTAATGACTTTGCAGTTGGCTCATTGGTGCAGTTTGAGTGCAACCCTGGTTACGTCCTCCATGGCTCCTCGGCCATTCGTTGTGAGAGCGTACCGGACAACCTGGCGCAATGGAATGACACTCTGCCGACATGCATGGGTATGGAATATGATGGCAGGAAGGAAAATAATTCTAAATTGTATAGTTTAAGGAATTTTGCAATTAAAAAGACAGCTTGCACAAAACTATGACTAATTTGGAGATTCTTCATTGAGAAGTCCTGGTCAATCGCTTCTGTTTCTTTCACATCTTCTTTTTTTTTCTTTCCTTTATCACACCATCTTCCTCTCACACAGTTCCCTGTGGAGGTGTATTGACCTCTCGCCGTGGAACCATCCTGTCGCCAGGCTACCCAGAGCCGTATGACAACAACCAGAACTGTGTGTGGAAGGTCTCTGTTCCAGAAGGGGCTGGCATACAGGTCGTACCTGTCACACGCTGTCCTATCTATCATTGGCTAAAAAGCTGAGCAGGCAGGATCTCAGGGAAGATAAGACATTATTAGTAGAGTGAATGGATGGATGGTTTCTGAGAGCAGGGCCATCGGAGATAACCAGATAGAATCTAATCATGGACGATAAGGCCTGGTTGCATGTAAGCTAAACTGTTCTCACGGACAAATACAAAGGCAAAGATGCCTCCTACATAAAGTGCAGTCAGAGGAGGACAGTTGACACGTAGGTCAAAGTTAGTTTATAGGAATTAAACTCAACCAGTTTCATTTATTCATCCATTCTACCGTAAGGAAAAACATTAGTTGCAGTAAATGCAAATAAAAAGTTTGGATAAGAACTTGTTCTTTTTTTTTTGTCTCATTTTGTTCTTGTTTTCTTTGCAGATTCAAGTTGTGAGTTTTGCTACTGAGCACAACTGGGATTCATTGGATTTTTATGATGGTGCCGACAACCACGCACCTAGACTGGGCAGCTACTCTGGTAAGCAGCTTCAGAAACGTTTCTAGAAAGTGGAACACATGCTGGTCTAATCTTTAGAAATTGGATATTCTGATGAATTATGTTTTTTTTTTCCAAGTCACATTTTGGGGAAATACATGAGTTCAGTATAAATTCTATATTTATGGAAAAATTAAACGGTTTCACATTTTATATTATATTATATTATAACGTAGTATATAATACTGTATTGTATCATAACATAGTATATGTTACTGTATTGTATCATAAAGTAGCATATGTTACTGTATCGTATTATAGCATAGTATGATACTGTATTGTATCATAACGTACTCTATGTTAGTATATTGTATCATAATGTGCTATATGTTACTGCATTGTATCACAACGTAGTATATGATATTGTATTGTATCATAACGTACTATATGTTACTGTATTGAATCATAAGGTACTATGTTAGTGTATTGTACCATAACGTATTATATGATACCGTATTGTATCATAGTGTACTATATGTTACTGTATTGAATCATAAGGTACTATGATACTGTATTGTATCATAATGTAGTATATGATACTGTAATGAATCATAAGGTACTATGATACTGTATTGTATCATAATGTAGTATATGATACTGTAATGAATCATAAGGTACTATGATACTGTATTGTATCATAATGTAGTATATGATACTGTAATGAATCATAAGGTACTATGATACTGTATTGTATCATAATGTAGTATATGATACTGTAATGAATCATAAGGTACTATGATACTGTATTGTATCATAACGTAGTATATGATACTGTAATGAATCATAAGGTACTGTGCTAGTGTATTGTATCATAGTGTAGTATGATACCGTATTATATCATATTGCAGTGTATGTTACTGCATTGTATTATATGGTAGTATATGTTACTGTATTGTATCATAACATATTACATGTATTATATCATAACGTAGAATATGTATTGTAACATAAGGTGCTATATAATACTGTATTGTATCATAAGGTACTATAGGTTAGTGTATTGTTTCATAACGTGCTATATGAAACTGTATTGTATCATAACGAAGTATATGATAGAGTATTATAATTTACTATATGATACTGTATTGTATCATAATGTATTTGTTACTGTATTGTATCATAACATAGTATATGATACAGTATTGTATCATAACGTAGTATATGTTACTGTATTGTGTCATAACATAGTATATGATACAGTATTGTATCATAATGTAGTATATGTTACTGTATTGTATCATAGCATACTATATGATACTGTATTGTATCATAACGTAGTATATGTGACTGTATTATATCATACCGTACTTTATGATACTGTATTGTATCATAATGTAGTATGTTACTGTATTGTATCATACCGTACTTTATGATACTGTATTGTATCATAACGAAGTATATGTTACTGTATTGTATCATAACGTAGTATGTTACTGGATATATCATAACGTACTTTATGATACTGTATTGCATCATAACGAAGTATATGGTACTGATGTTACTTATTGTATCATAACGTACTGTATAATACCATCAGTGATAAAAATAACACAGTTTAAAATAACAATGTTACTAAAAAATATTAGTTTTTTCAGTAACAAGTAATCTAATTAGTTACCGTCTTTTATCACAACGCCGTTTCCGTTACTGATGAGGAAATACGTGCGTTACTAATCAGCAGCGCGGTGTGTTGAAGCTATCATCAGCTGATCGGGAGCTAAAGAGGCGGATGTTTTCATCCAAGCGCATCACGGCCGTGAAGAACAAAGATGTGATGAATAGTTACAGCTGCAGACCCGCAGATTCGCTGCTGCAGGCGTGAATCTGCAGCTGTACCATTCTTGGGGTGACTGCGGAACGTCCCAAAGGTCCGCTCACCTGTTCACCGCTCAGACGTCATGATCTTCTACCTTCCTAGATCATCCAACTGTAACCTGTTTCTGATCGTCTCTTTAGTCCAGCTGTAACGCTGGTTGCATCAGTCTCCGACGTCATGGAGCTCAGGTGATATCAGAACTTCCTGTGTGTGTTTACCACCCAGCTTCAGCTCTTCTGGGTTTGGGTCTGACCCAAGTTAGTAAAGTCAAGTCCTCCATCAGGCTTGTGCCTCTTCTAGTGTCATTTTAAAGGATTTTATTTATTTATTTACCCATGGCTAGATTACCAGCAACAGAAATGTTACTAAAAACACACAATTATGCGAAGCTGAAAAAATGAGATTACTGTGCAAAATCACATTTATTTCAGTCATTTAACTAGACTGAGAGACCATGTAAAGGCTCAGGAACCTTTACAGGTGTTTCTATTTGCTATTATACATTTTAGCTTGGGGCTAATGATTGTTTCACATCATTTTGTTTGAAACGAACAAATTACAATGTTTAAATATGTGATCAAACATGATTGCATCTTTTATTACCTTGTATTTTTTGTAATGTTAGTTCATGTGTCGCATCTTGTTGTGCGGTATTGGATCATAACAATGTCATATGAAAGCTGTTGGGTTAAAATGCCATTTCTCACATTTTTCATCATTTTCATGTTTTTATCTAATCCACTTTATTTCTCTGCAGATGGTTTTTCAATGAACAGCCTCAAAAACAGCTTGTGATCTGTTTATTCACTGTAAAAAAAGTCATCTGTGAGAGTTTACTTTCTGGAGAGACAGGATTTTTGCCTGACTGAGATGTTTTCATATATCAGCCTTTACAAGTACACTGTAAAACATTTTACAAACAGCTTGATATCTAATAAGCATGAAATCAAAGAAAAACATTCATTTTATTCAGTGTATTAGAAAGACCACGTCAACTTCTGATATAATAAATGTAGAATTTTGCATTTCGAGTCCCCCAGCAGGTGCTTACTGTCACAATGTGTTTATGTGACTCCTCAAGAGAGGCATAAGAAGTGAGTCACACTCCTAATTGATCCGTATAGAGGCAAATTTTCTTTTAAAAATAAGAAGCTAATGACTTGATTTGTCAAGTAAATTAGGAAATTACCTGAATCAGTCCCAAACCTAAACTGGTTGGCGAAAACCTGTATGTTAAAGACCAAGTTCACTGAGAAACCGTTTTTCTAAATGTGATAGTCGTCTACTCCTATTTCCTGCTTTAGCTTCTGATAGAAAGTAGACCGGGAAACTCTCAGATTACAAACACAATGTGCATCATATTGTCTAATTAACATTTGTGGACTCACCCATCGTGTCTCATGACGGGGAAGGCTGCTGTTGATTTAGTGTCCAGGAGAGAGTAGAGAACATCTTGGCTAGTAGAAGCTAACTGTTAGCATTAGCAACTCCACAACAGAGCAAAACTCCCGTCAGGCTTGTGTTATTTGTGGAGATAAAACATAAATGCTGCAAAGCAGAGTTAGTGGTAAGAGTCACACTGCTGTTGGCGAATCAGAGGCGAGATGATTGAATATCAGGTATAAGACTCCAAATCCAGCAGTCTTAAGCTCGCCTCTGCTCTGGCTCTCTTCTACTTCCTCAATCAAGAGCGCCAGATCTCACAAGGCATTCATTTCTACTAGAGAACACAGCAAATCAATTGGAAAAACGAGCAAACTTGGTCTTTACGTAATGAAAAGCACACTTTATCCAAAAATGTATTTCTTTGCTAAATTTTTTATATTCATTTTTGAAATAATTTTATAATAGAGGGATTTTAGTGTTTGACTTGATTTTTTTCCTCAGGCATAACACAGGAAGAAAAAATCTCATATGCTTGACTGAGAGAGAAAAAAGGGTACTTGACAGACTGCCAAAAAAGAGTCTTGTACATTAATGTGCCATTAGTGCAGCTCGCCTGAATTTCCACACTACCTCCTATGAAAGTGCCTCGACTCTGCTGCCGTGGCAAATCATATTCTCTTATCTTTTGGGGATTGCAACTCTGCTTCTGGGTAGGCAAATTCATCTAGGTATCTTCTCATTGCGTTAAATAATCTATAGGAGGGCTTGGCGCGTTTGTGACTAAATGGAAAAGGGATTGTTTGATGAGAAATGAAGTGACACCAAATCGAATCTGTTTCCTCATAGAAATTTTATTAATAAGTAAATTTTGGCAGATGGATGACGGAAAAGTATCGATTTTAAATTGGACTCTTAATTAATACCCCCCCACGTCCACAAATAACAGACACCGTTGGATCAATGCAGTTAATTATGAAGCTAGAAACGATTAAGAGTTGAAATATAACGATTAAGAAGTTTTAATGTCACGGTAATGAATTGTGCTTCCTGTCTAATGTAAAACCAAGCAGCAGCGAGGTTCAAACCTGGGTATTAATTCCCCTCACAACATCCTGTGACCTAATTCACTGTTCATTCAGAGGAAAGTCTCAGCTTGGATAAGTTTTGATGGCACACCTGTCACCGAACTAAAACGATCCGCAAATCAAAGCAACAGCTGATCCTTTTTTACAACGTTGGAGCTTATAGATTTTTATTACTGCTTTTGTGGTTGAAAAACAAGGACATAAGCTTTCAAGATCACCCCCCACGCTTAGGTGTATCATTTAGTTTAGTCGTCATATAGGGCTAACTTCCCTTCATTGGCTTTGTTTTCTTCGTCTTATTTTCTACTTCTCCTTGCCTTTCTATGTAGGTCAAGACAACATTTAAAAAGTGATTTAAAATAAACCGGATGCCTCAAATTGAAGTAAATCCCCTCTCGCTCCTTTGAGTTTTCCGCAGTGAATAAACGTGGGTTTAAGCAGCTTTTGTTGTTTCCTTTGCTAAAGCTAACTAAGATCATTTGCTTTTAAAATATTTGATCTTTCTTCTTTCTGTTCTCAGGAACCACCATCCCCCCTCTTCTGAACAGCACATCTAACAACCTCTATCTCAGCTTTACCTCTGATATCAGTGTCTCCGCTGCTGGGTTTCACCTGGAATATACCGGTGTGTGTTTATAAATGTTCGTCTGAACCCGATATTTCTATGTGCAGGCTGAAAATGTTACTGCTTCCTTATAGCTATCGGTCTGGAATCATGCCCGGAGCCTCAAACTCCAAACTACGGAGTTAGACAAGGAGACAGATTCATGGTGGGGGATGTTGTGCAGTTTTCGTGCGAACAAGGATACTCTCTTCAGGTAAACGGGTCTTTGAAAATCTAATTGTGTGATTCACACAGGCTGTAGAGCGACTGAAGGTGATCATAAGATTGTCTGTTTAGCTCCAACAGTTCAGTTCAGGGGCGGTTCTAGGATGGGTCCAGGGTGGACCAGTGCCACCCTGAAAGCAAGTTTGGGGCCCCTTGTGACCCCCCACCCTTGTGCCTTCAGTAGATATTTACATCAAGCAAGAGAGGGTGCCTGCCTCACAGAGAGAGGGATTGTGTTCCAGAGTTTGAGGTGGAAACGAGAAAGTTCATTTCCCACATGATTTGTATTTTATCCTGGGGGCCCACAATAGCAGGTGTTCGGCTGAGCTTAATGAACGTGAGGGCACATAGGGGGTGGGCAACTCAGACAGATATAGAGAAGCTTGACTGTTTAGGGCTTTGTAGACAAAGATCAGAACTTTAAAACTCACCCGATAGTGTATGAGGAGCCAGCGAAGGTCTTCCAGGATGGGTGTAATATGATAGTGTATGAGGAGCCAGTGAAGGTCTTCCAGGATGGGTGTAATATGACAACGTCTTTCTGCATTTGTCAGGAACTTGGCTGCAGCGTTTTGCACTTTCTGCAGATGATACAGTTGTAATTATACATTGTAAAATTTGAAATGCTCCTTGTTTTTAATGTTTTGCAAGTGTCTCTCTAACATAGCACCCCCTACCACAACTCATTCGAGCTCTGCTGAATTTCTTTTTATTACTTTTATCTGCATTTCTGCAAGATCTATTTAAAGCCTTTTAAATAAAGGAAAATCCCCATTCTCTGGTGACTTCTCTCTGCTTACTAAACACACAACTCTGGTGTGGTTTACACAACTCCTAAATAATAAATGTTTCTGCTGCGGTCTGCCCTGTTCCTGTGCCGTGTGTTGTAGACCTCTGGTACAGCTTTGCCTGCTTCATGTTTAACAGATACACAATGGTTGTGTGGATTAAAATGCTACACTTAAACCTGATTTGTTCTGCTCTTCTAACTGTTGAATGGTGATAACCTGTGGCTGCTTCTACATGTCTAGGGCAATGCTCACATCACCTGTATGCCTGGACCAGTCAGAAGGTGGAACTATCCAGTGCCGTTGTGTATCGGTAGGTGTTCTGCAGCACATTGACCATGCTCACATCTGGTCACTGACATACAGAACAATCATGCAACCCTTAAGCTCTGCAAAAATTCTCTGGCTATCCAATTTATTCCTGTGATTAACAGATCACTTAGTATTCTGCATGCAGTATGGGTAGACTTTTAAACTGATAAGGCACAAAACACAGAGTAAACCAGCACATCAGTATGCAATGAGGAGGTAAAGGCCTGGTCTTGTAACATGTCTGGATTTGCTCATTTCTGCTTTCACAAATCATTTTTGCGCTGAGATTTGCATGCATGTGAGTTTTTAGTTAAGATGTAAATTTTTTTGTTTTTTGGGAAAAAAAGTTTTTCAAAACAAAATAATTGAGAACCACGGCCATGTTTTACATCACATATCAAATTATGTACAATCGTCTTGGATTGTGTAGTGTCTGGTTTTGAGGTCATGGGTTCGGCGGCCCAAACCTTTTTGGGGTGCCACGTCTTTAACTGGCAGATCAACCACTTGATGGAGCACATTATGGTTTATATCTTATTGAAGCTTGCCCCTAACTTGACTGGGAAAAATAAAGCTAAAGAAAATGGTCGATTGCCCCAAATTAATCATAAAGGCAAAGAAAGAACATTTTTCATAGTTTTTTGTTGTTATTGTTGTTATGGAAGTTCAACGGTGAGAGATCTAATCCCTCCAGAGTGTCTTGGGTTGGCTCTGGAGTTTCCTTCTGGAAGAACATTCTAACCATGGTTTGTGTCCTGTACATCTGAGCACCTTTTGGCCACCTGTTTTTCCCAAATGGGTTTGGTTATTTTTTACTCAGAGCTCATGACTATATGGCACTATAGTACACCCAATAACATGAAAATCATCCACCTCAGACAATGTCTTTTCCAGATGAACATGACCCATGGCCTCCATAACCCAATATCCAAATGTTGGCGAACGAGAATCCTTCCAATTGGGCAATTTAAGTCTCTTGGCCAACAAAGAGCATAAAGCAATCAGGACTAGTTGGGTGTTATCCAACGGATTCCTCTGCAACCACTACAAAGTGATCCAAGGGTGTGAGTGCACAGAGGTCCCACAAATCTTTGAGAGTGCATCAAAAATCAATCGCTACATTTTTGGGCAAGTCCAGAACATGTGTAGCAGGTGCACGTCTGCGGCATTTGCTCGAGGAATGTTTCGTAGAACCCTGTTCCAGACCCTATCCGATAATTCAGCACCCAGGTCCAGCTCCCATTTCTATTGTAAAACATCCAGACTGGTCCCATGATGTGAGCTAAGCCTAGAACAACAAACTTCTATTTTAACGTCTTATAAAGCTTTGTAACATAAAGCATTGAACTGAATCGTATATATTGTGTAGCACTGCCCATTTGCTCATCCTGTTGGTTTTTGTTACATTTTCTGATTCTATATTGCCTCGTCTCAAGATATTCTTTACTTTTCCATTTTCTTTGAGTGTATGTTTATCTCCATTTCCTTATACAGCTCAGTGTGGTGGTACTATGACGGATGTAAGTGGAGTCATTCTAAGTCCCGGTTACCCTGGCAACTATCCCAGTGGATTAGACTGCACATGGGCTGTCAATTTACCTGTTGGCTTTGGTAAGAAACACATCAGTTCAGCTAAAAGGAATAAAAAGCAAATGGTTGCAGTTGACACTGATTCTGCTGGAGTTTCAAGAACTTTTCTTTGTTTTCCTCAGGGATTCATCTCAAGTTTCTAAACTTCTCCACCGAAGCGATCCATGATTACCTAGAGATTCGTAGTGGAACGCTGGAGACGGGCTCGGTGATTGACCGGTTCAGCGGTCCGGTCATTCCTAAACCGCTGTTCAGCACCACCCATCAAACCACCTTCTTTTTCCACAGCGACTACTCACAAAACAAGCCTGGGTTCCACATCACGTATCAAGGTAAATGTTAATTCTGCTCTTCTCCCTCCAACACCTTGTTTGCAGTGATCATTTCCCAAGCAGAAAAAACACAAGCAGACGTCTGACTGCACTGCTTGTTTAGCTGAAACCAGCCGTGACTTCAATCCAACGGAGCTTTTTTTTAAACATCAAAATTAACTACTTTGATGAGAGAAGGTTTGAAGTGAAGGAGCCAAAGAGATTATAGGGTGAATACAGGTTCTTCGTTTGGATACGTTTCAAAACTGAATTATATATTCATGCCATCTGGCATTGAAGTGTTATATTTATTATGACAAATCCTTTAGGCAGCCTAAATTTGTTTGGCCTAATTCTCTTTATGTGAAAATTACACAGGCTGATGAATAATGGCTTTTATCACTGGCAGCACTGCCAGTGTTCTAAAACAGGAAAAGATGTAAATACCCTTCTTACTTTTTGAAAGAAATGTTTGTGAGGTGACAGTTGGCACGTACAACAGTAGAAACAAAAATGTGAAATATTTAAAGTTTTTCCTGTATTTCTTGATCAGCGTTATTTATTCTTTATATTTTAGCAGCAGGTTAAAACTTTGATCAGGTCCCTACTGTGTGATGCATGTTACAAAAGTATAAATGTGTGGAACCTTTTATTTGTTTCAGACGTTTTATGTTTAAAAGGTTTTATGTTTAATCTGCAAGTTTTTTTTTACTTTTTAAGACATTTTCCATTATTTTGATCACAGTTTTGTCCAAAAACCCAGCCAGCATACATTTGCGGGCCCAATAAGAATTATATATGGGCAAACAGTGTGGGTCCCAACAGGTTTTGCTCATGGTTTTAATGGTAGCCTTAATGGGATTTGCCCTCGTAGATTTTGACCGGGCTGTTAACATGCCCATTTACGGGTCAAACCACCTGGATTCCTCTGAGAACCTAAATAGGGCACATTAGAATGTATGTAGGCAAACCCCCATAGGGCAACTAAAACCTGTTGGGCCCAAGAGGGCAAACGCTGCCTGACTAAAGTGAAGCCAATGTGGAAGGGACTAGTTCCAGAAAGGAGCAAGTTCCCGTTGACTTCTGAGTTAAAAGTTTCAATTTTACAGCAGAAATAAATAATTGGGCTTGCTAAAGCCATTGCTGGGCCAAATTTTGCCATTGTTGTAGCAACTCTAAGCTGCTGCCTAGCGCTCCCTGCTAAGGAAAGGCCTCATCTTCGACATCACATTAAAAGGTTTTACAGCCTAGAAGGCAGAATGAGGGTTGCAGAGTTGCTCAACCACATTTTCTGGTTAAAAGCGCCTGCTAGCCTCCATCAGCTTTGGTTAGCTAAGTTAGCGCTAGCTACATCGGCTCAGAGTTTGAAGGGTGTCAATGATCTTCCCCCACCCTCACAGCCCTGCGCTCAGCACCATTTTAGTATTTTCTGGGAGTGACAAGACACAACCAAGATGGCAGTGGTAGGAGCCAACCCCCCCGGCCCCACTGTGGTTCAATTTGGGCTCTTCAGAAACCAACGGGTGATGGTGCGGAGTTGTCATTATATAAACGGTACAATGTTGGGATCCAAACTGTTACCTATTTATTCCGTATGTGGCCCACTTATATAGGCTGGCTGGGAAATTGAAGCTGTTTTCCTGCTGGAATAATAACTTTTTTTTTTTTATCTCTCTAGCCTACCAGCTCCAGAGTTGTCCTGACCCTCGGCCATTCCGAAACGGCATTGTGATTGGCACAGACTTCAGCGTCGGGATGACAGTGTCATTTGAGTGTCTCCCTGGATATTCTCTGATTGGAGAAGCTTCTCTGACATGTTTACATGGAATCAGCAGGAACTGGAACTACCCACTTCCACGCTGTGAAGGTAATCGTCTGCATTGGTCAACTCATTTTTTCTATGCTGGAGTCTTTCATTCAGAGGGTTTTAATGTGCTAAAGGTAGAAAATTATTTCTTTCACCTCCGCTAAAAACAAATTCACCTTTAGGATTAATATCCAGACATTTATTAAAACAGCAATGCTAATTTTTATGTATCTGTTAAAATTCCACCACACAGCTCTTTGCGGCGGGAACATCACATCATTGAATGGAACCATTTACTCACCCGGACACCCCGAGGAATACCCGAACTTCCAGGACTGTGTGTGGAGTGTGAGAGTTCCTCCGGGACACGGGATTTACATCAACTTCACCGTCCTGAGCACCGAGCCCATTTATGACTACATTACCGTCTGGTAGGTGTCCTTCAGAGATTGGTGTTGAAGTTCCTCTCATTGTGAAGCATTTTTTTCTCCATCGTAAAATTTTCTAAATTAATTAAAAAAAAATCTGACTTGTTTGACCCAAATTCATCATATGTGATACCAAGTGTTTAGGAGTTACACCACTTTAACAGGATTAGTACGTTCCCGTAAAGCTCTCATCTGTTATTTATTCTGCCCTCTGGTGGAAGATCTAGGTACTACATATGGCAAGTCCCATACGAAGTACTTATGCCTCTGTCAGTGCGCCGCAGGGCATCGTGTGAATGGATGAATGACGCACTGTAGTGTAAAGTGCTTTGGAGTCCTCTAACTCTGGAAGGCACTATACAAGTGCGGGTCATTTATCATTTAGAATGTTTGTTCTGTTTTCGGTATCAAGCTCTATAGGGTTGATTTCTACCACACGACTAACAAATTTAGCTTTTTCTCAAAAATCCCAAGTTCTGTTAAAAAAAATCTATGTGACTACATAAAAGTATCTTTTAATCTCCTAAATAATATCCAGTGCATCATCGTAAATTGTACACATGGACGTAATTTTCACTTTAGAAGTGAGGGGGACACGGGGGGGGGGGGTATCTTTACAGTATGTTCTAATGGGAAACAGGCTTCATCACAAACGGTTGTTTTCCGCTTGGTCCTAGAGCTCAACCAGTGTCAATTGAATATAGCGTAATATTGTTTTTGGATGGTAAAAAGTGCAGGGGTCAAAACTTGACTTTGGAAAAATTATGTCCATGATTATACGTATTGCTCTGGGTTACCCCTTCCTAACCTCTCAGTCTTTTGCTTTTACGTTAATCTAAGCCACACACATCTGAATGTAAAATAAATCCAGTTTCCACCCGTTTCTTTCTCCTGCGTTACTTCTCTCTTCATTATTCTTCCTGAGAGGCACATCTATTGGCAACAGCAGACATTTTGCCAATGCAGGTGTTTAAATGGTTTTCAGATACAGTGTTGCGTAGGCACTCGCAGGTACGAGGTGGCAGCAGAGCCCTAAATAGACTCTTAAGCCTTTTTATACTTCTGGTTGAAATGTTGCTGCCCCCTCCGTGCATTTTCTTCTCAGCTGGGTGCCGTGTCCTTTGACGGATGTGTTAAGGCACAGATAAGTACAGGAATCACTACAGCAGCAGATTAAGGCGAGGTTTGCTGTAAATGTAGAGGAACGTAATCTGTTTAATGAGTCCAACTGTCTATACTTTAGACCTTAACGTCTGTCCCAACGGTCTGAGAACCCCGATGACCGTAAGAACCAGCAGGTAGATGAAATCAAATAAATTCATCTGGTGCTCACTTTAACTTCCTCTTAACAAACTAAGTTATAAGTCATTTATATGTTTATTTTGCCGCACAAAATGCTTTCTCTGTTTATGCCCACGCCAATAATCTGCAACTTCAAAAATTACATTTATTACAATAAGTGATACCAGCTAATTATTTTAATCATTACAAAGCAATGGTTCCCAAACTTTTAACTTTTAACCTGCAACAAGAAAGTGACAGAGAACACTGCCAGTTAAGTATTCACACATTTTAATAAGCCAATTAAGCAGGAACATAATGACCAGACAATCAGCCTCATATAACATTATGCTATTCTTAAATGTTTTTATGCCATTATTTTTCGTCTAACAATTATGGCAGAAATATATTGGTCAACAAACTTGTTTTTCGTGAGAAGAGTTGGTGTCAGGGCTTTGCCGTCATCATCTTTGTGGTTCAGTTTTAGTTAAGTCCAAGCAGTCTAAATAACAGTAATTGAAAAATGAAACTCACTAAAGTTATTTTGCAACATTATTCTTTGCAAACATGCACTTTATTTTCTGTGCCATCCAACTGATTTAACATCCCGTAAGCTAAAGTCACATGGGGTTTATTGTGTTTTAGAAAATTTGCACAAGGATGAAACTAAAGCTCCCCAGTATCAACAAGTATGTCTCCAGCCTTCTTAAAGCCATACTTTGCAGCTTTTTCATATTTTTTAATCATTTTCTTGAGCCAGTTTGTGCTAAAATGACCCTGTAAAGATTCATGAAATGTCGTGCAGAATCCACCGTCCTCTGTGGCCAGAATACCGCACTTACAACTTTAGACTGGCAGGCCGTTCTGTTGGGACTTGTGAAAAGATTGAGCGGACATACATCATGCATGCTTTAAATCATGAACACAACTCATTTATTTAATATTGAATCACTCCTGTAGACCCTCAGGAAGGCTGGGGAGATGTTTCAGGTGTTAGATTAAAGTGTTGCAATGACGAACGCACAGCGAAGAGATAATTTTTATTTCCCGTTTGACCACTGTAAAGAAAAATTGGTTTAACCATATTGTAAGGAGAAACTGTCTTTACTCAGTTTTATTGTTAAGAAGACTCAAAGGTTGTTTTCATCGATAAACTGCCGATAATATCTGAGTGTCTGTGTTTCAGTTCAATGAGGAAACCAGTTTGACGATTAAAAGTTTTAATTCTTCAAATTAAACTAATGATTTTGAAATTGACAAACAGAAAATAATAATCAACCTTGGCAACTTTGTGGGACAATCTTTAACTGTTGATATGCTGTTCTTGCTCAAATTGACCTTCTGGTGAATTTATGAAGATTGAGAATGTTGTGAGTTGTGAGAGTGATATGATGTGATTATGGATGCGGGTGGGTGCAAAGTGTGGTGAGATGAGGTGAGATGAATGCGTGTGTGCATCTGATTTTGCTTCAGGAAGAAACAGGTATCTGAGTGAAAAGTGATGGTTTGAATAAACTTAGGCTTAGTTGGAAAAGATGCATCAAAACGCTATCTGTCGTGTTTTGCCTCACCGAAAATCGGACCCTCTGTTGGACCCGGGACGTCACCTTAGGATGTTTCATCCAGGGCACCTTGGCTGGCAAAGAAGACAAAGATGCGCCGCGAACCGGTCCAGAGTTGCCCTCGGTACACGTGGATGGTAGAGCGTTTTGTCGACGCGCTTTCTTAAGTTAATTCACTCAGAAATCAAAAGACTCGGTAATGAGTCTGCGTTAGAAGTTGCGATTCAGCTATTCTGCCTGGCTTGGCAGAAACAGCGCGAAAGGGGGGAAGAACGAGCCAACAGGCTCTGCCCCCCCTTTGGTTTTCAGGTCTGTTCTCTTTCGTTGTCAAGCACGAACTGGAATCATAAGACTGAAACTTACCAAAAACCTTTCTCTTCTCAAAGCAAACGTGTGCGTCATCAAATGTGTCTGGAGTTTACTGTGGGAAGATGTGTGTGGGTGTGTGTGAATGTTTGTGTGCTTGAGTGTGTGTGAAGGTCAGTACCAAACATTCTCAACATTATTTAAGAATGGATTCATTAAGCCATTATAATTACCCCAAAGCATACTAGTCATTCATTTGATTAAACATATTTATAATGAGCAAAATGATAATGGTTACTTTAACATTAAAATCAAGAAAAAGAAGTTGAAACTTTATGTTTTGACTTGGTCTGGGTACAACTCATGGAAACACATCTTCTGGTAGACTGCAGGTGGCAGATGTTATGGTTTCCTCCCAGACTCGCTGGCGTTCAGGTCTTAATCTGTGGGTGAAAGTTCTCAGCGACCCAGCTTTGACCCAGCTGAGTCCAGCACCACCATTGTGACAGAAAACCCATATTTCCTCACGTTACACCACAGAGAAATAATAACAGACATTGGGGGGTGCTAAAAGCAAGCAAAACTGCCAAGTGTGCATTTGATGGGGAGGTTCACTTGGAAATGCATAAAAGTGGTTCTTCTTGAAATACGCATGGTCATTCTGTCATTTTACCTGCATATACCCCTAGCTCCCAAAATGTAGCTGCTGAAAGAAAATAGAAGGGGAAAGGCTCGGATCAAGAAAACAACTGTCCCTTCTACGTCATAGGGAAATATTTGCATTCACGGACTTGCCTACCTTGGCTAGCGACCGCAAAAGTTTGTGTTGATTAACTTTCATGAGAGAGCATAGCACATCTCGGCAATTAGAAGGTAACTGTTAGCGTTAGCAACTCCACAACATGATGGAATACATTCAGACTTGCGTTATTTGCTTAGGAAAAAAAATCAGCGTTGGATTTGTTTACTCAAGAGGAGCGAATGGAGGCAGTGTAAGAGTTGCATTGCTTTAAAGCAACTCTAAACGGTTTCCTACTTCTCCCCCCTACTGGTTGAAATCTGAATTACAACTGTTGTGAACAATTAGGCCTGTCATAGCCAGCTAGTGCTAACAATGAGCTAACACTAACACATGCCAACTGATATTAAATAAGCCATAAAGTATAAAGATCCACATTCTTGGGCAAAAAAAATTTAATACTTACAAGTCTAGTGGCAACAAAGTCAGGTCACCATCAGTTCATGATTTCATAGCCTTCTGTTCCTCCCTCAAACGAGTGTAGGCTTGGTTTTAGCTTGTTGCTTCTCCTAAGACAATACTCGTACTTTCAGGTTCCGCCATGATGCCAACATACTTCTTCTTGTGGTTTTTATTGATGGTTGGTGAATTGAAAATGCCAATTGCTGGCCTTTATATTAGCTATCAGTAGAGTAAACAGCTTTCTTATTTACACAGTGAACCTACCCATCCCTAAAAACTGTTAAGTGTGGTTTCTTGACAGCAGAGGGTTGTACAATCTGAAGTTGGTAAAGTTTCTACTTAGAGAATCACTGAAACCAATGTCTGTGTTACTTTAAGCCAATCAGAGGCAATTTCACATATCATGAATATTAATGAGTAAATCTCCAAATCCTGTTGCTTTAAAGTCCCGTTAGTCATCATCACACACTGGTGCAATTACATCTCTGCGTTTGACCCCTCCGCGTGGGGAGCGGTGAGCTGCAGCTGTAGCTGCACTCGGGAACTATTTGGTGGTCCAACCCCCAGTACAACCCCTTAAAGCTGAGTGTCAAGCAGAGAGGCATTGGGTCCCATTTTAAAGTCTTTGTAGACCCAACTGGAATTTGAATCCTGACATCCCAGTCCCAGTGTGGACACTCTAGGCCCTCCTGAAAATATGAATTCTGCAAAGCGTTTCCCAACATTTGATGTTGACCAAACCATCATATATATTCATATATATATATTAGGGCCGGGAAAATGAGCGTGTTAATTATTAATGTTAATTTTGTTATTTTAACGCGTTAAAAGTAAATGACACAATTAATGTGACCATCTCTCCAACCCAGAGCCACCATTCTCCAAAAATTCTCCATATTTCTGCCTGAACAATACTGCTAAACCATCATTTACTGAGCCCGAAAAAAGATCGTTTCTACCCACATTATGGACTCTCAGCATCGACGATTCTTTTGAGTGGAGATGATGAACAGAGGCAGAGCGCTCATGCGCTCCACCGGCATCTGCGTCTTGCTCACGGCCACAGTAACATCCTCAAAGCAGCGCCACCAAAATATATTTAACACGCGATCGTTCATAACTGCGTTGGTACTTTCTGTCTTTTGTTCATGCCTGACGCGCATCGCTTCTGCGCTCATCCCCCGTGCTCCACGGCCGCGGCCAGGCAGCGTTTTTTCTGGAGAACTAGATCCTGCATCTCCCTGTGGCAGATGCAGGATCAGACAGATAGGACGAGATAAGAATAAGAAAACAAAACAAAGAGCTCGGAAAGGAAAATGTAGGTAGATTTATCCCACTACATGTTTTAACGTTATAAAATAAATATTTTTAATAAGCTTATATTCCATACAATTCAGATCACCTTCAAAACTCCGTCCCACCCACAATTTGCGGGCCATGCCAGAGAGGTGTCCCTTATTTATCTTTTCGGGAGTTGGCAATCCTAGTTCAACCAATGCTGTGAAAAATGAAATTTACATTGAGTAACATAAGCTAACTGTGCTAGATTTATATCCTGTTCATTGTTTACACAATAGACTTTTTCAAACAATGTTTTTGAACAGAAACTGGATTTGATTTTAGGTTTTCTCTGTTAAACACAGTATTCAGTGATTTTACACACGTCAACAAGTTATGCACTTTATAAATAAAATGAGCCTCTCTTGTATATTTTTGCATGTTTATTGCTTGCTTTTTCTGGAAATAAAATTATAATGAATTACTATTAATTTTTTTCAGATTTTCGATTAATTAGTTAATTTATTTTAATCGATTCCCAGGGTTAATATATATATATATATATTTTTTTTTAATATCATATTTTGCTGTTGCTATCTCCATCTTTTTGGGGTAAGAGGTGGGCTACACCCTTGATAGCTTTCCAGGCCATTTCAGAGACACTCACACAAATGCACACACACACATGTAACTTGTACTGAATTAGATTCACCAAGAAACCTACGTAAAGTGAAACCAGAGTACCCAGAGAAGACCCACAGAGAGTACAAGTCAGCTCCACATAGAAAGGACCCAGTCGGGTGTCAAATCCAGTATATTCTTACTTTAATGCAGCAGCTGTAACTAAATCTTATCAATAAAAATGATTCATTTGGGACCTATACTTGCAGAGTAATCATATAAGGATCAATCCTGATGACGGTTTTTCTGATTTTAAACTTTAGTTTCTTCTCTGACACCAACAGAAGCACCCTTGTCTTCGAAATTCTGCAAACTCTGGCACGATTTTGTTTACAGATCTCTTTAGTGTATAGGTGCAGCTCAAGTCTATTATTTCTTTTCCTCTTCTCCCACACCAAACAGCAAAAGACTGCTGAACCATGCGCCGCCCACCCACAGATGATTGTGTGAATTCCACGGACTGGTGGCCCAGCATGTTTCTGACCCCGCTGTCTGCTGGTGAAAAAAAAACTGGGCAAACGAAGAAAAGACGGCAATTGCTTGAAACACAGTGCAAAAACGTACAGCCTCGCTCACACAGCCCTAATGTTGACTTCCAGCGGAGAGCGCAGTGTCGGTGGTAAAGGTGTGATTTTCACAGCGGTATTCTCAGTCCAGAGCCAGCCGACCTGACAGTCACTGAGTCTGCTAATTGGTCTCATACGGCGAGACGTACTACAAGATTTCCTAGCGAGAGCTGTCAGATACATCAGATGTTTCCATGTACTGTGCAACCTCTCACCGTATATTTTGCTACGGTGTACTAATAACGGAAAACAGTGTAAGAGAGAAACTGATCCCCGGATGAATCGGAGAGTCCTCATTCGACCTGACAAGTGCAGTCGGCTTCACCCAAAGTGACCTGAAAGTTAGAAATGAAAATTTTATTGAACTTCACAATTCATATTAATCACAGATGGTGAGTTTATTGAGCGGAGAACTTGCAAATCCCAGTCTTCACCAGAAGTGTTTTATTCTTTTGACCTGATGACAGTTCAGTCGATTCTTATGAAACTGAACATCTCAGAAGGAAAAAAAGAAAACCACAGATTTGTGTTATCACAACTTGTTCCTGGAACATAGTTTGTTCTCATATCGGAGAGCTTTGACACACACAGGCAATTTGATTGTTTCGTGGAGGAAGACGGGCTCGTATCCAGTCGCACCAACTCCGTCGCAAAGTGTCCATCTTCATTTGCAGTCAATGGAGCGGCTCCGGTTATGCATTACAGTTTATTGTCAGGTCTCTTTTATCTTGGATTCTAGCCTTGAGAAACCATTTCCTGATCACACACGGCCATCTAACTGTCAGAGCTATCTGCAGTAACTTATTCGAATTACGTCTTTCCACCCCATTGTTTTAGAACAACAGATTAAATCCATTCAGTTATGAGTTTTTTTTATGTTTAACTGCCTCTTTTGTTTGCCGTGCGGGTTCTGAGTATGTGTTTTTCCTCTTTGTGTCACCACAGGGACGGTCCGGATCAATCATCCCCTCAGATTGGCCAGTTTAGTGGGAACACAGCGCTGGAGTCTGTCTATTCGACCTCCAACATCATCCTCATTAAATTCCACTCTGACTTCTCTGGATCCGGCTTCTTTGTCTTAAGTTACCACGGTAAGCCGGCGACCTTATGACTGGTCGGTAGAGCTAATATCACTCTACCGTACGGCGGAAGTGGAACGTGACATTTGATTTTCCTCACAGAAGGCGCTCTCATTAACAGCTTCCTCTCTGCGGTTATTTTTCCTGTCCTGAGGTATAGCTCTGAAACTATAACGCCGTCATTAGTTGTGGCTGCAATCATGAGATTGATTAGTATTTCATTGAGCTGAACTGTGTTTAACTCCATTCTCATTAAGTTCTTCACAAACCCACTGCCTTTGAATAATCAGGCCGGAAAGTTGATCCAAACTCTGGAGCATTTTACTACTTGATCAAAGTCCGTTTGGAACAGTAACGCATTTGAAGAAGGAGTCTTTATTACCTGCACATCTGTGTTTTTTACACATGGAGCAGGGCTCGTCTCTGGCTCTAGGACATTTCTAACAGGTGTACATATTACAAGCAGGTCTGTTTGTTGATGGTTTTCTAGCTCCACGCTAGTCATTTTTATAAGCTAAACCTCAACCAGATGGCAAACCAAAGGAAGTGGAAAGCTAAGAAGTGACTTTTAATGGTACATCAGATGTAGTAAACAGTCTTTATGTTGCATTTGTGCTTCTTATATACTTTATACCAGTGGAAGTGTAGTCTTACAGTAGGGATGTATTTTCTTTTCTATAAGATGAAGTAGTTTATTTATTTAGTACTTTTCACAGACGCCAGTCACAAAGTGCTTCACAGACAAACATAAATACAAACATGTGCTGCTTAGGAAGAAAAACAAATATGAGTGCTAATACACTCACATGTTCACTACATAATGCCTTCACACAGCTGATGTTTGTAAATGCCACTGTTGTGTTGGGTATCTCGTGCTGGATGAGGAGGCTGTCTACACCACAAGTCCTAAGTCCGATTCAGCAGCAGGCAATCGAGTCGATTGGTTCTTAGCCAATCAAATTACGCTCCTTTGATCACGTGACACTACTGAGGACCAGGAGGTCACCTGATTTCTGCTAGTGAAAATATTCTGTTGAAATTCTGTTGTTGAATTTTTAAAGATGAAAATCTGCAGATGAATTTTAGGAGATGACATTTTTGCTATTGTATTTTCAGTAAAAAAAAATTCTAATTAATACAAAGAATAAGTTTTCAGTGTCAAAAATTCTACGTCTAAAAAATGCATATTCTGGTGAAATCGTTATACTTCTATATCATAGTTTCTATGGAAAGTGTAAAAAACAAATTAGCCTAAAACATTTTTTTCATGCCTCTCAACAACATTCTTAAAGTGACAGTGTGTATTTTCCTTGGCTATAGGCGGCAGTAGAAACCTAAATCATTGCAAGCTAGCATTATTTTTGTGTTCAAGTAAGACCTTACCAACATATGGCCATTAGGGTAAAAAATCCCTGGAAGTGCAACCTCCAACAAAGCAACAAGATCTTTAGATTCCCTTTTATCACTTGCAATGAGTGAAGAGGTAAATGTGTAAAACAACAATGTTTGTTACAAATCAGTAAATGCATTCTGTCCTCATGGGCTTCCATAGAAGGAAACATGGCATCCAATATGGCGTCACCCAGAGACTTAGACCTGCTCCCATGTATTTTAGACCCAATTTTTATGGTTACATGTTATGAAACCGCCAATATTTTTCAACAATTGGGCATCTTTTAATTCATTTACAACAACATTTCAATGGATATTTCCAGAGATGAATGGTTAAAAACTACACATTGTCACTTTAAAGCCTCTACCAATGACACATTTTGGTCCGAGACCAACTATTGGACCGTTCAGTTGTCAATCTCGCCAAACTGCTGCAATTCCCTGGGTCCTCAATTCATTACACACTCACATATTTAGCAACAGAACACCACTGGTGTGAGAGGTTCTCTGCTCCATAATATCAGAGGAGAAACAGCCGGCTGCTACTACTTCACCTTTGGTACAAACTACCACCACATTTATAATTCTTTCTTGTCAAATATAACCAAACTTTCAAGCATGTGTGCCGCTTAGACGCCATGTTTCCTGCTTCCGTAAGCTACGCAACTTGCGCGATGATGTCATTCGTGCCCACCGGAATTAATAAGGGGAATCGTTTGCAAAAGTGGCGAAAGATTGGGGCAACGGTGGCACAGGAGTTAAGTGCTCGCCGCGTAATCGGAAGGTTGCAGGTTCGAGCCCCGCTCAGTCTGTCGCTGTCTTTGTGTCCTTGGGCAAGACACTTAACCCACGTTGCCTGCTGGTGGTGTTCGGAGGGACTGGTGGCGCCTGTGCTCGGCAGCCTCGCCTCTGTCAGTGCGCTCCAGGGCAGCTGTGGCTACATTGTGGCTCATCCCCACCAGAGTGTGAATGTGTGTGTGAATGGGTGAATGACTGATTGTGTTGTAAAGCGCCTTGGGGGGTTTCAAGAACTCTAGAAGGCGCTATATCAAATACAGGCCATTTACAAGATTCCTAGGAATTGATCCAATGGGAACCGGTTCTCAACAAGAACCGGTTTTTGATTCCCAACCCTAGAGGATACCTGAGGGGAGGGGTGGGTGTTCCATGACCGTTTAGCGATCCTAGCTTGTTTGCAGATTCGCCATGACATCTTTAAATCTGCTGCAGTAACTTCTGTATTAAAAAAAACTGGTGCAGAACCGTCCGTCCAAACCCACCATTTCTGTCCAAAACTCTTGGAAAACTGATGCACGCCCGGTTCTTGCTGGTCTTGCTAACAAAAATCTTTTCAAATAGTTCCAATCTGGATTTTGCCACTTTAAACGATCATTGATGCCCTCATGGTAATTTATTTTTGCTGTTGACGATTCTCATTCTTCTGAACCTGAGCATAGCCTTCATCATCTCACTCATGTTCCTGTACAGAGTAGCAGGAATCTCATCTTGCTCTCCTCAGTGAGGGGATCGCGTGTGAAATACAAAATAGCTTCATAAGAAAATGCAATAAGTTGAGCAGAAGTTGTCAAAATAACAGGCAGAATTTCACAAATCATCTTTAGAGTCTCTCCCTGATCTGACCAAAATCCAAAATGCCACAGTTTGCATGAGAGGCGGCTGAGGGAAAATGTGCCATTTTTGCTCTAAATGCCAAAGAAACCCCTAAAAAGGGGCATCAACGTACTGCTGGGGATATTTATTGTTGCTGTGGTCTTTTGTTTATTTATCTGTGGGTCGAGAATCTGAATGCCGGCACCCGCACAAAGACACGAGAGCGGTGGATGATGTTGTCATGGAAATGAAACGGAGAAGGCAGATGTGATGAGAATGAGAAGATGCCTGAAACTAAGAATAAAATGGTCTTGGAGCTTAGCGCGATCAATTAAGTGCTTACAGTCATCCTCTCCTAATGCACAGACATGGCTAAACATGAACACACACACACACACCACAGGGCTTTGATATGCATGAGGGCAGCAGATACTATTGGCAGGTCTCATTTTCATAGTCAATTTCATCCTGACTTACAGCCCTCTCTCCCCCACGCCGCTCCGTCCGTCGGTCTTTCCGTCTGTACTTTCACCGTCTCCCACAGTTAGCGAGTGATCTACGCTCATGCAGTAATATTGATTACAGCCTTCAGCTCAGTAGCTGTGAAGTTCCTTCTTTTTTATGAGTCAAGGCAGTGCTGTAGCTCTGAGGCTGCTCTGGGTTTCTTGACCTGACCATCTGAACTCAAAAAAACATTAAAGTCAAACTGATACAACCGCGATTAAATATCAGGTTGTGTTCTCTGTGGGTTCTCATCCTGCAGCTTCTATAAAACATTTAAAGTAGGCGGGGTTTAATGCTAAATCTTCTCACGTCCTCGATCCAACGAGGTTTTCAGATCACACTCCTTTTCCTTTTTATGTTTAGATCACACATATTTTAAGGTGAAATCTTTGTCTTCTCTCTCTGTGCCTGTGCTCCAAGCCTACCAATTAAGGATTTGCCAGCCTCCCCCAGAAGTGGCCAACTCTGACATACTGATGGAGGACGGAGAGCTGGAGATAGGTGAGCTGCCTGCCTACCTGTCAGACACCTGATGGGTCATTTTGACATTAGAGGCAAACTGGAAACTTGTTCCTTTCCAGTTTTCTGTGAAACAAGAAACCTCGATAATGTGGCGAAGAGTCTTGGATAGTTGTTTCCATGCTTGTTATTTTTGCACATACATTAGCTCTGATTCCTATAATGCATGCACCCTGTCACGTGATTTAGTGCACCCCCATTTTTAAGCACAGATCCTGGTAGAAATCACAAAGAACTTTCCTCAGTTTGTCTTAACTTGAGATTAAATGAAGCAGCAACTTTGGGGAAACTAATTTAAACTGATTTTTTTTTTTTGCATGGCACGGTTGAATTACCACCAATTAACCAACTTAACTATTATTTTCAGCAGCATTCAGAACCATGTACATTGTGAAAAACTACCCAATAAAACAGAGGTACCAATGTGCACACACAATTAAGTCATTTATACCCCAAATATGTTTGTAATGTACCGTATAGTCAAAGTTAAGAAATACATAAAGGAACTGGGTAAAATCTGACACTTTTTAGTAAATATTACACCGTTTTCTAAGCTATAAAATTATAATATAAATAAACACACATGTCAAAGCTAGGATCAATCCTGCAACCTTCCACTTACCGGGCCGCCCGCTCGACCTTCTGCGCTGTACTGCTGCAGTGTAATGCTAGTAGAAATAATTTATTCAACACAAAAAAGCTTATTTCTGTTTCACAGAAGTTGAACTGAATGTCCATTAACTGTTGCCCAAGATTTTTTAGACATGCTGAAAATGTAAGTGTGTCTGTAACTGTAACTACTTGAATTGGAAAGCCAATACGTCACAGAACGGTAAACAGATACTCTGGCCAACATGTGCAATTGTTCTATTTGTTCATAAAATTAAGTCAGTGCTGAACTAATATGTTTAAGTAGGCTCTACTCATTATAACTGGGTTATATTTGTTAATTAAATAAATAGGTAGAAATAATTCATTTTTTAATATTAATCTTTATATTTAGTCACATTTTAGATGCTATTCATGGGTGATATTTAATATTCCAAATAAAATCTGTTTTCTCAGTGTATGTTTGCAATTGCCTGATCAAAATAAGGAGACAACAAGAACAGATGGAGGGTTCCAATACATATTCTTTTTGTCCGTCCAGGTGACATCATCAGATACAAATGCCATCCTGGATTCTCATTGGTCGGCAGTGAGATTCTTACGTGTCGTTTAGGAGAGAGGCTGCAGATGGATCTTCCTCCTCCAATGTGTCAAGGTGCTAATCTAGACTTTCTTTCATGAACTGATTCTGATGACAGCTTTGAAGCTAAGTGTGTGTACTCACCTGGCACAGTCTCACCGGCAGTCTGTTTCTCACTCTTACAGTTCAGTGTCCCGCTCAGGAGGTGCGATACGACTCATCGGGCGTCATTCTCAGCCCGGGCTGGCCAGAAAGCTACCCGAACCTCCAGATGTGCTCGTGGAGCGTTAACGTGGAGAAAGGATACAATGTCACCATAACCTTTGAGAGTTTCCACACCGAGAGAGAGTTTGATGTGCTGGAGATTTCTGATGGTACAAGAAAAATAACATTTCGTTACACAGAGTGCTCTGTCTTATATATATGTATATATGTATGTCTATATATATATATATATATATATATATATATATATATATACACACATATATACCGGAAAAGGGTGGCTTGCCAACTCCGGGTCGGGGGAGAGGTCCTACCTCAAGTGGAGGAGTTTAAGTATCTCGGGGTCTTGTTCATGAGTGAGGGTAGGAGGGATCGGGAGATCGACAGGCGGATTGGTTCAGCGTCTGCAGTGATGCGGACGCTGAGCCGATCTGTCGTGGTGAAGAGGGAGCTGAGCCAGAAAGCCAGGCTCTCGGTTTACCGGTCGATCTACGTCCCAATCCTCACCTATGGTCATGAGCTTTGGGTAATGACCGAAAGAACGAGATCGCGGATACAAGCGGCCGAAATGAGTTTCCTCCGTAGGGTGGCCGGGCTCAGCCTTAGAGATAGGGTGAGGAGCTCGGATATTCGGGAGGGACTCGGAGTAGAACCGCTGCTCCTCCGGATCGAAAGGAGCAAGTTGAGGTGGTTTGGGCATCTGGTCAGGATGCCTCCTGGACGCCTCCCTGGGGAGGTGTTTCGGGCATGTCCTGCCGGCAGGAGGCCCCCGGCTCGACCCAGGACACGTTGGAGAGGTTACATCTCCAATCTAGTCCGGGAACGCCTTGGGGTCCTGCCGGAGGAGTTGGTGGAGGTGGCCGGGGAGAGGACGGTCTGGAGCTCCCTAGTTGGGATGCTGCCCCCACGACCCGGACCCGGATAAGCGGAGGAAGACGACTACGACAACGATGTATATGTATGATATATATATATATATATATATATATATATATATAGATATATATAGATATATATAGATATATATATATATAGATATATATAGATATATAGATAGATAGATATACAGGAATAACCTTGAAATTAACTCAAAGTGAGTGGCATCAAGGGAGTTTTAAATTTTAGGGGGCCGTTACTTTTTCATATGTGACCAGGTTGGTTTCCGTAAATTTTCCCCTTAAGAAATAAAATTATAATTTCAGTACTACATTGTGTATTTGCTCAGGTTATATTTTGATTTCATCGATGACATCAGTAATGGAAATAATCATTTTTCTCACACTACTGTATTGTCAACACCCAAAACATTAAAATAGCCTTTCCCTCATCTTTTTCCTCCCACATCTGTGTCTTTTTGTCTCTTAGGTCCCACGCCCAACAGTCCAACTCTGGCAACACTGAGCGGCGACCTGCCGACACCCTTTAACATCACCACCTCCGGTCACCAGTTTCTGGTCCGCTGGTCGTCAGACCACGGCACCAACAAGAAAGGCTTCAGAATTCGCTATGTTGGTGAGTACCAAAGTATGTATCCCAACTTTACTACTATTTTATAATATGCATGAAAAACAAGGATAGAAGAGTAAGAGATAGACAGAGGGACTGGAAATGTGATTTTTAACCTCAACAAAACTTTAAAGATGCAAAAGTGTATCAGTTTGTCAATTCTGCTCATTGTGTTTGTTCAGACTTCTGTCTGTCTCCTAAAACTCTTCTGAAATGCATTATGGGTTGTCCAATGGAAACTTGATGAGTACAGATGGTGTTTAAAGAAAGAAAATTCACATTTGAACAATCGAGCACCTGTGCCTGCTGAGTCTGACTTCAGACTGTTGTGTAATGAGGCGTGCGCGCCTCATTCAAGGGCACTTTTGACAGTTGGAGATGAGGAGAGGATTTCACCTGTTCACTTTGCTTATTCACTCCACAGCCTCCAGTCAGAGAGGCTGCTTCTTTAACCTTTAAAGCACCGCCACCCTGTATGATGAATTATACGCTGAAGAGTAACTGAAAAGCCTCTCAAGACTCTCGGTAACCTTCTTCAGCGGACGTGATTAATGAACGTACAGATGAGATGTGTTCAACACACTGTACTAGAAACCGGCTATACGAGTGTTTCTAACCTCCAAAATCAGGCCAATGACGCACGCGTGTTAGATGATGTTCACGGACTTCAAACCACAACGGAAATTTTCTTTTAAGTGTTAAAACAACATTTTCTCTTTGTGATTTGGTCAGTTTGACACGCTGCATTATCCTTCTTAGTGAAAATGAATTAATTGAAGCGTAATTGAAATCAGCAGGTTAATGCAATCAGAGCTAAAACCTGTGCAGGGCGAGAAAGGACCCAGATTGGATCTGATAAGTTATTGTCTGCCGGCTGCTTCGTCTCTGTTCCGATTAAAGTTTTAGGGCCTTTTAAAGCAAATCGAGTGAGGGTGTCTTCATTAGAATTAGAATGTGTCTCAGAAAACCTTCTGGCACTCATTCTGTGAATACATGACGGACAAAAGACACAAAATCTCTGCATTTACTGCTCACTGCTGCTGTTCATTTATTCAGAGACACAACAAGGAGATGCAGGAACACAAAAACGTGTGTACCACTGAGTCCAGTTAGGAGTTGGATCGGAGTCAAATTATGACTCAGATGCACAGTAACACTGACGTTAAGAAGCTGATTCAGAGGCAGAAGGAGAATTAGCTGCAAACTTCCTGAACTTGCTGCCAAGTTGGCAGAGTTTCCCTCAAGATGCCAATATTGTCCGGGGGAAAAATTATTGGTTCCTGTTGCAGGATTAGTTCATAAAGTAATTCTTATAGCCATTGATGACTTTGTTAGCAGTGGATCCAGTGTTGAGTTTGACATCTGCTCTAAATTCCTTCAGTTCGATGAAGAAGTCCTGCCAGGAGAGATTTTTTTTTAGTTAGGGATCAATGAAGCCCGTCATTTTTTATAGATCCTGACTTTGTGAAATGATAATTATTTCTTAAATGTTGCATTTGCATATTTACGGTGGTCTAAACTAGATAAAGATATAAATTGAAAAACATTGTAATATTTTTATGTTTTATTTTTCTCCCCTGCAGCCCAGTACTGCTCCACCCCAGACTCTCCCCTCCATGGCTCTATATCCTCCCAGACTGGCGGCCATGTTAACAGCGTGGTGCGGTGGGCGTGCGACCGTGGTTACCGTCTTATAGGCAACGGCACAGCGACCTGCCGTCGTACACCTCTGGGGTACCACGCCTGGGACTCGCCAGTTCCCGCGTGTCAAGGTGTGTAGCTAAAACGACAGGAAATATGGGACATGTGTTGCTATTGTCCATTTTTACAGGTGTAATCTGGAGCATAATTAATGAGAAAATAATAAAATGTGTTTATTTTTTAATCAAAATCAAATATGCAAAAACACAGCAAGTCAGGGTGAATTATAACTGCAAAAGTAAAACAAATATCAATAAAAACATGATAAATCGGTTTTGGAAGTGTGTTTTTCAAAATTTGTTTCATTTAGATTTTTCTTCTTTTTGTGCTGTTTGCTACCAGAGTAGATTATAAATGAGATTAGGTGGAATATGTATGGTGCAAGTTGTAAAGTGTCATCTGTACACTTTGTATTTTTATCTTTGAACCAATTATTCTGTGATTCTGAAAATTCCATCTCTTTTAAACATATTTATAGGATTATTATAGTTCTGATGTAATCGCCGCCTCTTACCCTTTAAATAACAGAGGAAATAGCAGCTAACGTCTGCTATTGTCAGCCGTTATCACGGTCTATTTAAAGCAGTGCTGCTCGAAGCTCTGCAGGTTGGACGTGTCTTCTGCGAAACGGTTTGAAGTAGAGATCAAAGATCTCTTGATTGCGTATTTTTAGCTGGACAGCTACAATGTCTGGTTGTTTCAGAACTCGTAAACAAACATAAATAAACAGTCTGTGTTCTCAGAACTGTTTCACTCAACACATTCTGTTTTCTTGTTGTCCTTTCCATCCTCGTGCCTCTCAGCTGTCTCCTGCGGGCCACCCAAGGCTCCCATAAATGGCGGGGTGCTAACAGCTGACTACTCCGTGGGAACAAGAGTTTCCTATTTTTGTAATGACGGGTACAGGCTCTCCAGTAAAGAACTGACATCAGCCATCTGCCAGCCTGACGGAACGTGGAGCAACCACAATAAGATACCGAGATGTTCAGGTTGGTGGCAGCTAAATATCTGCAATGCTGACGCTGAATGTTCATGTAGATGTCACACACTTAAGCTTCTCCCTTTTATTTATTTTCTCATTAAACTGTTGTCTCATCTTTAGACAACATCAAGGTTAGTGTTGGTCAAAATTCAATTCAATTCAGTTCAAGTTTATTTATATAGCGCCAAATCACGACAAGAGTCGTCTCAAGGCACTTCACATAATAAACATTCCAATTCAGGTCAGTTCATTAAGCCAATCAGAAAAAAATGTTTCCTATATAAGGAACCCAGCAAATAGCATCAAGTCACTGACTAGTGTCAGTGACTTTACAGCAATCCTCATACTAAGCAAGCATGCAGCGACAGTGGAGAGGAAAACTCCCTTTTAACAGGAAGAAACCTCCAGAGAATCCTGGCTCAGTATAAGCAGCCATCCTCCACGACTCACTGGGGATCGAGAAGACAGAGCAGACACACACTTACACACACACACACACACACACACACACACACACACACACACACACACACACACACACACACCAAGCAATGTGTCTATGGTTACATTGTGATGTCTTAGTAAATATTCTATTTGGCGAGAGATAAACTTTATTGTATTTATCCTAGTGAATCTATAATTAAACGGGTAAACTAGTAGTAGCACATCCAACGTCAAGGAAAGCAAAAAGTTATTATCAGGAGAGGGAGAATGTTTAAGTGGTTAGCAGCAGTGTGCTAGACGATGGCCCCCTCCATGAGGCCACCACAACTCAGCAGAACATCACTGTAGCTTCTTCTGGGGAGAAAAACACTTAGAGAGAAAATAAAGTTAACAGCTGAAATTGCAGAAAATAATACAGTTAAAGAGCAGATTGTAGAAGAAAGCAGTAGAGTGTGAAAAGTGGTCAGTGTATCCTCCAGCAGTCTAAGCCTATAGCAGCATAACTACAGAGATAACTCTGGATAACCTAGCCTTTTTAGATGGAGGCATGTTGGAAGCAGGGCAAGGGAGAACCGTCTTTACCGATTGTACACTCCACCTCCCTCTACTCCCCCTCTTGTCCAGATCTAAGCTAACATCAGATTTTTTCCATAGGCCCTATCAAATAAAAATGTTTTAAGCCTAGTCTTAAAAGTAGACAAGGTGTCTGCCTCACGGACTAAGACTGGGAGCTGGTTCCACAAGAGAGAAGCCTGATAACTAAAAGATCTGCCTCCCATCCTAATTTTAGATATTCTGGTAGCCACCAGTAAACCTGCGGTCTGAGAGGGAAGTGCTTGGTTAGGAACGAATGGAACAATCAGATCACTGATGTATGATGGAGCTTGATTATTAAGAGCTTTATATGTGAGAAGGAGGATCTGAAAACGGTATGGTTTTATACCAAACTAGTACTGAACCCCATGGCAAAGAAGGAAAACAGGGTGCTGTGAAGATTTTACCTTAAGCCAAAGAAGGACCGTACTTGTCTGAACTTGTAAACTCGTGTACTTGTGAAACGCCTTCAACATTGACCCAAGTATTGTTCCAATCCTAAGTCTGTATTAAGTACGCTCAAAGTACCCGGATGTGTTCTTGCTCCAACCACTCTATCGATGATCATCAGTACGTTCTTCTGCAGGTTTGGACTAGCTCGTTAGCTGACCCTCTATCAAAGTAAACCAGCCATGCCACAGATTGCACAGTTTTAATTAAAACAATTATTTTTCTTCATTTAACAATGCCAACAAGCTGGTGTTTTATCAATTTCAAAGAAAGATTGATAAAAGGAAAACTTAACCATTAAAGTGGAACAAATATTATACAAATACAATATATTCATTGTTATTTTATTATTTAAGGAACAAAGTAGATTTTCATTTTAATTCCAGGTCAGTTTTTCAACTATAGCTTAAAGCAAAGCTGGGTTTGATACCAAATGCTGTCCTCGTACTCAATAAAGCAGACTTCCTGCTGTGTACTTGTCAAGTATGCAAAAAGGTACATGCGTATGAGAAAGGGCCATGGTCTGGCAACATTTTGGTTATTGAGTTTATCATTTGCAACATTCTTAAATTTGTCTTTTCATTATGACAGTAAAGAATTTAGACGTCTATAGTTTTCAGTCCTGGTCCTGGAGGGCCGGTAAGCAGCATGTTCCAGTTTTAACCCTGTTCCAACACACCTGATTTCAATCAGCAGGTGATTAACGGGCTTTTGCAGAGCCTGATGAGCTGCTGCACAGGAACCACCAAAACAAGGTGGATACTGGCCTTCCAGGACCTGGATTGAGAACCGCTGGTCTATAGTTTCAAATTATAACTATAGTCTCATTTTAATTAAAGCTCTTATTAATAAGTTCAGCAATGCCTCAGAGAAATGACGGTACCAGTATTGTGAAAACATGCTTGGTTGTTGTGTAACTGCTTCAGATTATTGCCTTTGAGAGAACCGAGAAATGTAAGAATGGTTAAGCTGTTCTGTTTAGGAGAGATCCAGATTACTAACTGTTCAAACCACATATGTCGCTTCTTCGATCATAAAGTTACATAAAACACCTAAAGCAACATTCTTAGACACGCATTTACACCATTTTGATTTTGGGCAGGTACTTATTTCTTCAGTACAAATCTTTTCTTTCTCCTAATCTCCCTTTTTTGTGTCTTTAGTTGTTGTGTGTCCGAGCATCGGCTCCTTTTCTCTGGAGCACGGACGATGGAGGATAGTCAACGGCTCACACTACGAGTACAGAACTCGCATTGTGTTCACTTGCGACCCAGGATACTATAGATTAGGCCCCGCCCACATCCAGTGCCTTTCCAATGGGGTGTGGAGCTGGAAGAACGAAAGGCCACACTGCCAAGGTGAGTCACTAAAATGTGATTATGTGTCAACAACCGCAATGAACCAGGAGATGTTTCCGTTTGGTTGGTTCACATAGACTATTATGCTTTCTACATGAACTGCTGTCAAACCAGTGAAAGTTTATATTTATACATTATTGAAGATGTGGACACTTGAATGACACAAGTTAATTCTTTCCCCGACACTCCTCGCTCCAAAAGTCATAGAGGTGAGAGCCAAATGCCAAAGCTGAAATGTCAGGAGGGTGGTCTACCAACTACGGAGTGACATTATGGTGGCAAAATCTATGTTTTAAGTCCAGCCAATGACAAAATGACAATCTTCTCCCTGAGGCACTAAATCCTAACATGCTGGGCTGGTGTTCCACGTGAAGGTGTGAGCCCATGAGATGAAAATGCAGCGAGGAGGAGAAAACACAGTCAGCATAGAAACGTTGGAGTCTGCAGCTCTCAATGGAAAAGAAGAAATATTTCACTTTATCTAAACTAATGGATCCATTCCTATAATTTTAATACATAGAATATTTTACAATAAATTGTCCTAAAATAATGTAGTATGTTAAAAATTGGTTGAACCACAAAGGAACTTTACTATAAATATGATAATATTTTTGGCAGGAGGACCCTTCTATGATCAGAACATGGTTGGAAAAATCAGACCATCCCCTTCTGTCTTAGTCGTGATGCGGCTATATAAGGACTCTCCAAAAATATTTTTTTCTGCACCCTTGAGATCCTCCGTTTCCTATTCCTACATTCATCCACAGCGAGTTTCCATACATATTCCTGCAACATGTGCACACAATCGTACCATCGCGCCACCCCCAAGACCCCCTCATTTTTCACCACTCAACTACGTATTTCTACACTTGCATGATGCCACTAGCCTGGCAAGCCATCCCATATATATATATATATATATATATATATATATATATATATATATATATATATATAGTCTGGCCATCGCCCATTAACAGCTCAGTCACGAGGCAGGATCTACAGATGTCTTTCAAACAGTCAATGCAAACTAGTACAGGGTATCTGCAGGTTTAAGGGAGCCAAATTTAAGACTTTTTAAGACCTTTTTTAAGGCCACTTTGACCAAATTTAAGCTATTTTTAAAATTAAATTTAAGCTATAATTTCCAGCTATTGCCTGGAACCGGTGCTAACCACATCACCAACATGGGATTAGCCATCCAGTTACCATTAAACTTGCACTTTCCCATGGCGCAAGCTCCCACTAGCTTAACCAGCTGACGTGCTCATCTAAAGATAGCCCCTTTCACAACCAACTGAATGTGTACGGCTTCGCTTACGCCAACATCATACACAAAAAAATGCTGAACACCAACTAGGAATTCATGAAAATTTTATAGAAATAAAAGAATCTTGTTTAGTGGGCCTTTGGAAATTTAAGACCTTTGGAAACTGTATTTAAGGATTATTTGTCATTTTTAAGGCCTTAAATTTGGAAAAGCCAATTTAAGACTTTTTAAGGACCCGCGGATACCCTGTAGTAGATGACAAACAACGTGATGTACTAACCGCTACGGATAGTGAATGAGGCTGTCCACCATACTCCTTCAAAGAAGGACAAGATTTTTCAAGTCAAGTACCTATATCTGCTCTTGACCCTAAGAAAAGCTCAAAACAAAATAGTCCAAAGTTAATGCCAAAGCCGTTTCAGATGACCCAACACCATCTTTACCATGGACAGAGCAAGGCAAGGCAGCTTTATTTATAGAGCACATTTCAAACACGGATGCAATTCAATGTGCTTTACAATTATCAGGACATGATATGAAATCAACATAAAAACACAAATAAAAATACACATTATTACTGTACATTACAGGTGTCTATAAATGCCTACAGAACTCGAGGGCACACATCAGTGTTTGAGTTTGAAAGTGTAAAACCCTACGTGTGGTACTTCAGAAGAGAACTAATATCTGCCAATAATCATTTAAGTTTAACATCCAGCAGCATACCAAAGAAGAGCAAAATTACTTCCTCACTGTGAGTAATACACACACCAGTCCATGTGTTATAGGATGTACCAGTTTTTTATTTTGACATGAGATGTAAAAAGGTATGGAGAATCAAATCAAACTCAACAGTTCTATGGAAAAGCTGTAAAAACATGTCTTTTGAAATCGCTGTCATGTTTTGAATATTATTTAATCTCCGTTTATTCGATGTGTACTAAAGACGACACACTTATCATATCAGGTGAAAAGTCCATAATGGCACCTTGAAGAGTTGACATTTCTGTCATTCAAACGGCCTCTTCCTGGGATCCACTGACATTCTGAATTGTCCCCTAAAGATTGTTATGGCATTTGGATATTTAAGGGTGTCTTCTTGTGTGTGTGTGTGGGGGTGGGGGGTGGGGTGGCGTGTAATCACCCTGCTGCTGCAGCTGCTTGGCTTGCCACAAGTGGTACCATTTCTCATTGAAACAATTGAGCTCTAGCAGCTCCTTAAATTAACCCGGTGCTAAACTGGCTCACAGCTGATTTTTAAATTGCTTGTGTCCAACCATGTGTTACAGTTATCTCCTGTGGCGAGCTGCCTTCTCCTCCCAATGGGAAGAAGATTGGTACTCAGATGACATTCAGTGCCACGGCCATCTTTACCTGCGACGCTGGCTTCATGCTGGTGGGGTCAGCTGTCAGGGAGTGCCTGTCGTCTGGGCTCTGGAGTGGAACAGAAACCCGATGTTTAGGTGGGGAGCAACAGAAATGCTCATCTTTGTTCTTTTTTACCCAACATACAATAGATTATTGGACTATATATTGACTAATAAACAAATTGTGCAGTTTTGGTCTTCCGTTTAAGGGTGAAAGGTTATTCCATCGATAATTCACATTACTAAATACAAGAATGACTATAACTCTGTCATTTTACAGACGTTTTGGTAAAATATGGTGTTCTAGGTAATCTCCAACAAATATTTTGAGTTGTGACAAATTACGTACAATTTTTTTTGCCCTTAGCTTCTGCTGTCAACCCAATTAAAATGGTGTCCACAACCAATGACATTAACCCTTTGATGCATAATGGTCACTACAGTGGACAGGTACTCAAAATTGTTATTTATTTATTTATTTATTTTTACTATTAAGCACAGCTGTTGAAGATTTTATTGCATTTGAGCCCCTCCATTTGGACGTCAGTAAGTCAAGCCAACATATTTCATGTTCAGAATGCATGCTGTCCACTGAGATGGACATGTGATAAACTATGTGTAGATTAAATGTTACAAAAAATATGTAAATATGAAATTTGTTTCATTCACACCTAAAGATGAATGAAAAAAATTGTTTAAAAAATCATGGTTGAAGATATCATAATTCATGCATCAAAGGGTTAAAAGACACAGCGTGGCTATTACCACGTCAATTTTACATTTCAGTTGTTGTTTGTCATAGTTACCAAGAATTATCTTCAACAAATACCCTTAAAGTAACAGTGTGTATTTTTCCTGGCGATAGGAGGCAGTAGATACCTAAATCATTGCAAGCAAGCAGTGTATTTGTGTTGGAGTAAGACTTTACCAATGTATGTCCATTAGGGTCAAAAAGCCCTGGGGAGTGCAAACTTCCACGAAATAACAAGCACATCAGACTCCCTGTCATCACTGGCAACAAGTGAAGAGGATAGTTTGTAAAACAACATTTAAGAATGGCTAAAACCTTTTTAAATGTTTGTTACAAATCAGTAAATGCATTTTGTCCTGATGGGCTCCCATAGAAGGAAACATGGCATCTAATATGGCGTCACCCAGTGACTTAGACCCACTCCCATGTATTTCAGACTTGATTTTTATGGTTCTATGTTACGAAGCAACATTTCGATGGATATTTCCAGACATTAATGGAAAAACTACACATTGTCTCTTTAACAGCTAACAGATTGTTTATTTTATTTTGCAAATAAACTCAATTAAGTTAGTTGTCACACCCCAATGCCTTTGGAGAAGGCAGAAGTTGCTGTAACAAAGTCTATTTAAAGGTATTGAACTTGTTGTTGAAACAGACTCAAATCTGCCTCATCACACTTTAAATGCTACTCAGACTCAACCCTGCTCAAACTGTTATCTGTTGGAATCAGACAGACAAATGTCTCTAACTCAGTTAATGTGGTGGGCTAGGATTTGGCATTGAAGTACCCAGAAGGTGTCAGTATCACATAACCAAAGGTAATATTAATTAGGTGAAAACTTTTTTCAAAAATGTGCCAGTTACTGTTTGAGTCAGCCTGACACGAGATGTCTACTAAATCCATCTTAGCCAACAGACAAATAACTCTAACCAGTTTGAGAAATATCGAGCTGCACTCTTAAGATGGTAGCAGCTCAGAGTCTTTACCCATTTGAGTGCAAGATCAGAATCAGAAAAATTGTATTTATCCCCGAGGGGCAATTAAAAAAAAATAACAGCAGAGCAGCATGATGTTGGACATACAAACATTGAATAAATAGGCAATAAGGAAGCAATAAAGCAGCAAGAAGACGGATAAAACAGTAAAATATGCAAAAAAAAAACAAAAAAAAAACACTGAGTAAGTGAATAAAGTGATTAAAGTGTCGTCTGTATAAAAGTTAAATATATGGAGAGCCCAAGGAGAGGGTATCGCAAGATTGTGAGATCACACATTGTTTGATTTTACAATATGTCTATCATTTTGTGTCATGTATGATTTTAGTTTAAACGAGGCCTTTAGACCTGATTACACATGCACTTAATAAAACACTTCCATTTGAAATGGAGCAGCAAAGATGTGATATCTCATGTCAGTCTAATGAGGACAGGTATCAAAGGAAGGTCCGTGCCCTACACCTGACGTCTGGCTTCACAGCTGCTCCCCTCCGGTCTGGTTCACCATCCCTACTGAGCTGCAGCTGTGTTCCAAATTATTGCAGAAATGTGTTTTTTTTTTATCATATATAAATCAAACAGAAACAGTAACCTTCTTTTGTCAGCGTGCCAGCAAGAGGTAACACATGTTATGACACCGAGCTGCCACTTCCCTGTGAAGCCTCATAAGATCTGTCAAATACTTCACAGGTGGTACGAGATGCTGTTTACGAAAGTAATGTTTTAATGAAACTCAAGCTGAATTGACAGTGAGGCATAATTGTGTCAAAAAATGCTAGAAAGAACATTTTTATTCAAGTTACTGCATAAGAGTGAATTTATTGAGCTGTTTTGGATTCAGTTTCAATTAATGCTGCCATTTGCAAAGTGTTGCCAGAGTGTTTATTGTCAATTTGATGTGATAATTTGATTTAAACAAGTTGTCACGTTTAAGTTAAAACATCTGTGGTTGCAGATTGCATCTGATTGATTTCCCTTATAGTTAACACGTGGGTATCTGGACCATACTGAAGGAATTAAACACTGTTCCTCAAACAGTGTCAGATGACAAAGTTAATACAAAGCAGCCTTTTTTCCTCGTCCAGTCTTTCCTGGCTGTGTTTAAATCGTTAGCTTTCGCTGACATCAGGGGTGCAGTGAAGATTTTATCTACTGTAAAGAACAAAATCAATACTCAATCCAAAAAATCTCTGTGAGCAGAAAATACACACTCCCTTCTGACTTTGTGAAACGGCTTTTAAAGCGTCTTGTGTTAGCACTGTCCATCAATCAGACCTTAGTGAATGAATCTGTTCAGGGAGCAAAGAGAACCCCAAATGCTGTTTGGTAAGCTTTTACCAAGTCGGACGCTTATAAAAGACCAAATACTATACGTCTTTATTAGGAAGTTGAAGATGTAACTCAGTTTGTAGCAGAAACTTTTGTGTTCTTCGGGTGTCAGATGAAGAAATGGAACTTTATGGCCCACATTCATGCTTTTAAAGGCCTGCAAAAGAATCTCAATGGATGTTTTTTAATTACAACAAGGATCTCTTAAGTTGTTGTGAAAAAAACAATCCACTGTGAAAAAAAGTATGATTTTAAAAAGTGAAATTTGTTAGGCAGCTAGTATTTTCTGCCTTGCGGTGGTATTAACAAGTGGAACCCCCTCCCTTAAATAACCACCCACCTCACCCCCTGGATAGCATAACAGTCTTATGTGAATATTTTCAAGCTTCACAGAGTTGCATCATGTGCCCCTAACCCTAAGTTAACCCAAGCCCTAAGTTAATATTATAACATAAATGGCGTCTTTTAAAAACGGTACGAAACTAAATTAGATTCAGATCCAAAGGCAATGTCCTAAATCTCATACACCAATATTGATAAAACTTTTATTTCTTTGGGTTTTGGTGTGTCACCCCAAAAGTTTCATTTGTTATCCCTTTGAAAAGACCTTCTGGATACATGCCTGTTTTCTTGTTTCACCAAAAATATGACAAACCAGTATTATTTAAAGGCACAAGACAATACATATTTGTTCAAAAGCTGAAAACAAAGACCAGAACTGCTGTGTTGGATCAAAACATTCTCAAAAGGTAGCTACATTTGTAGCCTGATCCATGTTTGTCTGCCTTTCAGCTGGTCACTGTGGAATCCCCGAGGGCATCGTAAACGGCCAGGTGATCGGGGAGAACTTTGGGTACCGTGACACAGTTGTGTATCAATGTCTCCCTGGCTATCGCCTGATTGGTTCATCAGTTCGAATCTGTCTCCAAGACAACCAGTGGTCCGGACAGCTGCCAATCTGCATACGTAAGAATATTTCACAAGCTTGTGTTAATGTTAGCTATCATTAACTAGCTTGTATGGAGAAGACTGGAACCCATTTTGCCGTTTTTGTAGATACAGGCAGTTTGACAGTCTGATTCTTGAATAATCTTTTCCCTCTGGTGTGGAAGAATCAATACGAAACAACTTAAAAATCACTTTGCAGGCATGTCAATGATAAACACCTCATGTTTAAGGGATTAAGTGTGATGCAATACTTCTCAATTGAGGGAATTACAGAGTAAGGCAAATGGCGACGGTGGAATAAGTTTGTAGAGTCTTCTGGTCCATCATTAAAACTGTAATGTACTGAGTGTAATGTGATAAAAATCCAATCATTCTCTGGCTGCGAAGCTCAGCTCCGTTTCCATCAATAGCAGAAAAATAGAAAAGCTCAAATCGAAGTTTAACTGCCTTGAAAATGGAACAAATACACATTTAAAAGTTGTGCAAAGAAGAGTCAGTCAATGACAGATATAACTAAATCATAGTTTGGCATTGGAAATGATGTGATTATAACAAGAAAACCATCTTTGTTGTGGCTCAGTGAAAGCTAAATTCTGAGAAAACACACCTGCAATGTATCCTTTCACAGCTTTGTGTGCATGTGCAAAGAAATCAGCTTACGTGGATTTTGGCCCATGCCAACTCTTTACAACCCTCCAGTGTGTAATTTGTCATTTTACACTTGATTCAGAGCCGGTTACGCTCTTCAGAACCTATACGGTCTATTAGTTTGACTGGACCACAGCCCCTCATCCACGGTTGCATCAGAAAGGTAGAAGGTCAAGGAGAAAAATCTAGGCATACCTTTCTTCAGGGATGCTCTTCAGCTCCTCCAGGGTAATCCCAAACTGTTTCCAGACAAAACGAGGGATTCTCCCAGATGTCCAGAAAACCTTCGGATGAATGAAACCAGGAGACGCCATAGTCAGATGCATGATCCACCTCAGAACACTCTTTCTGATGAGGAGGAGCATCAGCTCTACTCCAGTCTTGCTCAGCTGATGCAGTGGTGAGGTGGTGCTCACTCCTCACCCCTGCCACGTGAACCTCGAGGGAAAAACCATCAACCCTGCTCACTGGTCAACTTTCTTGGCGGGGTCACCCAATAGGACAGTGGAAGGGTTAAATTATGACCACCCAATCTTATGATCCAGCGTCTTCACCATCCCCATGGGTTGGGTGCTCTGCCAGGGGTCAGAGCCACGTTGGCTTGGTTTGCTCTGGGGTTGTCTCGCTCTTGGCTGGCCTGTATCAGTGAGGGGTGACAGTGTCATAGGCTGACAGCTCTAGGCTTGGTGGCCACAAATAGGTTCGTTTTGACTGAGGGCTGCTGTCCTCTGATTCTCTTAGACTACATCTACATGCTAGAACACTATAGGACTACCCCACAGCATTATTTGATCTGAGCTGGAAAGTGAAACCACTATGACCTCATTCCAGACCAGTTCGTTGGCATGGATACGTTACCATTGCAGCCACCATCTTTGATCCAGGGCTCTAATACATTTCTACCTACATGACCTTAGTGTGGACATTTTGTGAACGTTATGAGCCATGTCATTCCATCACTTGCAATCAGGATTGTAATATGCACTTGAAAACCTCGCCAAGACCCTAAAAAAAAGATTACCTTGGTTCTAGCTGATTTCCCCCCGCAACACAAGGTCTTCATCTTGTCTGGTCATTGATATGGGATGCATATTTCAGAGTGAATGTAGGATGTCTTTAATCCCCCTCCTCTTCCTTGAACGTAAAGCTAGTGCTGCTAAGGATCTGCACATTCACACCAGCAGCCTCAAAGGGCCAAAGGGGCAAATCTGTCATACCACTGGCCAGGGTGAGATCATTATCGGAGCTTGAGGACACAGCAGAAGGCTCTGACATGTCCAGGCTACTGTGGAAATTCACAAAAATTGGTCAGCTGCTGTGTGTCATGAATGTTTTTTATTCGCACGCAGGGCACAGTCGAGGTGGTGATGAGGCCAATTACTGGCCTCTCTTCCCTAAAGTGACAGCCCAACTGTTGACTGAATTAGGATGGTGTTGGGAAGACAGGGACGGCGTCATAAAGGCTACAATAAAGTAGATGGGAGCTCTTTTGATTTCTCAATCGGACCTGAAAACAAAAGTGAACTGCTCGGCGTAAGGGCCTAATAGCCTGCTTTTGTGAGAGCGCCTGTGCATTTTGGAGGCCACGGGTCTCTGCCTCCGTGGTCAGGATGGCGAGCGTGAATAAATCTGTGCATTGGGGAGTGTTTCTGGGCTGTGCTGTTTTTATCGAGGTTATTGATGCAGGAGTTATTGAGGGAAATCATTTTACAGCCAAATTATACTGTAATTATGGAGATGAGAAGCTCTTGTTTTCAGACACAAACACAGAATGATGATGAGACTATGAAATGAATGTATGTGTGTCTGTAGCCACAGGCTGTGCTGGCAGAGTCAGACAACTGTGTATCGTCTGCATATAAACAAACCTCTGATCCTCGGAGATCAACTTTCCTTGCTGCTCTTATCCTCTCGTCTTCGTTGCTCGTCTCACCTTTTGCTATCCCCTCTTCTTTTTATTTTCCCATCTTGCACCCACTTTCTCTTTCCCTTCTCTTCAGTGGTTTACCACCCTGTGATTCTCTTTCTGCTTTTTTTAGATTCTCCTCCTCCTGTCTCCTCCCTGATAAATATCAAGCTGAACAGTTTGAGCAGGCGATGAGAGAAGGGGGGTCTGGCAGTAGCTGTTGGAGGCCTATTTGCACAAACATCACCCAGACAGACACTTTAAAGTTCCTGCGAATGAAGTTAACAAGATGAATAATTATGATTCCAATAAGGAACAGAGGGCACTAAGTGCTAATGCTAAATATGGCAAGGCCGACTTTTTCCAGAAGGGTGACGGTAAATTGGTATTGCAGCTCTGTCCTCTGAATCATCTGTCAGTCTCATGAATATGTATGAATAACTGGAGGAAAGGCGCTGTATTTGACCAGAATTTGTTTGTTTATCAGAAAACGGTGTTGCATTTAGAATATCATTCATTTCAGTAATTATAATCATAGTAAACACATTAAATATTTAATTTAAATTTGTTGAATTTAAGCGACATATTTAAACTTTATCAGTGAGGTCTCTAGTTCTGTTCTTGGCTCTGATGACTTTGTTTGGAGTTTTCTTCGGAAGCTTCAATCTTTGCTTCTACCTTAAAATTATCTATGAGACGTTATTTTTTAAATTTGATTCGTAGACATGAGTGCATGTGGTCTGTTTTTGTTGAATTGGATTGGATCTACTTCTAGTGGCGTGAGCCTGATCCTCACATTAAAGAGCAGGTTCATTGAGAAACCTTTTTTTTTTTAAATGATCAGTCCCTCTGAGTTTAACATGAAGGCTAAATGTGAGTCTTCTACCCCTATTTCCCGCATTAGCTTCTGATAGAAAACAGATGCAAAAACACTTGGTCCAGAAAATCCCGACAGATCTACATCACACGGTCACTTAACGTTCATGGACTCACCCATCTTGACTCACAACGGGGAAGGCTGTTGTTGGATAAGCATCTCGGAAATCGCAGAGAATGTTTCAGCTAGTAGATGCAAACTGTTAGCACTAGCAACTTCACCACACAGCAGAACTCCTTCTGGCTTGTGTTATTTGTGGAGATGAAACATCAACAGTGTGCAGGATATTCAATCAGTAATAGAGTCACATTGCTGTTGACCAATCAGAGGCAAGATATCCAAATATCAGGAAGCAGGTCTCCAGATCCTGCTGTCTGAAGCTGCTTTCTCCTCTAGCTGAATTCTACATCCTCAAACAAGTGCACCGGAGCTTTTTTTCCCAGAGAACATCTTACAAGCCATTATTTCTACTAGAGACCACTGCAAATATATTAAATTATGAGTAAACATGACCTTTAAGATGTAAATAAAGATTACATTATTCATAATTACTGAATGAAGGTGTGGATGAGTAATGCAATCATCAGGAATCTTTGCAAGAGGAAGGAAATAAAATATGATGAAAGCAAATACTGCAGCCATCCACTAGACTAGAAGGAGTTTTGTATCTGATTCAACTTTCATGCAATCTAACTAGGTTTGAGTTCTCAATAAAATGGGGCTCACTTTTTATATTTTCAAAGGGAGAAACAACATGTACAATTAATATAAATCTCTGCAAATATCTTCTTTACTTGATATACCTGTCTTTAGCTTCCGGTCGGTAACGAGATGGCGCCTGTGCTTGGCTTAGGTTGTCCTTCAACCTTATCGCTGCCTCTTCCGACTCCAACCAGGCCCATCATCCTAGATAGCTTTGCTCCTGTTTCTTTGCCTGAGTTAACCAAACTAGTTATCTCTATAAAGACCTCTGCATGCCCCCTCGACATCTTACCCTCATCTTTGTTTAAAAAAGCTTTCCAGTCCATCGGTCCCAGCGTGCTCTCCATTATTAATGCTTCTCTGGTTTCTGGCCTACATACTTTAAGAATGCTGTAATCCACCCGCTTCTTAAAAAACAGAGTCTTGACCCCGCTCTCCATAGCAGCTTCAGACCCATCTCTAAACTTCCGTTCATCTCCAAGATCTTGGAAAAGGTTGTGGCTAAACAACTCACAGCTGCTCTTGATGAACATAACATCTATGACAGCTTCCAGTCAGGTTTTCATAGAGTTCATTCTAGTGAAACAGCTCTTCTTAGGGTCTCTAATGACCTTCTGACTCACAGTGATGCAGGGGACTGTTCTGTTCTGGTCCTGCAGGACCTGACTGCAGCCTTTGGCACTGTTGACCATCACCTGCTACTGGAGAAGCTGAGATACTGGGTAGACCTATCAGGAACTGCTCTGGAGTGGTTCTCCTCTTATCTCTCTGAGCGCTCCTTTTCTGTGGCCGTCTCCAAGTTTAGGTCCTCCACCACCTCCCTTACCCATGGTGTCCCACAAGGTTCTGTGCTGGGACCTCTGCTCTTCCTCCTCTATCTGCTTCCTCTTCAGCACATCCTGAGCTCCTTCAAAGGAATCTCCTACCATCTTTATGCAGATGACATCCAACTGTACATCTCCTTTAAGCCCCATGAAATGTCTAAGCTGCAGCTGTTACACACCTGCTTAGACTCTATTAAAACCTGGATGGCTGGGAACTTTCTACAGCTGAATGAAGATAAGACTGAGATCCTCATCTGTACCCCAGACAAGCTGGTTCCCAAAGTCAGAGAGTCTCTTGGTCAGCTTGCTTCTCACACCAAACCTTCTGTCAGGAATCTTGGCATGACCAGCTCTCACCCTGGATTCTCATGTCAGTTCTCTTGTTCGCTCTTCCTTCTTCCATCTCAGGAACATTGCAAAGCTGAGTCCCATTCTGTTCCACTCTGAACTTGAGACTGTTCTCCACACCTTCATCTTCTCACACTTAGACTTCTGCAACTCTTCACGTGTCTGAGCAGAACCTCCCTGAACCGTCTACAGGCGGTCCAGAATGCCTGTGCTCGGCTTCTGTTCAACTCCTCCAAACACACCCACGTCACCCCGCTTCTCCTCCAGCTTCATTGGCTGCCAGTCAATTTAAGGGTTCATTTCAAGATCCTGGTTCTGGTCTATAGGGCCTTACATGGACAAGCACCATCTTACATTGGTAATCTTCTTAGTCCCTACACCCCCAGCAGGTCCCTGAGGTCCAGTGATCAAAGCCTACTGGTTGTGCAGCAGCAGGCTAAAGACCAAAGGTAACAGATCATTTGCTGCTGTGGCCCCCAGACTCTGGACCTCTCTCCCCCTGAGCCTGAGATCAGTGGACTCAGTGGTCTCCTTTAAAAAGCAGCTGAAGACTCACTTGTTCAAGCTGGCTTTTGTATGACCTTCTTCACCTCTCTCTCTTTATTCTGCTCTCCCCACCTATTCCACCTTCCTCAGGATCCACTGGTTTCCCTCTTTCCTATTCACTCTCTCTCTTTCTTAACATTTTTTAATCACAATGGTCTATTTTTTGCTCATTTTAAATATATTTTTAATCATTTTCTAAATTCTTTTTTATATTTTTACATTTTTTGTTTTTGTGAAGCGCCTCGTGATTTTTATCTTGAGAGGCGCTATAGAAATGATGTTTTCTTCTTCTTCTTTCTGCTTAGTAGAAAATGAATGTGAAAAAGATTTAATCTTTCTTTAAGAAAAGTCCTTATTTTTCCTCGTGTCAGCTAAAACTAAAATCTTTGAACAATTCCTGGCGATATATCACTTAATTTTCTTCATTCTGTACCTGTGTGTGTGTGTGTGTGTGTGTGTGTGTGTGTGTGTGTGTGTGTGTGTGTGTGTGTGTGTGTGTGTGGGGGGGGGGGCACATAAACACTTTGCACATATACATCCAGTGTTTTACCTCATAGATGTGATTGTTCTTTAAATATTGATGATTTTCTATTTAATTGCAAGGGATCGATTAATATTCAGTCACATTTAACATTATACAGTTTACTTTTTAAGGTTTCTATATATTAAGCTAAAAGATGACTCCTGGTAAATGTAAGACAGAAAACATTTTCCATCCATTGTTGTTATATTATTTGTTTATCCACTCTTTTATTCACCATTTTTTTTCCTTTAGCGATCAGTTGTGGACATCCAGGAAGTCCCATTTATGGACGTACTGTGGGGAACGGCTTCAACCTCAACGACGTGGTCAGCTTTGTTTGCAACCGTGGTTATGAAATGGAGGGGCCCGCTCGTGCTCAGTGCCAGGCCAACCGCCAGTGGAGCCACCCGCCCCCAACGTGTAAAGGTGGGGAGAAAAGTTAAGTGTCTTGACCCCTAACTTTATTTATCCCCAATTTTTCATGCAACCCTCCCATCCATCTTTATTTACCTTCCTCCCATTTCCTGTTAGAACAAACCTTTTTCCCTTCATCTTTCTTTGCAATATTTACTTCCCATTAATAAGTGTTTTTATTGTATTGAAGCAGCTCCCTTAGTGAACTTGAAACGTGAAATAATTTGTAGTTTTTACCATATTAGATACAATGTTTCCTTCTGTGTGTGCCTGTGCTTGGCAAAGCTGGAGGTTAAACGATCTGACGAAGTACTCTGTTCAAAAATGGCGCCCCCAGGGATTTTTTTTACCCCAATGGCCATCAGTGTTGGGCAAGTTACTTCAAAACTGTAATGCAATATTTATTACTTGTTACCCTCATTTTAAAGTAATTCATTACATTACAATATTACTGATTTTAAAATGTAAGGCATTACACTACTTTTGCATTACTTTAAGTTACTTTGAACAAAACAACTCCAGTATGAGTTTGGTAATCGGATGCCTGGTGAACTCATGACACATCCGGTGGAAGGTGATGTGGTGTCTGAGCTAGGGTTGCTGTTAAAAACAGTTCTTTAGAAGGATTGTTTATGTAATAAATGCAACAACAATCTGTACTCTCAGCACGCTGCCATCTTAGATTAACTGAGCAGGGAGTGAGGTGGTGGGGGCTCCAAGCCTATATTTGCCTTGGTCTCCAAATGCCTTGATACGGCCCTGGATGTGGGACTGACTTCTGGGGTGATCTGATTCTATCACATGTATAAATATTAAATGTTTATATATTATTGCTTTTCACTGGTAAAAATGAGTATTGGGGATAAATCTACCTACATTTTTTCTTTTCAAGCACTTTGTTTTGTTTTCTTGGTTTTATTTGAGTAATTTCCTGCCCTTTCTCTCTCTAACCGTCCTGCTGTATGTTCTCTCCGTCTTCCAGAAAAACTGTTTCCTAGACTTCCTACTTTCTAACTAATCAGCCAAAGGGATCTTCACATGTGCGGCGCTCCAGCAGTAATGAGTTGAAATCACCGGAGCCCAGATTAATTCAGCTGAGGCAAAGCACGTCAGAAAAGTACAGAATACCAGAGAACATGCGCTGATATGAACGATCGCAGGTGAATTATTTTGTTTTAGTGGAGCGAATCGAGCGATTTTGTGAATGTTACAGCGGCCGCGCGCAGGATGCAGCTGGAGTAGTTGAGCCGGTACCGCTACGTCCTCTCTGCCCGCAGAGCTGAGTCCATAAATGACGTAATATATGCAGATACTGGATCTTTTTTCGGGTTTCCCACAATTTGAATTTTTAAGAAACGCAGTTTGATTCTGGGTTTAAAAATGCATTGTAATTACCGCGTTACTGACAATTGTACCGAGTAAATATTACCATTTTCTTTCCCTGTAATGCCTTACATTACCACATTACAACAAAAAGCACTGCATTACAGTAATTAATTACTTTTGTACCGCATTACTCCCAACACTGATGGCCATGCATTGGTAAAGTCTTACTCGAACACAAATATACCACTAGCTTGCAGTGTTTTAGGTATATACTGCCCCTATTGCCAGGGAGAATTTAAAATGAATTTGAATACACCTTCCAGACTTGGACACATCATCAGTGAAGAACCCGGGGTCCTAGGGTGTTTCGGATCTTTAATCTACATACACCATCACCCGGGTGACCCAGCTGGGGGTGATCAGTCCCCAGCTTGTGTCCAAGTGGCCTATTTTTCTCAACAACAATATCAGAGATGTCTGGTCAGGGATGAAGATCACAGGCTTCAAGCAGAGGAAGGATTGCACAGATGGCAGCCTGGACACAGCCAATGAACTGAACAAGTTCTTCAATAGGTTCAGTTCAGGAACAAACCCAGCATCCTCCATGCCTGTCCCCAGCCAATCAGACATCCCATCCTCCTCTGATCCAACATTTTCCTGTCACACACCAGCTCTTTTGTCCGCTAACACAGTCATGGACTCTTCTGGTTCTATAAATCTGTCTTCAACCAAGTCAGGAGATGCTGCTGCCCCAGTTACCTCCCCCTCCCACCTATCTGTCTCTAGAAGTCAGGTGAAGAGGCAGCTGGAGAGACTGAACAGGAACAAGGCTGCAGGTCCAGATGGTGTCAGCCCCAGAGTACTGAAGGCCTGTGCAGAGCAGCTCTGTGGGATTCTGCAGCACCTCTTCAACCTCAGCCTGGACCAGGAGAAGGTTCCAGTCAGTGGAAGACATCCTGCCTTGTTCCAGTTCCAAAGAAAACTCGCCCATCAGTCAGTGACGGCTACAGACCGGTTGACCTGACATCCCACATCATGAAGGTCCTGGAGAGACTCCTGGTGGTCCACCTGAATAAGCAAACTAGAACATATCAGGACCCGCTGCAGTTTGCTTATCGCCATGGAGTTGGAGTTGAAGATGCCATCATCCAGCTGCTTCAACCAACCCACTTTCATCTGGACAAAGCAGGCAGCACTGTGAGGGTCATGTTCTTTGATTTCTCCAGTGCATTTAACTCAATTCAGCCTGATGTACTTTGCCAGAAACTCCAGAAGATACAGGTGGGGCCTCAACTATCGCCTGGATTAAAGCCTACCTGACAAACAGGCCACAGTTTGTGAGGCTGAAGAACTGCACATCAAACCAGGTGATCAGTAACATTGGAGCACCACAAGGGACTGTACTCTCACCATTCCTTTTCACCCTGTACACCTCAGACTTCCAGTACAAATCAGAGACCTGTCATCTACAGAAATACTCAGATGACTCTGCAGTTGTCGGGTGTGTCAGAGATGGACAGGAAGCTGAGTACAGAGAGCTAGTGGAGCTTTTTGTGGCATGGTGTGGAAACAATCATCTGACCTTGAACGTGAACAAAACAAAGGAGGTGATTTTAGACTTCAGAAGAAACAGGGTGGAGTCAAACACCATTTCCATCATGGGAGAAGAAGCGGAGGTGGTTGAGGATTACAAATACCTTGGAGTTCACCTGGACAACAGACTGGACTGGAGAAAGAACAGTGAAGCCGTTTACAAGAAGGGACACAGCAGACTGCACTTCTTGAGGACACTTAGGTCCTTCAATGTCTGTAGCAAGATGCTGCAGATCTTCTACAAGTCTGTTGTTGAGAGTGTAATCTCTTCAGCCATCGTCTGTTGGGGTAGTAGCATTAGAAGCAGGGACCTGAAAAGCCTCAACAACCTAATAAAAAAAGGCTGGTTCTGTTCTGGGGACGACTGTGGAACCGCTGGAGGAGATAATGCAAAGAAGGATTCCCCAGAGAATCAAGAAAATGATGGACAACCCTGAGCATTCTCTTCACAAGACTGTCCGACAACGGAAGAGTGTCTTCAGTCAGAGGCTTCTTCAGTTTTGCTGCAACACTGACCGCTACTGGAGATCCTTCCTACCAACAGCCGTTGTAATATACAACAACTCTTTGATGACTTGATTATTATTATTATTCTGAGCTACTACAGCAATCAATTTCCCACTCGGATTAACAAAGAATTTTTAATTGAACTGAATTGAATTGAATGATAACAGTGCATAACACTGCTGGGGTCCTGGATTTAATACAAAGTGATTTGCTTAACTACGTCATCACACTTACCCTTTTAAACACCACCTCTGTTCATCCCAATCCTTTCCACCAAATCCGTTTTATTGTTCCCTCTATTATTGCCCAGAAATGCATTCCAAGTTGAAAACACTAGAAAAAAGGGGGAAGAGAAACAACCCTCTCTAGTTGGTGCCAAATAACACATGTACTCTTATTGTGTGTCTTTTCCATTTGTCTGTGTGTGTGTCTTTGTATATCTCTGTGTGTATAGTGGTCAATTGCTCCGATCCTGGTATCCCTGCCAACTCCATTCGGCAGAGCAAAATAGAGCATGGAAACTTCACGTTTGGCACGGTGGTGTTCTACGACTGTAACCCTGGGTATTACCTGTTTGGATCACCTGTACTCACCTGCCAACCGACGGGACAGTGGGACAAACCCCTTCCTGAGTGCATAGGTATGTAACATTGTTGCAATTCTAACCTTTATCCGAACATTTGCCTTTAGTTTTTTAGCATTGTTCAATCCCTTCTCTGCATTCATTGCTGTATCTCTCTCAAATCTCACTATAGTCATAGATTGCGGCCACCCTGGCTCTCCCCCCAATGGTGTGCTGAGCGGAGATAAGTTTACATTTGGTTCAACTGTTCGATATTCCTGTCTGGGCGGGAGACAACTGAAAGGAGAATCGTCCCGGACGTGTCAGCTCAATGGGATGTGGAGCGCCCCCATGCCCTTTTGCTCCGGTGAGCGTTTTAACTTCTGTTGAATATCCAGGCTTTCAACGTCTGCCCTTATCAGAAGCACTGATAGATAGTAGCCGCAGATGAAAGGAGAGTTGTCTAAAATATGTAGACTCACCAGAGTGGAAAGCAACTCATGCCTTTACATCCTGCAGGCACACTTTGCTAAAGCTTTTGCACTCAGTCATAGGGATAATGGGGGCATGGATGAACATCCAGAGGAAAGGTTGGTGCCTGCAAAGTGAATATATCAATATCTGAAGAAAGGGCTCTGGAGTATAACCTCGGCCCAGCACTCGGTTCTGTTCTTGTAATCGAACATCAAGAACTTGTGTTCGGTGTTATTTCAGATGATGTAAGGCTTCAGGGGGTGAACTGATGGATAAAACTAGATGCAAACAGACGCTGTCATTGTTTCCTAATATGCTTTACACCAGCACATTCTCTCCCCGCTGAACTCTATGTATATGCATTTCTCAACACTTATTAAGCTGGTTTGTCTCCAAGGACAGGATTCCTCAGTACCTTTCATCATGTAAACAAACACTAAGTTATATGGTTCTCCGTTGGCTGGCTGGAGGCATGATTACGCCTTTTCAGACTGAAAGGCTCCCAGCTGCTGCTTATATAACAAGCATGGTGAGAATACATTCCAGACGACTTGACTAAGAATACGTTGTTATTTACAGCAATTTCCCAGGGGGCATGTGGGGTGAGGAAGGGTAATAGTTTTGGAAGAAATGATTCATGGTTTCTACCTGGCAGGTCTGTACCAGAGCCCCACAGAGATGAGAGTTCAACCCAGGATAGCTCCACTGGCTTTGGGATGAGATGAGAGCTGATGAGCAAACCAATTTTAAATTTTAATTTTGTTTATTACATCTGAGAGAAAGTTTACTGAATCCAGCATTTAGCCAAACATTTTTGGTAATTGTTTCGGGTCATTTGTTGTATCCAAAACCATAGACTGGTACTGTAGTGTTTAATTCAATTGTTAAGAGACTTGGCACTTTTTAAGGGTTAAAAATTGGACATTTGGTCAAATAGCCAACTTTAATTAGCCTGACAAGCTATCCTACATATGTACACATATGGTGGCCACGAACCATTAAAACCACCCAGTCGTGGGGTGGAATCTATGGTTGTCATTCAAACGATCTCCTCACAAAATTGGGCCGCACTAGGACCAATCAGTGCAACAATGTGACGTATTCATTGCTACAGATGTCAGTCAACAGGGCAGTCCACTGTACACTGTCTGAGACGTACAAGCAAAAACACTGTATTTAAATAAATGACTTAAGTACCTCTATCTGTTCATGTCTCAAGGAACATCTCAAGTCTAAATGGTCCAAAGTTGATGCCAAAGACATTCAAGCCATTTTGAAGCGGGTGCCATCTTTGTAATGTTTGTTGCAGCTATAGCCTTTGGCCCACCCAACAAACGTAGACCACTGTGATTGGCAAGGCACTAAACTGATCAGGCCAATAGTAGACCTACTGAAGCTACAATGGAGCATAGCTAAATTGACCTGCTAAGTGAAATTATAGTACTACGGGTGGTCTAGATTGCTGGGCTAAACATGAGTTTAAAATCAAAACAAAAAAGAAAAGTTGCCTTTAAATGTTTAACATATTTTAATATAATGAATTAAAAGCAATGGCTTTAGTCATACATTAAAATAACTTTGTCTAAGACCGAAATGCACTGCCTTTGGCAGTACACCAGTCTCCTAATTGTTGATTTTTAAATCGCGTCTGGAAACTCACCTGCTCAATATGGCGTTCTGGAATGTATATAACGGTCTGGCACCATTGTTCTGACCTTTGTTAGTCCATCAAACTGAAGGTTTTAAAATTGATCCTGTTTTTAGAGTGGTGTTATTTGTATGTCCTGTTTTATTGTTTATTGTTGTGTACAGCATCTTGGGCATCTGGTGATTTAGAAGGTTCTCTATAAGAAGTGAAGACCTAATATTGACAACTGGTTAACTCATGATGCCTAAAAGATGTTAACGTGAACTAAGTTGGCCTTGATTTGATTCATTTCATTTGGACCCATTTGAAAAACCTTGCTTTCATTTTCATTTGATTTGGGCCTATTTGCATAGAAAGCAACAGTTGGCATATTGTAGGCAACAAAAGTAGACACCATACAAATCAAACCACTACGATTCCTGTTCAAATGCTACCACTTAACATTCAGTCCATTTAAAACACATAAGTACAATATGATCCATCCATCTATTCTGTTTCAATGGCTTATCCAAGATCAGATTATGGGTCTACCACAAGGTCCCTTCCTAGTCGGACGTGCTGAGAAAACGTCGAGAAGCTAGTGATCAGTAACCATCCAATCCAGGTGCCCCAAACCTAACCTCAGCTGCATTATTTTAATGAGGAGAGATGACTGTAATTTAAGCTCATAGTGGAACCTCATTTCACCAAATTGTGTCTGGAAATGTATTTATTTTTGATCCAAATCTCCTGACCAGAGGTGCTGGAACATAGGTGGGCCAGTAAACTTTTAGCTCGCCTCCATCTTTTCAACAGAACAGGCCATTAAAACCTCTGACCAACCCCTCATTCATTGACACATGAAGATAGCTGGTGAAACAGTTGTAAAATGGGATGTGTTAACTTCTTCCATAAAAAACAAACCTCTACAAGGAGCCTAAGACTCCTCCATTTCCCATCGGCTCATGATTCCCCCGAAGAATGAAACAATGAATGTAAGGCAGTGGAGCTTAAGAGCTCTTTTCTAATTGGCTTTGCCTTACGCCCTGGATCGCACATATGTTGTACTTCAATTTAAATGCAAAGTAAAGATGTGTTTCGACTTAAGCCTGGTTTATGCTTCTCCGTCAGCTCCGCAAGGGACAGACACGCACGGATTGACGGAAGCGTTTTGCTCTCATACTTCTCCGTCTCCTGGAGAGTGTTGCCCGGCAGGACCACAGAGGGCGTAGCGTTGTTTTGTGGTATCCTGTCATGTATCGGTCCAAGATAGTGTGTTTATATTGTGTTTTTTGTGTATATAAGAGACTTTTAACACGGACATATTTGTCTCTCATTCTCCCACCGCTTCATGCGCTCCCCACCTCTAAACCCACGTTTCCTGTCATTTCCGTCCACAAATAAAATGCTTGCTGCGCATCTTTTCACTCCTCCAGTCATGGAAGGATGAAATGTTCATATTTTTAGAGTTTTTTCGCGAGGTATTCTTCAAGCTTCTCCCTGTCTGCCGCTAGTTATCCTCGGCTCTCTTTGCAATGGCGGCGCTGTAAACAACAGCGGCGTCCTGACCAATCACAAGCTTGCGTAATCCGTCTCGTTCGACGGATGTTTAAAAAAGTGGGCTCGACTCCGTACATACTTGCGGGCCTGCCGGAGCCATACGCAAGGACGTTGCGTGTCTCCGCACTGACGCAGACGGAGAAGCATAAACCAGGCTTAAGACTGTCACATTTTTTTTTAGATTTATCAGCTTTTAAAAGTTCATAATTAACATGACTTCAAATCAAATGTCGGTTCATCGCATTTATGACGTCACCACAGAATCTCCTCTCCCCTAACGTAGCTGCTACTTACCACATGGCCAGATTTATGGCGGTTCTTCTTTCCTCCTGAAGGAAGGATTTGAAGTTCACTGAACGTACAGCCATTTTTCCTTTGATTTTCTCCGTGTCTGGTTCGATGACGTCACTTTGGTGTTGCGCATTTGTAGTCCTGGACGTGTTTTCACACAAAACCTAAAGTAATGTTTCCCTCCATTCAAAAATTTGCACGTTCTAAGCATCAAAATGCATTTGTACAATTCACAGACATCATGTGAAATTCACGGCACATAACTTGTTTTTGTTCTTCCGGGGACCCATGGTCTGGAAGCAGATGGGCGTGGCTTAGGCTCCCTTTTTGGCCACACATCCCCTAAAGACAACAACAATCGAAATAAACTCAAACAGGATGTTTTCTGTCTCTGCTTCTAAAATGATCACAACAGTTCAAGCCTGATTATGTAAATCCAAACAAAGCATGATGTGTTAATTACTGAACTTTAAAAGTGTTGGAAGGAAGATTTCATCACCTTTACACAAAGCCAGCTTCTACCGTTTTGAGTCTTTGCGCTAAATTAAACCAATTACGTGCTGGGTGTAGCTCGACCTTTAAAGGACGGTGGGAATCCAGTCTCCCAGAATGTTTAACGTCTGTGTTTGTGTGAGCAAGCCAAGTGGCCTGGAACTAAGGCTTTATTTAAGAAGAAAACCAAATATTCTTATTATGCTCCAACATTTTCATATTTACGCATCACCAGTGACCCAAGAGACACGTTAGATGATGGAAACCATAGCAGGGTGTCTAATGGAAGTTTTTCAGTCTTTTTTAAAGAGATGAATCAGTCATCTGATTGCAGCCAATGTTCTTTTTTTACTCTGAACATAGTGTTTTTATGATTATTATTTACAGCTGAAGAAGTCATTAGAATTCTGAAGCATCACAAAAGCAGTTATGTCATAATATGTCTGTGCTGTTTCTAAGCTCTATTTAGCAGCAAGCCTCCAGATAAATGCTGTAAAGAACAAACAGAGTGAGATTTTATTAAGCATAAATTAAATTAGTCAGGTTTTCCACACACAGCCTTGTTGAATTTATGATCAGCTGTTGATGTAAGCGCTGTTCGAATTCTCAGAAATTAATCTGAAATTCATCAAGATGTGGCGTTAATCACATGCACACACAACACAGAGCACATTTCACACCATTAGTGAAATGGGCAGAAATGTTAGAGTAGCGATATGTTAGAGTGTGTGTGTGTGTGTGTGTGTGTGTGTGTGTGTGTGTGTGTGTGTGTGTGTGTGTGTGTGTGTGTGTGTGTGTGTGTTCTCAGGAACATGTTCAGGTAGTCAGACAGGATTTTGCTGACCAGGCTTTTTTACAAGGGCAGAGTGAGGCTCTCTGTCTCTCCCCATATACACACTCTCTCTCTCACTCACAAAAATACCCTCTATTTTTCCTCTCTCTCTCTCTCTCTCACACACACACACTATTTTTCTATCGTTCTTTCTCGCCTTAAAACACACACACACACACACACACACACACATTCTCTCTCTCTCTCTCTCTCTCTCTCTCTCTCTCTCTACCGATCTCATACACACTCTCAGTCTCTTTCACTCTTTCTCACCTTCTCACATACACTCACACTTATTCTCACAGGCTCTCATTGTTTCTCTCTCTCTCTCTCTCTCTCTCTATCACACACTCACTACACACACACACACATTCTCTCTCTCTCTCTCTCTCTCTCTCTCTCTCTCTACCTATCACACACACACACACACTCTGTCACTTTCACAGTCTTTTTCTATCGCTCTTTCTCACCTTCTCTCTCACACACACACACACACACACACACACACACTCTTTCTTTCTCTCTTTCTTTCTATCATACACCCACTAACTCACATTCTCTCTCTCTCTCTCTCTCTCTCTCTCTCTCACACACACACACACACTCTTTCTTTCTCTCTTTCTTTCTATCATACACCCACTAACTCACATTCTCTCTCTCTCTCTCTCTCTCTCTCTCTCTCTCACACACACACACACACACACTCTTTCTTTCTCTCTTTCTTTCTATCATACACCCACTAACTCACATTCTCTCTCTCTCTCTCTCTCTCTCTCTCTCTCTCTCTCTCTCACACACACACACACACTCTTTCTTTCTCTCTTTCTTTCTATCATACACCCATTAACTCACATTCTCTCTCTCTCTCTCTCTCTCTCTCTCTCTCACACACACACACACACACACACACACACACACACACACACACACACACACACACACACACACACTCACACACACACACACACACACACACACACCATCTCAGGGAAACATATGGTTCTTGTCTCAGACATCATGTCCAGTCTGCTACTATTAGTAAGCAGCTGTTTTACACGTGTGACCTTCATGAATATAAATGACTCCCATGTGATGACCTCACTAGGCTGTCACACCTTATTTAGTCTTTTAAACCTTTAATTTATTTATTATTTAAGTCTTTCTGGAGATATGTAAACTGTCCAAACCAAATGAAGACCCGTTAGAGATTCTCCTTGGTTTTCCTCTGTAGGCGACATCGCCGGTTCCTGTGGTGATCCGGGCATTCCCTCCCAAGGTTCAAGGGAGCAAACAGATTTCAGGATCCGTTCCAAGGTTTTCTTCACCTGCTCAGAGGGCTATGAGCTTATTGGATCCTCTGAAAGGATGTGCTTCCCCAATGGGACTTGGTCTGGCACGCATCCTTTCTGCAAACGTAAGAAGACCCTTCAGACCTATCCCAGTCCTGATAAATGTGATAGACGTTGGACTTTGTCTCAATCTGCCGTGTTTCCTGCAGCTGTCCAGTGTGGTAATCCTGGAACTCCCAGCAACGGCAGAGTATTCCGTCTGGATGGAACCACGTTCTCTCATTCGGTCATTTACTCCTGCATGGATGGCTACCTGCTGACCGGCGCCACCACACGGCTGTGTCAGGCCAATGGGACATGGTCGGGATTACAACCCAACTGTACCAGTAAGTTACCCTCTGAGACTTGGTTGGGTTAATGGTGCATTTTAGCTGTGCTCTGAGGTCCAGGTGTGGAAAATCAAACAAATCAAAATTCTCACTTGGAAAAACTGGATGGTTCTAAACCAACTTTAACCTCAACATCCAACATGGCTGACCTGTGCATGATTGCAGTGACATATGTCATATAAAATGGAGAATGCCACTGGCTCATTAGTACTTCCTTTAGTTTCTGTACCAGAAGGTTAAGGTGAGGTTCACTGAGAAACTATACTTGTTATTTTCAAAGCCAGCGCTGAGTTTTACATGGATGCTGAATGTAAAAATAGTCTTCTACGTTCACCGCCTACATTAGCCGCTGAAAGAAAACATGAAGAAACAATCAGCTCCGAAAAAGCGCATCCCGTATACATTTGCACTCCTGGACTCACCCACCTTGGCTTGTGAGCACGGAGCATTGAGCTGACTAAACGATCAGGTGACAGCTGAGTGCATCTTATCTAGTAGAAGCTAACCGTTAGCATTAGCAACTCCACAACTTGGCAGAACATCTTCAGGCTTGAGTTGTTTGCGGTGACAAAACACACATGTTGCATTTTTTACCCAGGAAAGATGAACAAATCGTTGCTGTTAGCCAATCAGAAGTGAGGCATTTAAATATCATGAAAATGAATGAGAAAGTGTCGTAATACTGCCCCCACTCCTCCGACTAAAGCCTAGTTTACACCTCTCTGCCCGCGGAGGCGCAGAGACGATGTCATCTGTCGATACAACAGGCAAAGGACGGATGGAGAGCCCAATTTTGTAAACCGACGCTGTTGTTGAATTTTTTGTTACAAAATCAAACAAACCGTCGTTGACCAAAGATGTCACTGCAATGGTAGGCAGACCCAGACGCCAGAAATGGTATACACCCTCTGCTGTTCTAGTGGAGAAATGCTTTGCGACACTGACACACCAGGGAGAAGTGGAAAAGGAAAGTGTCTTCGCCAAAGCGTGATCGTGTAAACTTCAACGCCAGAGCTTTTGTCCCACAGAACACAACAGCAGGACAGCAGCAGTTTTATTGAAATAAGGAGACTATAACTCCTTTAAGACGTATGTGAATTATAAAAACGACTTGAGTCAACTTTACCTTTCGTTCAAATTGGCTAAACGACAACAAATCAGTTTCAGAAGCAAAACAACCAGACTAGGAAGGATGGATCATGCTGCTGCCCCACTGCATTATGGGTAGCTGTCTATAGTTCTCAAAATCCTTAGAAACAAGTACTCAGGACAAATAAAAGTTGCAAAGAGGTCCTTCCACTGAGCGCTGATTTGCTCAGATGTTGCACGTAGAGTTTATAGATGGATGTTAATGTTTTCACTGAAACAAATTTAAAAGGAAACCTTTTCATTCCAGTTCTTTCGCTGTAGAAGCCTTTAGAGCCTTTGCACAAACACGACGGTAAATTCATCCACAGCTCTGAGATTATCCCCTAAAAGATGGTTAAGCTCAGAGGGAAACGGCAACAACACCTTTCATAAAGTTCTTAGCTTCAGCTTTATTCTTTACTTTCCGTTAATACTTTAGTCAGCGCGTGTCAATTCCAAGGCCAGAGAGCCACTTTTATCTGGTTTGCAAGATATTTAGTGTGTTGTAAACGGCTTGCAGGTGTACAAGAGAATTAGAAATAATACAACTCCCATAATGCACTAGGACAGGCTGCAGCATCATAAACCCAACAACTCTTCTCAGTAGTAGTTTTGTCAGGAACTCAACATTAGTTTAATGCTGATGAGAAATCTTGAAATAGGAGTGTGTGCACCTATTAAAATCACAAGCTGATTTATGTCCATTAAAAAAACTAATACTTGTTTTACTCTTAAATCTCTCCTTCCCTGGCATTTAAGGATACAAACTCACCTTTTGCATCCCCTTGTGCCACCATGTGGGTCTCTACTGCCTCTACAAACATTCCAGACATGAAAAGAAAAAGAGAAATCCACTCATCTTCTGCCAGGGTTTGGTCAGGGTTAGATTTATTAGCCTAAACTGAGCCATTTAAAAGGTCCTTGTTTGTGATGTTTCAAATGGGAAAAGATGCATAGAATCCCGACTCACCTCTCCAGGCTGGGGGAGCAGTGGCTCTTATAAGAGCCCCCCCCCCCCCCCCCCCAGGAGCTTCTCATCATATAGCAACCAGTAGAAGGGTGGGTGGACAGGTCCAGCTTCTTGTTAAAGGTGTGGAATTGTGAAAGAACATTTTTAATTATTATTTCTGATTATCTTCGGTCACTCTTGAGTGTTTCCATGCAGGCTGAACATGGAAACAGTCTTCTACATCTACCTCCTGCATTAGCTTCTGATAGAAAATGGATGGTGAAATGCTAGGATTTGAAAATCCTCACATTGTGATGTCACACTGTGAAATTGCATATATGGACTCGGCCATCTTGGCTCATGCCAAGGTTTTAAAAAAATTCTGGGAGGAGACAGAGCAGAGAGTGTCTTGATGATAATGACTTTGCAACATGGCTGAATGTGTTTTGTTAGCCAGTCAGAAGTGAGGTGGGTGCATATCATTAATATTAAGTCATTCACTGCCATTAACGACTAAAGTCGTCATTTGCATTTTTTTTTACTGTGTGGGTATCAGAACGAGCCCCCGCACCATGAGAACAAACATCTCAGCTCTGAAGCTGATCTTCATCCGCATTCGTCACACATCACCTGATCAGGAAGCAGAAAATCCATGTGTTAGGAGATCGTTTAGGGCTGCTGCTTTAAAAAAAGTGAGGCGCGAACCGGAAAAGCTTCTGCCGATCGCAATTCAACAACGGATTATGAAAGAGCAGATAAAGCTCAAAACGCGCCGATTCTTCCTGATGTCAGAGGTGAGTCTCCTCTTTGTTTAGGCGTTGACATCATTCTAGCGCGCAACATTCTGTGACTCTTAAAAAACAGTAAAATGGTGAGAAACGCTGGCAGCGAAGGCCTTTAGCGATCAGGAAACGGCTGGCAGCGAATGAGTTGACGAGTAATCCTGCTGTTTTCAGCCTACCTCTGCATCTCAGAACAGGAGCATCATCAGCTTTTTTAATGACTTCACTGATTTACACTAGAGAACTTTTCAAATGTATTGAATAAACGAGCAAACCACACCTTCAAAGTGGCAGAGCCTTGAAACGTCTCATTCTGGAAGGTACCGAAAATGTCAGGATTAAACTACTGAAATCACTTCATGAGAGGGATTTTATGCAAAGAACCAACTTATTTTTTATAGACCAAACGACTATTGAAACTCTCATTTAATTTAAGTTGGCAGTAACAGATATTCTATGCTGATGTTTTCACTTTCAGAATCACTTCTTTTAATTCATTCAGAAATTTGACAATCATTGAAAATCGAACAGAAACATAAATACCGGCAGGTTGAAATTATTCCAAAGTGTAAATCAGCATCGAGAGTGGAAACACAGATTCATGACACAAGTCTAAAGTTTATGTTAGATCTGAGCTACATCGTCTCCTCATGTGGATTATTCTAGAAGTTGTCTTAACTCGCCTCTCTGTGGCACAGCTTTCTGCTCACGTTTTAATTATTCTGCAACACTATAAGGTCTGAGTGATTACATAAAACCCCAGATATTTATGTCCGTGTGACTGACTTTATAGAGTGGCATGAATAACCTTGATCGTTGTTTACTTTAGCTAATTTGCTTTTTGAACCCGGTGGGAAAACCCCATAGAGTAAATAACCATAAAAAATAAAAGTCTCTTCCTGTGTGATATACGACCAAAGCCACACTTAAGCAAGTGTTAATCAGCGCTGCATGTTTACGGTGTCCTGCAAAGTTCACCCTCCTGCATGCCTTCAAGAAGGAATGCAACGCTTATTCTTCAACACAAATCCGCATTTGTGGAGTAAAATCTTAATGCTTTCCTTTTCGCTGTGACATTTTCTGACTTTAAAAGCACCGTGCGCGGAAATAAGCCACGGCATCTCCAGCTGGGGCAGAATAATGGAGATAAAATTGCTGAGGAGCCAGAATGTTGAACCAGGCGGTTCTTGGAAGTGAAAGGCTGGCTTTTACAGTAGATTACACCACAGCTATTAACAGGCATGGCGGTGTGTGGGGTGGCTTTGGAAGCAGTTAAACTGCCTATTAGACTATGAAGGACAGTGGCCTAAAAGTACCGTCAGGGGAATCCTAATGCTCCTTAAAATAGTCCCCGGACAACCTCGGAGGGTTTTAATATCACTGTTGTTTCATTTATGAGGAAGCCCTCCGAGAGTGTGGAATTTAATATTAGCATTTAGCTCGTTAATACTCACCTCACATGAACCAATTTACTGTTATTCCACATTTCTAATACGTATTCACTAGAACTCACTTTGTTTGGATCTTAGTAAATGAAATAAGTGTTTAAGGATAGCTGTGATTGTGTTTGTAGTAAAAGTTTTTATTTTTCAAAAACTAAATAAAACAGATTCAAATTCCAATAATCTGGTCCTGCAGCTCCATGTTAGCTAAACCCCGTCTTTCCGTTATATCAGTGCAGCTTGTCCCTTCTCCACAGTGATAAACTGCGGTGATCCCGGCGTTCCCGCCAACGGCCTTCGCTATGGAGAGGACTTCACGATTGGTCAGAATATTTCCTTCCAGTGCCAGCCGGGATACAGGATGGAGGAGGAAGGGTCACCTGTCAGGATGTGCACCCAAAATGGGACATGGAGTGGAACCATGCTGACATGTACAGGTACTATAGACATCCGTTTCTGTGGAAACGTTATTATAGAAATGACACAATCTAGACAAGCAAAAAGGATTTAAAGACATCGAGATTCAAAAGGTGCACAAAACATTCAACTCAGACCAGGATGATCGATCGTTGTTGGCATCTTTTTATGCAGGAGCGCAGAAAGACGATTCAGAATTTACAGGGCTTTGGTTTTAAATGACGTCGGGGCTGAAAGCTGTCTCCCACCCTCTTCCTCTTTTCCAGCGGTGACCTGCGCAGCGCCCCCTGCCATCAGCAGCGGGGTGCTGCAGGGCAGTGACTTTGAATGGGGCAGCAGCGTGAGCTACAGCTGCTCACCTGGATACGAGCTCTCGTTCCCGGCCGTCCTGACCTGCGTGGCCAATGGCACCTGGAGCGGCATGCTTCCTCAGTGCTTACGTGAGCCACACACACAAGCTTGCACGTGCACTATCCGTCACAGCGGGAGGGCAAATACTTTGTGCCCTCGAGTGTTCCAGAATAGCGAGCACATGTCAGCGTTTTTTCTCTTTGTAACTTTGCGTGTTTCTGTGTTTGCAGCCAAGTTTTGTGGTGACCCGGGGACTCCAGTTGGTGGTTTCAGAGAGGGGCGGAGTTTCATCTACCAATCAGAAGTGTCCTTCACCTGTTCTCCACCTTTAATACTGGTCGGCACGGCAACCAGGCTGTGTGAAAGTGATGGTACCTGGAGCGGAACGCAGCCACGCTGCATCGGTAACTTCAGGCATTTTTGCACATTTTGGTATTTATTTTTTACAAGAAAATCCTAAAAGCTGGTCACCCCTCCATAGTTCTGCACCACACATTAAATTAGATTTTTAAAAAGTAATAGCAGGCCGTAAGGTAGAGTTACATTAGGAACATTATAACTAAACACCTATTAATAATAATTATATCACAATTTAGTTCTTAAAGAGCAAGTCACCCCCAAATAAACTTTTTTTTTTTGCTGATAAACTAAATAAACGAGTGTCTAATCGTGCTGCAGACACGTGTCGTCAATAATTTGGCACTTCAGTGCATCTTAGTTAAAATTTAAATATTCTGCCTAAAACTGTCAGTGTTGTGCCGTTGTCAGGTAAAAACTCTGCACCATATTTGAATTTAAATCTGCCACCGCTATTGGCTAAGAGGTATGCTATGATGTAAACTGGTACATTATGATGTCGCAGTGCTGTCGTGAGCCTGTGTGTGTGTGTATTTGTTAGCAGCTCCGCCCTCTCGGTCTGCCAGGCAACAGCATTTATTGCATTTTTCAAACATGAAGTGGGAGTGGAGTTAGACTATGATAGGGGGTGACTTGCTCTTTAATCCACTGCTTTGTGAACTTTACTCATGTTTTCTACATCCCTGTGATTGATTTGTCCCAATTTCAGCTATTTAATCTGAGATGATATAATTTTCAATAACAGAACACTGTCTGATATTAATATTATTTTATTTTTATGTAAAAGTCCTCATTAAAACTGACTAGTTGTCGTGGATATCTGAAACCTGACATGAAACCTTTTAAAGTTAGATTCCGTTGGTTATTTGTGAAATAAATGTGTTAGACTTAAAAAATCAACTTTTTCTAGACATTGAAATAATGACATTTTTAATCTGTGTTATGTATTTGAAATTTTTTTTACGAAAAATAAAACACCAGCAACTATTTGATCTATAAAAGTTTAACAGAAGAGGTGACCTCCTGTTGACTCAAGCCAAAGCAGTAGCCACTCGATCAAGTCGACTCCTCACTAGTCACGTGATCAGAGAAGTGTCATTTGATTGGCTAAAACCCATTCAATGCAATGAAGCCAACTCATTTATTTAATTTCTTGAATTTTTGCAGATGACATTTTTTGTTCATTTATTTTGAAGTTAAAATATTCAATGTCTAAAAAAAGTCGGATTCTACTGAAACTTTATTTTTTCCATAAAAATGGAGCATCTGAAATTCAGACCAAGATAAATTTCAAGGGTTAATTGCAAAAACAAGTAGAGCATAATTACAACACTAAACTTAAAGAAATGTTAGTGTTTTTGCAGTTTTGACTAATGCAAAAGTGTCATAAATACCAATTAACTGTGATTCTAATAAAATATTTTTTGCAGTTATGTCAAATTAGTTTGTTGGGACATTGTAAAATCCATTTTTGTTTATTTTCCTGTTTCCTATTTTCATAATCAAATATGAAATTCTAGAAACTAAAATAAACCAAAAGGGAAAAAACAGCTCTGATAAAAGAATAATAAAGGTTTAATAATGCCTTCAATTGTATGTATATAGAACTGTCTGGCCAGGTTGAGTAAATGGGGTGGCATTTGCCCCCCCCCCCCCCCCCCCCAGGCCCCCTTTAGTGACACCACCGTTTAAGTACATTTAACACAAAAACTTGCTTCCAATCAACAAAAGCTGACCAAGACATGTTCAGCATGACAGAACATTTCCATTTGAACTCATGCATCTGGCTTTGAATCATCAGCAGATATTAAGACGAGTAGGCAGGAACATTTGGGTATTAGGACAACTTGATAGCACCTTTTTCAACATATTTATAGACTATTTGATCTAAATAAGTCTCCAGCTGCTTCACAATATAGTAAAGGTGTTTGAAACCAACTAGGCATTGATTTAAAACTTAAGCGATGGCTTTCTAACAGTTCCTGACTTAATCATCTTCAATCATTTATTCCCCCCCCCCCCCCCCCCCCCCCACCACCACCAATGAGCTGGAGCACAGCAGAGACTCCCCCGGCAGGGGTGTCCTCCCCACTTCAAAGTCTGGGATCAAATTAAAAGGCGGAGCTGTTCGGGCCACTGGAGCAGCCAAAGTTCTGAGTGAGATTTCCTCTGGAGGTCATCCTCGTAAAATAAATATCTTCCTTTAAATAACATATCAAAGCATAAGATTTCAGACTGGTGTTTAATGTTGTCCCTTCGCTGTACATGTTTCCTTATAATTAATGACATGAGACTGTGGTGTAACCAGAACCGCCTCCACGGAGCGTTGCTGTTCCCATGATCCCTCCTGATGTATAGAACGTTAGTTTACTCCATGAAAGGATGTTTAAAGCTCTTAAATCAAGCTGATGATGGGTGTAAGCACCCTTTACTTTACAATTAGCTTTCATTCTTTCACTTCCACTATTTTTTAAAGGAACATCTTGGAGAAACGGCCTCTGCACTTCTGTGGAGTCCAGTTTGATCATGCTGAGATCAGGATTTGATAGGTGGACATCACTTCCTGTTGGTCATATCAGTTCTACAGCTCCTTATTCTTCATTACAACAGAGATCATTCTTATAGACCAATCAGATTTTTTGGTAGAAAAATATCTACTTGAACATTTCAGCATCAAGGACACCTGTAATCAGGACTTAATTCCAACTTAATCTGGAAATGCTGCAGAACCTCCACCGTGCTTTACCATTAGACCACTGCTCTCCAGTCTGGTGATAACAGTTTTGTGATTGTTGTTCTAAGTCAAAGTTTATCCTTTTTTAGCCAGACTTGTCCAAACAGTACATGGATGCCTGGTCTAACACGCCTCTGAGCTCGGAGCTGATACAGTTTCAGTTTCAAAAGGAAGTAAGCCTGACGTGTCTTTCATCTCTGTCTCCTTGGCCTACCTTTTCGTCCACTGTCCTCAGCATTGCCAGTTTCTTTCATCTACTTTCTAAGAGCAAGAACAGAATATGTTGAAACATCCATCTGCTTTGAACTCTCTCCCTGGGAGAGACTAGCTGATGAGGTAGAACTAGCTATGTCTTGTGGCTTAGCTCTGTCTCATCGTTGTGTCTGACCTTTGAGGAATGTCTTCTACAATGCCCCCTTGATAGCAGAGTTCAGTTTGAAAGAGGACAAATGATGACTTCTTGAGTCATAATTTCAACACATTTATGAAGTTCTTTGCTATAAATTCCTCTTGATTTCAGCAGTTTTATTTTTGACAGTTTCAGTGCCTTCCAAAATGAGCTGTTTCAGGGCTCTGTCACTTTAAGGAAAACAAGCAGCTACTGGCCACGTCTTCCTACCCCCTCATTGGCTGCTATAAGCTGAGAATCTCCAATTCCGTGAGGGGCTCAGAGTAGAGCAACAGGTGAAGGGGTTTTTGTGACATCACAAACAGGGACTTTTTAAACGGCTCATTTTAGGCACATAATTCCTCAAACCGAACACTAAAAGAAAACAGGTGGGAGTTTTTTACATGTCTGAAGTGATTTTAGAGGTAGAAGAGGCCCCAGGAGTGAGTTTAACATAATAAATCCTCTTTAAGCCATAATTCATTTGGATCTATAGGCTGGACTTTTTATGCATCTTGTCATAATTCTAAAAGAATAAATGTGTGCATTTTGTCGCTGTACCAGATGATCACGGTGTGGCTGTTGAACGTATGGTTCTGTGGATAAATAATAACTACAGGCCCATTATAGAAGTTCTGGTTAATAAAGAAGCATGTTTAAAAACAAGCTTTGAGGATTTCTTTAGCTTCAAATTACAGCTTTTTCACAGTTAGAATCGATATTTTAGACATTTAACTTTCCAAAACCTTATAAAGGTTTTGATTTCAGCTAATTGGCTTTGCTTCCTTCCAGCTCTCTGTCCACCAGAAGAACTCTAGTGGACCATTTCATAAAGGTCATTTGTGAGCTTGCTGATTAAATATTATGGTGGCATGATGTTTCACCAATGATTGTCACTCACAAATTGCTGCTCTGTAGGCCCTCGAGTGAGCCGTGTGACATGTGATCTAATGAATGAAATGAGCCAAACGTAACGGGAGAGGAAATTGCAAAAAGTGGTTCATATGTTGATTTGGTTGAATACATTTTAAAGTGGTCTGCACCTCAACTGTCTGGCTCACTGGGAAACTGAAATGACTGGTCACCTACAACCCAGATGAAGAAGGGAGATGTTTATCAAGGTTATGTAGCCAACAGGACCTCTGCATTGTCCAAAGATCGTAGAGAAAAATCCATGATTCAAATGTATGTCTCTTGTAATTCATATGGCTGGAAAGCAGGGGTGGATACAGGACTGAACCAGAGCTGGGGGCTTAGCCCAGATTAGCATGCGCAACAAAATAGGTGTTTTGTTATATTATTAAAACTTTTAAAAGTTTAAAGCACTAGTTTCTAAGCAGGCAGCCTCGGCGCTTGCCACATGGGTGCCCTAAGCAGACTCTCATTCTGCAGCCCATCCCATTGAGATGATTTCCTGACGAGGTCGGGGGGGGGGAGATGTTTTTTACTTGTTTTCGTGTAAAAGTGCAACTAAGCATATCCTAATATTCTCTAGAACCAAAAGTAAACTTATCTCCTCGTTGCGCGTTCATCTTTTTCATCAAAAAGCTGAAATGTCTCCTCAGCCTTGATTAGTTTCTACAGGAGCGGTTCAGCACTAAATCAAACAAATCAGCTGTGTTCACGATCTAAAACAGGGGTGGGGAACCCTGGTCCTTGGGGGCCGGTATCCTTCATATCCTTGCTCCATCACTTCTGATTAAGTGGTTGAATCACCTGTGCAGCAGCTCATCAGGCTCCGCAGAAGCCTGTTAATCACTTGCTGATTGAAATCAGGTGAGCTGAAGCAGGGTTCAAACAAAATTATGCTGGACAGTGGCCAATCGATGAACAAGGGTTCCCCACCCCGATGTAAGACAAGCACTCTAACGTTGCAAGTGCAATATTCTGGCCACAGGGGGGCGGTAGGGGTCTGAGTGACATTTCATTAACCCTGTAAAGGGCATTTTAGCACATACTGGCTCAAGAAAATGATTTCAAAGTATGAAACAGTTGCTTTGTATGGTTTTAAGTAGGGCTGCACGATATTAGGAAAACCTGCGATAGCGATATTACTCACGATAAATGAACAAATACTAAAGTATGCAGTGTTGATGTCGTCTGGCGTGTGACGTCTGCTCTGGGTTCAAAGCAAACAAAAACTAACGCATGAATTCCATGACAACATAATGTTTTTATTGCAAAAATATGCAGCTGCACCTGCTACTGTATTAGCAGCAAAACAACAAACTGCATGCATGCAGTTTCTCAGTGACTTTAAAACATCACCTCCACCATAAAACTTTTTCTGATGCTCCAAATAAAGAAAAACATCCCTTACCAGGGTTTTTGAATAAATAAAAAAAATCTGAAAATAAGCTTAAAATGTTAAATAATAGTTAACATCACTTAAATGCAACAGCAAATTCTCTCATTGCTACTGAACATTTTCTCCACTTATGTGGTTCTGATATAAGGCTGTTGCTGTAATTGGGAAGTGAACTGTGCTCGGCCAAACTAGGAGAATATTAAGATTTTTTAAGGGAAAGAGAAAAACAATTGTCTACCTTTCAGAAGAGGAAGTGGCAAAAACTACATGGAAAATATGTGAAAACATTTGTTTTTAACCCCAAATTGAACAAGTTTACCTAGATCTTAAAAAGCAGCTCAGATGATGACACTGCAACTATGATTCTGATAACAAGCTAACAAATTGAACTAGCTCCTCTAAGATAACCGGCTAGCAGAGCTTCTGACTGACAGTTTATGTGCAGCAGCAAATCAACTATCCTGATTAACAAGGTTATAAAAGCTCATAAATGAAAAATCACTTTGATGTGTGGGGGAACTTTTCCAGGCCCTCTTTAGCAGGGTGGGACTGGGAGGAGAGTGCTGTAGCCTTTTAGCTGGAAGCTAACCAGAGCCTGGGGCTAACATCACCACCCGGTGGAACACTAGCGACATGGAGGTAGGTGGGTTGTGTCGGAGTCAGCCCGGTTATTATCAGCTGCTTAACGACACCGAGCGGACTCACGTTCACGTTTGAAAGCAGCGCTGATTCCAGAAACCTCAGCACAAAGTGCGTTCGTAAATCTGAGCCAGCATGACGAACAAGGGAAGCGAGCGGCAGCAGAAAGCGGGGGCGGAGCGGAGATAGTTGAATTTTGGGGTAAGGGTCTACGTAGGGAGCGGGCGTATTACGTGAACGGACCCATCTGATTGGCCGCATATCAGAGGGGCTACATTTGATTGGTCAAATAATACTTCCGCGTAAAAAACAGAGCTGGTTTACAAAAAGTTGATGTATGACACGGATGGAAATGTTTGAACCAAACATTAATCGCCGTTTTTGACGTGCTTTGCGATGGGCCTATCGCACGTCCTGTTATCGCAATGACGATAATTTTTCGATATATTGTGCAGCTCTAGTTTTAAGTTTCAGTTTATGTCCAGAGTTTGAAAAAGTTCAAAAATACATTTTAGAGAAAGGGAGAAAAGTCTTTCAATTGGCTCTTTCAAGTGTTAAATGGAGTCCTTTTAAGGTTCTTCTGGATGTAAAACGTCACATATTAGTTGTATTAAATGCATTTTAAAATGTATAGTTCATAAAAAATTTGATAGAATCCAAGGATTGAAATCTTTGCCTCTGGGGAGAGGCTAAAGTACGTTCAGTTTTAAAATTTTGATCCAAAGGTTAAGATTGTTAACAGGCAGTAAAGTTGTTTCTGGGTCAGCCCACCACCACGTGAACAGAAGCCCTTCACAAATCGGTTTGAATGAAATCTTGTTTTGTGACAAATTCAGGCGTTTGGCTCTGCTGGCAGCACGTGATAAGTCACACTGTGCATCCAGCACTTTACCACCGCCATAAAGTCTAATGTTCCCTGTGAAATAGATGATCTAAAATTAGAGGGCTGCCTGTGAAGTGTTGCTTCATTCATGTAGAGCCTTCATCTAGAACAGCTGAAAAAGAAGTAGTTACAGTTTGCTGCCAGCGAGGGGAAATCTGTGTTGTGTTTCCTAATTGGCTTCTTCTTCTTTTTTGTCTGAAACTGTTAGTTACACACAAACAAAGTGATTTTTAACTTTGCGTGTGTAGGAGTGACTGATTAGTGGTGGTGTGTGTGATGTGTGCTACTGTGGGACAGAACCAGAAGGAGTTTTGAGCTAAGGCAGCTTGCTCTTTAAATAAGACAGATGAGGCAAGAGGGGAGGCAGACTAGGAGATAGAAACGGAGAAAGAAAGGAGCCGTTCCGATGGAGCCGATGGAAAGGTACAGGAAGAGAAGGAGTGGAGAGGTGGAGAGTGAATCTGTCATTTTGGAGGCTGTATTGAATCTGCTCTGCGTCAGGATGTGCTCTACATGCTGATGACCCCCCCCCCCACACACACACACACACACACGGGACGCCCAGCTTCGTTTTCCAGTGAAGTACTACTGCCCCCTGCTGTCCCTGTAGTGTGCACTGGGACTGTTACCATGACGACATGGGAGAGAGAAATAGACTTGTAAAAAGCTGCTGTACATTTATCTCTCTGAGATGTGGTGTGTCTTTACTTACTCTGTTGGGATTCCCGTTTCTCTCCAGAGCCGACCAAAACCAGCTGCGATAACCCCGGAACGCCACGCTACGGCTCCTTAAACCGGACCTACGGATTCAAGGTAAAACGTGTCCCAAATGTCAAAGTAGTTAAAGTTTGCTGATGCTGTGGTGGCTCGTTTACTGGGAGACAAATGCAAAGTGGAAACTTGAAAAAGGAGCAAAAACACTAAAAAAAGAGCTGAAATCCTAAAGAAAGCAGCCCGTGTTTAAATGAATCAAACAACATCTGTTCTTACGGTAATCCTAGTATTTCTCCAGGGTAATCTTTGATCAGAGTCGTGAGGGTTTGGACCGATGTGTGAACATGGGTTTAGCATCCATGTTTATTGTAACCTTTTCTCCAAATCTTCCTTCAGCTTCAGAAACCTGTAGGTGACTCCACGGAGGGTTTTTCCTGTATTTTAGTCTGCACCACCATGATTTCTGTGAAAAATTCCAGTGTGTTGTGAATTACCGTCATAGGCATCCCAGGCCTATAGGGGGCAGTAGTTCCCCAAACTGTTGACCACTGAGAAACATTCTTTGGACATGGAATAGCTAAGTGGCGGGCAACACCGGTCCTTAACTTCATGTAAACCCGGGTCTTGTCTAGTTTTAGTGGCACTGATGATTTACACCCACTGGTGAAAACTGACAATGGAGAATAAAAACGCTCAACAATGACTTTTGAATAAACAGCCACTTTGATGCCTAGTCGCTGCTGCGTTATCGTGTACTCAACATTTCTGTGGCGAGGTCATTTGTACATATTTCAGAGTAATTGTTTGCTGGAGTAAGTGTCACTGTCACAGCCTTCCACTGCCATGAAGGGTACTTACACTCTTTCCACAGCTTGAGGGAAGAAAAAAAGTCTCCTTGCAGCTCTCTTCATCTTTGTGCTTTTCTCTCTCACACACTCTCCACCCAGGTGGGGAGCGTGGTGTCATTTCAGTGCCATCCAGGTCATTTGCTTCAGGGATCTTCTTCTAGAACCTGCCAGCCTGATCTGACGTGGAGTGGAATACAACCGGAGTGCATACGTAAGACAGACACATCTCTTCAACTTGTTACCTCTTCACCCGACTCCAACCATACGACAAGACTCGTTAAAGAGAACATTGTAACTCTCCATCCTCCAGCCCACGCCTGCAAGCAGCCAGAGAGCCCGCTCCATGTGGACGTGGTGGGAATGGATCTGCCAGGTTTCGGCTACACCTTGGTGTACAGCTGTCAGCACGGGTACTTCCTGGCCGGGGGATCTGAGCACAGAGTCTGCAAGAGTGATGGCACTTGGACTGGAAAGATGCCAGCGTGCAGAGGTATGTGAGTCACTTCACTGAATTAAGTGCATTTGTTTGATGGCCAAAGCAGTTCCACTAAACAGAAGCGTCTCGCTCAGGGACGACCATCTGGAGCAGAGGGAGCTTCACTGCTAGAGTGGACGAATGGAAAAGCTGGGGTTTTGTCTTTTCGGGAGGTTAGCTTCCAGCGAAAAGCAACAACCAGGATCTGAACAACTTCCTTAAGTCTGGTTCACACGGCAGGATAATCGTTCCCATTTTTGAGCAGCGCCTCCTGGTGCTGTCGATCTTCATAAGAAGACAACTGGTCCCTCTGAGCTAGTAATCAGCGTTCTGTTTACATTTACACTGGCTAAGAAAATCTTTATCAATAAAATAGCATTTATATTCAACTGTTTTTAATAATGCCATAATGGGATATTCCACCCCTAAGAGAAATTTAGCCTATTTCCATGTTTTCCAGAGTTAGATAAGTGAGAAAAACAGTATTTTTAACAGTAATTATCCTGGTCTGGCAGCACTCCGTCTGCTTTAGCTTAGCACAAACAATGGAAGTGAATAGCAGTAACTAGCATTTTGAGTGCAAACGTGATTAAAATGACTCAAATGATACCAAGTCTTCCCGATGAGCTCAATAATCAAGTCGGCTGCAAATGAAAAGTAAGAAGTAACATAAAGGATTTCCAGGAGCCGATTTAAACTTGGGACTACATTACGACAAATCATCGCTGTAAACCGCCGCGGTCGAAAAAGCCACCAGCAACTGAAGAACACGGCAGTCCCATCCATATTTAGTGAAAAATCAAAAGAAGTGCATCAGTACTATCTGTAAGTGGTCTTTTATTTCATCTAGTTCATTGAGTGTTGCTGGGCTAGGGTGAGGGTTAGGGTCTGAGAGTTGGACCGGTCCTTACCGCCATCTTTAACTACCAATATTTCATTCATTTGTCATTAATATGTTGCACAACTACACAGTGGTGTAATTGAGGAAACTGTTTAAAACTGCTGACCCAAATCGATAGATCACTAGCCTGGCCATGACCAACACACAGATCTCAGTCGTTGGGTGACTCTACGGTTGTCTCCACATGCTATCGGACAACAAACAGTGTGACGCTCTCATTACGCCAGTCAACGGGGCGGTCTGCCATACATCGTTGTAGAAGATGCAAATAAAGGACTTCAATACCTTTATCTGCTCTTGACTCAAAGAAAAGCTCAAGTCTAATTGACGCCAAAGCCGTTTCAAACAAGCCACCACCAGTTTTTGGTAAGGCACAAGACTGCTCGGGCCTGCTGACGCTTCTGTGAAACGAATCATGAATGAATACACAGCACTAGCCCCGCCCCTTCTCACAATCCTAAAGAGACGCTCGATTACCATAAAGGCTTTAAAAATGATCTCATCAAATATTTCTGCTGTGTGTTATTAGCGCTCTGAGCACGAATCTGGGCTTTTCGGTGCGTTTAATTTTTAGGGATAAACTGCTAAATGTGATATTGAGCCATCCAGAAAGCAAAGTTCACAGCACGCGCCTCCTTATGCGCCATGCTTGTTTACTTCAAAGTTATGTCTTCTCTCGGAAGATTTCCTTCCTCCACACCTTTTCCATGATTGCACATTAATGCAAACACTGCTGGCGGATTTTTCTTCTGGTCAGCGGACTGGGAAAGGAAACTAGGAATAAAAATTTTGTAAACTGACAATTAGTCCTTGTTCCAATTGATGTCCAGCTCAAACAAAAGTTGTAGACTATCTAATTTTAAGTGTCTGCAGCCTAAACAGTAACTTCCAGATAACAAAGTCTTAAATCTGCTGCTTCACTGGCATTATTCATGGGTCTTTTTTTTTCTACGCTCTTGCCTTTTATGCTGGTTTGAAAATAAAACATTCCTGAAAGGGCAGATATAAAAGTGGAGTTTCCCCGGGATGTTCATGCGGTGTCAACTCTGAAAATGATTGAGCTTGTGTGAAGTTTGCTGCATTGACAGGAAATGCTAACAGATGAAGATTCCTTTGTGTGAAGGAAAATGGAAAAGGGGGAAAAAAATCAGCCCACCCTGGAGAAGTCTTAAACCGGGTCACTCTGATCCTACTGGAGTTTCTGGGACATGAGCCTTTTCTCTTTGCTCATAGGAAACAATGGCTGTGTCTTAAAACTGCTTTAACCTATTGTGTTTCTCTCTTTCTGCAGCTGGAGAAAAGAAGAAACCAGTGAAACCAGTAACAGGAACGCCCAGCCCAAAACTCCATGGTCAGAGCCCTTTATTATTTAAAAAAGTGTCCATTTATTCTGTTTCAGCTTGGTTTAATTTATTGCTCCACAAAATGCCCGTTTCCACTATCAGAACTTCCAGGTACCAACAGAGTACCTGCCTTGGGGAATGTACTCTGAAATGTCCCGGTAGGGTTGCTGAGCAGGACTTGTGCTCCCTGTAAGACTGAGCCGCCATCTTGGATGGGTCTCCCTTCGCCCCCAGTGCATTTATTTCCCTGAAAAACACATTTTATTATGATTTTTTAAACAAAATCCCAAAAACTAGGCTGCACAGAATACAGGCATAGTTGCCCACTGTGCATGGTTTGGAGAGTGAAGAACCCACCCAATATCGCTGTTACACTTTCCAGCATCCAATGGTGTGTCTACGTATTCATGTCCTTGTTTGTAAAAACAGAGTCGCTGGTGAAGCACAATGGGAAGAAAAGCGATGGAAACAACCCCCCCAGGTGCTTTAATTTGGCGATTCTTCTGGTTGTTAATGGCTGCTTTTTTAATCACACAGCCACTCTCTTTATTAACTGACTTGCAATGCCCGTGGATGTGTTTTAGTGCTAATCAGTCACTATATGCTGACATTTTAGCACAGTCCTGAAAGGGCCAATTTGTATGGAACCACAACAGCTGTGAGAACCCAGATTTGGAAAGTTCCCTAATGCTCTTTGTGATACTTCTAAACCTTTTTGTGTTTTTGATGCACACAGAAAAACAAATGATCCACTGTGGTATTCTCTCTTGCTCTGCTACAGTTTTGCTCACTTCTGTTTTACAGCTGAGCCTCTTTATTCTGCTGCTTTAGCCTCTCGTTGAACCCGAACATCCTCAAGTCTGCCAAATAGAGCCTCTGGTTTTCCTGCTGTGAAGACATTACATTTACACAGACACTTTTTATCATTTACATTTTTATTGTAGTAAGTTCTGTGCATTCTTATATTAATTTGTAGTGGTGCCGCCTGCTCTTAAGAGATTCACCGATTTGCACTTGTAGCTGCGGGATGGCACCACCACTAAGACATATGGGAAAAGATGCGTCAACGTAGCACATGTGCCAAAAACTTGGCTAAACCCTGGCAGATTTCCCAAAAAAACTAGGAAGTCTAAAAATCAAGACAGAAATAAACAATCCTCCATAATCATCAACATGCTTTGATGAAACTATACTTACATTATGAATCAGTGCCAGAAAGACAGTCAGCTGCTAAGGCGTTCACCAGGGCTGTGTACTGTCCCCTTTGAGGTTGGTAATAGTCTAACCTTTAATCACTTCATGAAACAATGTTACCCCATATTTAAATATTGTATAATGTCGAGGCAGCAATCTGATTTTTATCTCTAAGAGACCCAATAAATCAGAAATTTCCTGACACGCCTGCCCTCTTTTTGTGAAGGCAGCGGTCTCATCTCTGCATTTTCCTGACATGCTAGATGTTGTTTTAATAAATACAGTAGGTCTTTGACAATCAAATGCTGTTTATACTTTACATAGATATAAGCAGGATTTTGTTTAAATATGGGTATAAATGTCCTAGAGGCAGAAAATCCCGAAATGGGCTCATTCTGACCTCAACGACCAAAACTCATTGAAAAATCTTAATCTTTCCCTTGTTTGTTTCCACAGTTCCGGACGATGTTTTTGCGCCAAACTACATATGGAAGGGTTCCTACAATTACCGTGGCAGGAAGCAACCTATGACACTGAGCATCACCAGCTTCAACTCCACAACAGGGAGAGTCAACGTTAGCCTTAGCAATGGCAATCTGGAGCTGCTCCTGTCAGGCATGTTGTGTTACGACTCCACATCAAGCGCTCTACTTATTACTATCTGCAGAAGGGAAAATAGGTTATGTGATGATAATGATATGTTTATGGTACCGTGCTATACTACTGCTGTATTAATCCATACATATACACACACATTAGGTGTAATGTCGAGCTCCTTCTATCAACACTATTACTGGCGCTTCCTGCTTTGTAATGGTGGATTATTGGTCTCTTAAACTCGATGAGCTGCAAGTTTCACTCACATATCTACACACACATGCATGCAAAACTCCACATGGGTCCTTTAACAGCCTCAGTTAGGTTTAGGACTCTAATAAAACAAATCCTGGTTCCTGAAGTGTCAGAGAGCCTCAAAACCATAATGAAAAAGTCCGCTGGCTTAAAAGAACAGCTTTAGATCAATGCCAGCTAAAGCTGCACTTCCACAGCCATTGAAAGGCCAGCGGCCTTTTACAGCAGCACTTCTGCCTTTAATATCCGAGTCGTGCGTCTGCAGCTTGAATGTAAGGCTGGAATCAGAACACGCAGAGACATTTGCTGTCTAGCTTAGCATAAAAAACCAGTGTTATGGGAAAACAGACGTCTGCTTAAGGTGAAAAGTGTTCCTGCTGACACTTCTAACCCTGTCTGACACGATGAATCACGATGATGCGTAATATTTGAGGGAATTGGATGCACATTTGCGTCAAAATGTTCCATCAAGTGCCTCTTAGTTTCCCCAGTTTAACTTTAATAAAGGTTCAAAGCATTTTGCAGCTGCGCTGACACGTTTATCTGCCTTTTTCAGGAGTCTATAAGACTTCAGAGGCCAGACTGATGCTTCTGATGTATCAGGTGAACTATGTGAACCAGGGGACCCAGATGAAAGATTCAGCCATCTCTCCAGCGAAGATCATGGACGACTCATGGACTATGGATGGATTTGTAAGTTTCATCTGATCATTGCATAAAAAGTTTTCCTGAACGGATAGGTCAGGGTCAGTTTTGTATACGGTTCTAAATAATTATCTGTCTTAAGGGAGAACTTACATTTGAGAATAATGAAAAAATCCAGACACAACACTTTTTCAGGAGTTAGGGGACATTTTTTTATTTGATCTCAAACTTGGAACCAGAAAAAACAAATATTGGCTGATGTTGGCATTATGGTTAAAATGAGACCAGCTGTAGAGCAAAGATCATCAATACCCATAACGCCGTGCTTTGACCCGGCTCAGGCAAGAAGAAGAGGAACATTTTAGAATCACCAGATGTGGGAAAATTAAGGCTCAACAACAATAGTGAAGTTAAGCTGAGTAACACAATTAGGACCTCCTAGCAATAGCTAACGTCACTAAAAGCCAACCAAACTCCAATAAGGAGTGGTCCACATGATCCTGATGTAGCTTCCACCGTTGCCCTGGGTGTGTTCTCATTGTTCGATGTCAGCCGGGGGTCTTAAGTGCTCAATAAGCGGTGACAGGGCTGGTCACGATATTTGTGTAGGACGGTCAGAAACACACAAAGTGTGTTTCGGGCATACCACATAACAAAGCATTTGCGGTCTCTAAACAACGTACTAACTGTAACAATTAAATTTACATATTATTTAATGAACCATAAAATATGAGATTCCATAAAAACTATGAAATCAATCTTATGGACCTGTGGACAACTTAAACCAGAAGATCAGAACTTTTTATTGCAGGGATTATGTAACACTTCGTATTAACTCAGAGACAAAGGAGAGTCAAGTTTTAAAAGTTTAAAGATTTATTACTAAACAAATTAAAACTAGACTAACTTTAAAAGCTAAACGTATGGTGTAACTAAGGTGAAGTGAGACAGAGAATGGTGTAGTGTGGAATGTTGTTCAGAACCAGCAAATCCGGGGAAACGATTAGTTCTGATGGGAGTGAAGGTGATGTTTTCGCGCTAAGCTTTGGTTAGGAGGTTCATAAACACATTGAGACGCCATTCTGTCGGTCTACGCACCCTTGGCGGAAGTCCCCGTCTAGATCAGGAGGTGTAGAGGTCCAGCTTGGACCTTTCTGGAGCTAAAGCCTGTAGAACAGTCGCGGTCGCCAACCAGTCCAGTCTTTGAGATGCTTCCGGGTCACAACAGTTTTATTGGCATCTAACAAGACCCAAAACGGGGTCGTGATGGTTCAGCTTTTATTCTGAAAGGAACCGTTGCAGCAGTTGTTACAGCAGCAGATTTTATCCAGCTTGTCGTTGTTTTTTTCGGCTGAAGAGGAAAGTTATGGATTGGCCACTCCGACAACTTCTCTAGAAAGCTTTGAACTCGAGTTAAAGATGACGCGGGCATAGTTTTATGGTCGAATGAAAAGAGGACAGATTTACCAAACACCACCAAAACCACGCCTCCGTCAGATCTGGAAGATTCTGATTGGATCAGTAAAAGCAATGTGTGATGTACCTTAACCTTTCGTGTGATCAGTCTCTAGTGGAAACATTTAAAGTTATATTACTTATTATATTCTGTAGGATTATAATATCAAGTAATTAATATTTTCATTTCACAAATTTTATTTTTGACAAAAACTTTGATTAGCTTATTAAAAATAGAGTTCTTTGATTTAGTAAAAAGAAAGAGTCCTTTGTCTTCGTTCTTCTCTTGTGCTGGAAAGAAAAACAGGTTTAGAAGCAGATGCACGAGACCTTGCTGAGGAGAGGGGGGAAATGACTTTTAGGTGGAAAACAGTCATTTCATTCAGTTACATAACACTTGTTAGGAACTGGATTGCAAAATCAGAAGGTTTGTAGACACCTAACTAACACTGCAGTAATGTCCATTGGTGAGGTCACATCTGATTGGTCGAGTCCTCAACGGGCCAGTCTTGATTGGTGGGTTGGTTTGAAGCACACTGGCTGGAGTCCAGGAACTTGTCCTAATGGTGGAGCATAGCACAGAAGGTCACCGGCCGTAACACAATCTATACAATAACTATGGTGATGTAATACTAATGATCAACTGTTTAATGAAAACTTTGAGGCTCTTTTTGTTGCATCGCCTGATGTGGTGATTCAGTCATTTACATGGAAAAGTTCACAAATACAGCACAGCTTCTTCTGGAAATAACCTAAGAATCAACTTTAATCCCAAAACGGTGGTGTTCTGCTTCTGAATGGCCCTAAGATACGCCACCGCAGCCTTGTGTTTGATTATGGAGACGGTGTTTCTTCGTAACTCAACCACTCTGTGCTCTCTCCAGGTTTCAGCAGAGCCTGATGGTTCCAGCTACGTATTCCAGGGTTTCATTCAGGGAAAGGACTACGGACAGTTCGGACTGCAGCGACTCGGTATTTCTTTTATATTTTATTCTGATGAGGCTCAAACTGCACAGACAAAGCTAAACATGATTTTTCAGAGTATAATCTTCTATTTAACATTAAAAGGGTCGTTTTGGTCCATCACAGGTCTGAACACGTCAGAGAGTCAAAACTCACCACCCCCCCAGCTCGGTACCAACAGCAGCTCTGTGGCCATCGCTATCCTGGTGCCTTTCTTCGCTCTGATCTTCACTGGCTTTGGCTTTTATCTCTACAAACAGAGGTATGAGAACAGACTAATAATCCTGCAACGTTACGTCTCCTCTTCATTAACATTTTAAGACCGGTTATTGCAGCGGTGCTAAGAGACGGTAGAAATCTGGTAGAAAGCAGGACCCCAAGGCGTTCCCGGACCAGATTGGAGATGTAACCTCTCCAACGTGTCCTGGGTCGACCCGGGGGCCTTCTGCCGGCAGGACATGCCCAAAACACCTCCCCGGCGAGTGGTCCAGGAGGCATCCTGACCAGATGCCCAAACCACCTCAACTGGCTCCTTTCGATCCGGAGGAGCAGCGGTTCTACTCCGAGTCCCTCCCGAATGTCCGAGCTCCTCACCCTATCTCTAAGGCTGAGCCTGGCCACCCTACGGAGGAAACTCATTTCGGTGAGGATTGGGACGTAGATCGAGAGCCTGGCTTTCTGGCTCAGCTCCCTCTTCCCCACGACAGATCGGCTCAGCGTCCGCATCACTGCAGACGCCGAACCAATCCGCCTGTCGATCTTCCGATCCCTCCTACCCTCCCCCACAGGGTGCCCCTGGGGACACGGTCATAAGCCTTCTCCAAATCCACAAAGCACATGCGGATTGGTTGGGCAAACTCCCATGCCCCCTCCATCACCCTTGTATAGAGCTGGTCCACAGTTCCACGGCCAGGACGAAAACCACATTGCTCCTCCTCTATCTGAGATTCAACTATCGATCGGACCCTCCTCTCCAGTACCTTGGCGTAGACCTTTCCAGGGAGGCTGAGGAGTGTGATCCCCCTATAGTTGGAACACACCCTCAGGTCACCCTTCTTAAAGATGGGGACCACCACCCCGGTCTGCCACTCCCTAGGAACTGCCCCCGATGACCACGCAATGTTGTAGAGACGTGTCAACCATGACAGCCCTACAACATCCATAGCCTTGAGATACCCAGGACGAACCTCATCCGCCCCCGGGGCTCCGCCGCTGTGTAGTTGTTTGACTACCTCAGCAACTTCTGCCCCCGAGATCGGACAGTCCATCCCCAGGCCTCCCAGCTCTGGTTCCTCCTCGGAATGCGCATTGGTGGGATTGAGGAGGTCCTCAAAGTATTCCTTCCACCGTCCGACTATAGCCTCAGTTGACGTCAGCAGCTCCCCATCCCCACTGTAAACAGTGTGAGCAAGTTGCTGCCTTCCTCTCCTGAGGCGCCGGACAGTTTGCCAGAACCTCTTTGGAGCCGATCGATAGTCTTTCTCCATGGCCTCACCAAACTCCTCCCACGCCCGAGATTTTGCCTCGGCAACTGCCACTGCTGCACCCCGCTTGGCTATCCGGTACCTGTCTGCTGCCTCCGGAGACCCACAGACCAGCCACGCCCTGTAGGCCTCCTTCTTCAGCCTGACGGCTCCCCGAACCTCTGGTGTCCACCAGCGGGTACGGGGGTTGTCACCACGACTGGCACCTGCCACCTTACGACCACAGCTAGCAACAGCCGCCTCGACAATCGCAGAGTGGAACAAGGCCCACTCGGACTCAATGTCCCCCACTGCTCTCGGGACGTGCTCAAAGCTCTGCCGGAGGTGGGAGTTGAACACCGTCTTGACAGGTTCTTCTGCCAGGCGTTCCCAGCAGACCCTCACTATGCGTTTGGGTCTGCCAGGTCTACGCGGCATGTTCCCTTGCCATCTGATCCAACTCACCACCAGGTGGTGATCAGTTGACAGCTCCGCCCCTCTCTTCACTCGGGTGTCCAAAACATACGGCCTCAGGTCAGATGATACGACTACAAAATCTATCATCGACCTGTGACCTAGGCTGCCCCGGTACCAAGTGTACCGGTGGGAATCCTTATGTTCAAACATGGTGTTCGTTATGGCCAAACTGCGGCTTGCACAGAAGTCCAATAAAAAAACACCGCTCGAGTTCAGATTAGGTGGGCCGTTCCTCCCAATCACACCCCTCCAGGTCAAGCTGTCATTGCCCACGTGAGCATTGAAGTCCCCCAGCAGGACAATGGAGTCCCCTGATGGAGCATTATCTAGCACTCATCCCAGGGACTCCAAAAAGGGTGGGTACTCTGAACTGATATTTGGCCCATAAGCACAAACAACAGTCAGGACCCGTTCCCCGACCCGAAGGAGCAAGGAAGCTACCCTCTTGTCCCCCAGGGTAAACCCCAACACACAGGCAGAGAGTCTCGGGGCTAACAAAAAGCCAACCCCAGCCCTCCAGCAAAGTAGAGTGTCCAACCCCTCTCCAGGTCTCGGGTTCCAGAGCCAATGCAATGTGTCGAGGTGAGTCCGACTATATCTAGCCGGTACCGCTCAACCTCTGCCACAAGCTCCGGCTCCTTCCCCGCCAGCGAGGTGACGTTCCATGTCCCAAAAACTAGTTTTCTTGTCCGGGAATTGGACCGCCAAGGCTCCCGCCTTGGTCTGCCACCCGATTCGCATTGCACCGGACCCTTCATGTTCCTCCTGCGGGTGGTGGGTCCACAGTTGGACGAGCCCATGTATCCGGTTCGGGCTGGGCCCGGCCGGGCCCCATGGGCGAAAGCCCGGCCACCAGACGCTCGCTCACGGGCCCCAACCCCAGGCCTGGCTCCAGGGTGGGACCCCGGTAATCCTCCGGGCCGGGTACTCCGACTCTTCGTTTTAACCGCCATGAAAGATCCTTCGAACCGTTCTTTGTCTCACCCTTCACCTAAGACCAATTTGTCATGGGAGACCCTACCAGGGGCACTAAGTGCCCCAGACAACATAGCTCCTAGGATCATTAGGGCACTCAAACTCCTCCACCACGATAAGGTGACCGTTCAAGGAGGATACTAAAACTGAATTTGATTTTTTTAAACTCAAGTCAACACATTTGGTAGTTCCGTCAGGATGAAAGAAATAGAATATTTAAGTGTATTGATATTTTCTTACAGCTTCAGGCCCTGTCCACACGTAGCCGGGGACCTGCCAAAACGTAGATATCGTTCTACGTTTTGGCCTGTCATCCACACGAAAACGGATCTTTTTAAAAACTCCGGCCAAAGTGAAGATCTGCGTTTTCTCAGTTTTGGGTGTCTGCGTGTGGACAGACAAAACTGGAGTTTTAAGGTCCGCAACGGCACTTTCCACGACAAAAAATGCTGACATCACGTGTGCGACCTGTGTTTACACTAGCCGACAGCATGGATGCCCTCAGAGCTGTGCTCGCTTTATCAGTTGTCCAAGCGGAATTACTGCACCTTGCGGAAGACCGCAGACGAAGGACGAGGTTAAGAACAGCTATTGCCCGGCGCATGGCTTCTCCACGTCCAAGGCAGGTTTTTCGGCAAAGACACCGACACAGGTTCTGGGTCAGACCAGGAAGGAAGCGATTAACTGCTATCTGCAGCACTTGATGAATGTAGACAGTGGTCCTTGAGGACCAGGGGTCAGCAACCTTTTCCCATCTCATATCCTCAGAGAGCCGCATGTTTGACCAGTTTAATGGAGAAAATCATAAACATCTCTGTAGACATATTGAACTACATGTTTATGTTCTCCATTTCTTGTCTTTTGCAACAGAACCACACCAAAAACGCAGTACACCGGCTGTTCAGTCCACGAAAACAACAACGGCCAGGCAGCCTTTGAGAATCCCATGTACAACACAAACACCAAGGCCGTCGAGGGAAAAGCTGTGAGGTTCGATCCGAATCTAAACACCGTCTGCACCATGGTCTGATCTCCCGGGCTCAGATATCCAGCGGGACCACGGCATGGAAGTGAGAGAGGAAAGAGTTTGGGCCAAAACCCGACCTTCCCTTTGATGACAGTATTTTTATGCACACATGGATACAGAAATGAGCCAAACATCAAGATTAAATGTGCTAGAAGATGTGAACACAAACCAGAAGTTCAGCTAGCCCCTAAATTTGTCACCAGGTGAAACGCTGCCTTGGTGAGAAAACGGAGACGATATCCATCAGGATAAAAGCCAACGAGTGACTGGTGATGTCATCAAACAACCCCAGTTTTGGTTCAACGTTGTCTCCAGCAGACTATTGCTAAACCAACGGACTCCAACTAGAGAGGACAATCTCCTGTCTCCATGGCAACCTGAGACAGGTATTAGCCACCTCCATTTTTTTTTTTTCCCACTTACACGGACACAAGGAAGGCTGATGCTAGCCGCCGGACATCCCCGGAGACGGAGCAGTAATCCCAACTGAGCTGGGATTAGAGCAAAGCCAAACTACAAGGAGTGAGTGCTAACAGAACAGATGAGGTCGACTCATCTAACGGACAACACTGCCTTTTCCCAACCTCGGAGTAAGAGAGGGAGGGGTGGTGGTAACGAGATGAAGGAAGCTCCTAACTGAACTAGACGGGATTTTACAATCTTAACACGGCCAATCAGAACCTGTCTAACCTGAAATAATCTAGTGTGAGACGAGTCCTACATACCCAATCAGATCAAGAAGAGGCCGAATGAAAACAGAGGACTCTGAGAAGCTCTGGCACTAAAGCACATTTCAGCGTCTCTATCAGATTAGCAGATTTACAGATGGAGACAGAAACCCGACAGGCAGGGCAGAGGAAAAACAGACCGGGTTTTCACCCCACGACTGTGGACGACGGTCCACTGTGATTCTGCACTCTGGGAGTGCTTACCTTCTGTTTGTTACTGCTGCAGAATCTTCTGATCTGTAAATCTATTGCATATATATTCTGGAGCATTCACCACCTATATTTTTGTGCTATATATTTACCACGAGGGAGGGGCAGAGACAGATTATAACAGTTTTTAGGAGAAAAAAAAAGCAAACTGCAACCACGTGCTGTCCACAAGAGTCCCAGATTTTTGGTTCCATCATAACTTCTCGTGTAGCATGAAGTTCCTCTCACTGGTGTCCAGATGCAACAATCATCCTTCAGATCAATGTTCACACACTTTTTATCAAAGCCTGAATTGTTAGAAGTTTTTATCACATCATAGTCTAAGTCGATAGTGTTGTCTGGCCTCGTGTGTGCTTGAACAGGAATCCCATTAAATACAATTTCAATTTAAAGGCATACTTTGCAACTTTTTACCATAAAACAACTAAGTTAACAGGTGTTTCTAAATGTTTGTCATTGTTTTAGTGGGAAACCATGGCTACTAGCTGACACGTACTTCATCGCTATGGTGACATCATGCCTCTTAATCACGTTTACACCGGTTGTTGCTGCTCTTATTTGTTTTTATTTAATTGAGAATCTGACTCAGTGCCTACCAAAAACCACAGGACCCTCCCTGCCATCAACAACACCGTATGCTCGATCACATGGACGCAGGTACCCCACCCATTATTTTCCCCACAGGCTTTTCCTATGACCGACCGCAATAAGACCCATGTGATTTAAAAGACTTATAGCCGTTCCTGCCTGGGGAAATTGAAAATATTCACTGTTTGAGAAAAAAAAGACGAAATATAGAATAAAAAAGTGTTTTGTACAGAAATATATTTTTATGATGAAATTATTTGTAAAATGTATGAATCTATTATGTAAATTTTCAATGCAATGTAAAATTAAAAAAGCCTAATTGCTTTTGTAAAATGTGTGTCGGTTTGCTTTCTTTTAGATGTCTACATCCATCATTTTCCTCTCCACTGTCGCTACATGCTTGCTCAGTATGGGGGATTGCTGTAAAATCACAATCTGCTAGGGTTTCATACATAAGAGCTAATTGGTACAATGAACTGAATTAGATAGCTTAGCCAACTAGCCATAGCTGGGTTTCTATACCTCGTTTGAAATGATGCACCATAGCATAGTAATATGACCACCACGGGGTGTTCTTTGAATGCGACATGGCGAGAATATTACACCATTCGTCTCGCCAAGCTTGATAGTAATATTAAACTCAGAGTGGCCGGTCAAATTTCAAAAATAAGTAAAAACGGAGAACTTGGTCTTTAAAAGTTGAGTTGATAGAAGTATTTTTGAATTAGAGCATATTTTATTCATCTGAAAACTAAATAAATCCATCAACTACAGTCTCATGACTTGACGGAGGCAGGAGAATAAAAGGAATTTCCTCTGCCACAAAATCATGATTTCGCCTAAAAATTAGGGTTTACGTTCCGATGTCATGACCTTGTTTTTTTTTTTAACACAGGCATAAAAGAAAAAACTACTTTTAACACATTGTTCTCAAGAGTTGAGTAGATTAATAAACGTAGGGAAACTTACTTGTACGATTTGTGTCTTTTGTACCTTCTTGGACCGGGTCACTCCTGGATTTATATCCTGACACTTTCATCTGGTTAAAAAAGGAAAAACACAATTAGTGACTGATTCAGAAAACACTATTTTTCTTTGGGTGGGATGATAACCTTAACTACAATGGCTCTAATTTCTATTAATATCTATATTAGTAATACAGTGCAAGAGACATGGAAGCAAATGCTGCAACATCAATGTAATGCACTAGATGGCGCCACCACCTCCATGAGATGCAGCTGAAATGACTTCTTTTTGCTACAAATCTATGTGAGATTTAATTTGAAGCATGTGTAGTTAATCTATCATTTGTGGGTCTAATTGAGGATGTAGATCAGGGGTTTTAGGGTTACCTCTGCAATAACACACCTGCTGGAGCAGAGGAACGACTAAAATGTGCTGGATATCCTGATGAAGATGTAGGAAACCGAGAGCGATTTACACTAATTATTCATTCAACCAAATGTGTTTTGAACATTTTTCCTAAGTCTTATTATTTCTCTGTTTTTATTTCATAAAAACTTAATTAAATCAAGAAAAAAAAGGAGTGCACATTTTAGTTTTGGGTGTTTTTCTGCACCACATCAGTAAGGGTACATAAATATTTATGGAAACCTGGAGAGCTTGTTATTTTAGAAATTAAATGCATGTTTCACAAAAATCCGGACTAATCTAATATAGACTCAAACATGTGCCTTGATTAGGTACACCACATTGTTAATCATGGCAGAAACTTGATGCGGTGAGCAGGAGCGCCTCCAGAATATTTTGATTGGGGTGGCCAAATGGGGTCAAAAAATTTTTGGGGTGGCACACCAAATTGGTCCTTGTGGTAACTCTGTGAGAGTTTAGCCTGTAGCGATGTATTGCATTGCTCCTTTATTAATTTTTATTGAATAAGCAGTACATATCCAAAACATTTAACTTAAATTTTACAAAGAAACAGTTCAGAAAAATACATTTCAGTTATTCCTAATTTTATGTAAAAAAAATTTTTATGTTCGTTCCCCTATGTTGCTGTGTTCACAAAAAAATATGGAGATAAAAACTTTTTTAAATCGTGAGCAGCGGAAACATATGTATTTTTTTTTAATTCTGATTATTTCTTTACTTATTCATTATTTAATTTTTATTTTGTTTTACAATTATGTCTTGAATAAACAAGATCAATATATGGTTTGACTGAACATTAATATGATTTATTAACACTGACTTTTCCTGGGGGGGCCAGCACTTTTCTAGGGGTGGCCATGGCCACCCCTTGGGGTCACCCTTGGCGGTGAGATGACTTTCTGAATTTCAAACTGAGCATCAGAATGGAGAAGAGGAAGTTAGGGACTGTAAATGTGGTGGACCTGCTGAACTACTGGGTCAGAGGTTAGAGGAAAATGGTCTAGAGTATAGAAAGACAATTGTAACTGGTTCCAACCCACAACATCTCGCTCCAGCAGCAGGAGAACACACCGGGTCAGGTAAGAACAGGATATTCTGGTGTATTTTACACCTGGTAATCCCCTCAGACAAAGGCAGGTTCACCCCAAGCACAAGGTCAGTGATGTGGTGCATGCGGTCCGGAGCAGAGAGGAGTGCTCAGATCTCTACATCAGAGAAACTAGACAGCAGCTATGCTAAAGGAGAGTCAATGCTCAAGACTCTGGTCCATCTACACCTAAAGGTCAAAGGTAACTCATTTTAAGTCGATAATGTAACATTTTTAGGGTTAGGGGTGCAAGGTCTTGGCAAAGACGTGCAGAATTTTTTAACTATAATTCAAAAGTGACAGAGACCGCAAGCTTGTAATTGGTCAGGATGCCGTTTCCTTTGTTTGTCAACAGTTTGTCAGCAGTGCTACCATTACCCCCCCCCCCCCCCCCCCCCCCCCCCGAAATAATAAAGTCCAGTGGTAGACAAGGAGTGGTTTGAAGAAAGTTCATGGAAAAAAGTTTAGACGATAGAAACGTTTATACACCCGTGACTGAAGGAGAACAAAATATGCAGCAAACTTTCTATGACATTATTATGGAAATGACGAGAAATGTGAGTTTAGAGATGGAGAACGGCGGAAAGTGTTTTCATGTTAAAATGTGTTTGAAATGAATCAACACAATATAAGTAAACCGTTCGGACCAGAGACATGATTGTAATGGTGCCAGAATAGTCCCAGAAAAGTGCGGCACCCTCTGTTGTCCTTGTCATGTCATTTTATCTGACGCTTTGCAACACTCCACAGGCAACGGAGAAGTCCGAAAGGAGTCAGTCTTTGTCAATTTCCAGACTTCTCCATTTGTTGTTTCCAAATCTATCCTAAACAGCCAGGTTAGAGGACGATGTCTCCTTTTGTTAAAAATAGGGAATTCCGATATTGGCATTAAAATGTAATATCATCAATTATCAGTATTAGTTTTTTTTATGATTTTAATACCAAAACTTATATTACCATACACATATTATATTTGAAACTCTTCAGCTACTTCTCCTCTCTCTCCAAATGTAAAAACGTAACAGATTTGAGGTATGGGTCATGAGTTATTTGTGTTTGTTTGGTACAGCTAGCCTAACTTAAATTGAAGTTGTCGTATTTCGTCTAGAATACGTTTAAAGTTTAAGTATGCATGATGGGAGAAATGTAAAATTATGTAGATTTTATTTCTTAGTGAGAAGGGGCCTCCCATTTCTATTGGCATCGAAAAGAGTTCAACTATATTGAATAATGGTTAAAAAGTTGAAATCAAACATCACTCTAATTTCCCTCTGGGGTTAATAAAGTATCTTTGATTTGATTGATTTGACTAGTTAATAAAACTACACCGTTTTAAAAGTCCCCATTATTTAAGCCAAACTCACAATAAAAGTCAGTTATTCTCCACTGTTTTGTTCCTACAGAACAGAGTGTGGCAAAAGCTCCAGGTGGATAAACACAACATGACAGCAGCGCTCAGGCCTCATTACAGAGGACCTGCGTCAAAACCGCCATTTTCCACACGGTTTATTTATTTGAGGTGGAGCTTTACCGGTCCTTGTTTGGATAACTAAAGCAACCCTCACATTTCTTCTGGTTTCTATAAAGGATTTAAGACATTCCACCTAGGAAACACCCATAAACGTTTAAAAATGCCCTACCCCGCAGAACCTCTGAAGACAGAACATATTGATCATGTAATTTTATCTGACTCTTTGTTGTTGGAATGATTTATTAAAACGTCTGATAGTGTTTTCAACTGATGTAACCCAAACTGCTCAGAAAATGTTCAATATATGAAGCAGTTTGATGGTGGTGATGCTTTTTTCTAAAACAAAACTATTTTCATAATCAGATTTCTCTTAAAATGCATTTAAGGTTGTTAAATTAGCAGCATCCAGCCAGCAGGAGGAGATGTTTGTTCATTTACTCGACTCTCACTAAACTGTAATGTAATAACTATGTAATAACACCAGATGGTGCCAGATGTCCTCCCATTTATTTCTGTGCAGCAGCTGGTTTATCCTTCAAATAAATAAAGTTTAGATATTTAAATATATTAATAAAAGCTTATTTCCCTTTAGTTTTACTTTAAATAAAAAGTGTGAAACTCAAATAAATAAACCAAATTAATCCAAGGCTCAATTATTTGAATGAAATAAAGTGTAGTAATGATATGTGCGCAGGTATAAAAGGGTTGATGTTGACTAGGAGTCATTGAGGTGGAGCTTGATGACACTTTACATACATTTATATACTTTACATGTATTTTATGTGAGTTTGGAGCTTTTATTTCATCGCACTGCCAGGAAGCAGACTGAAACTGAGTATTTTTTTCTTTAGAAGAGATTAGATAATTAGTGTCCGCCCATAAATTAGCTTTTGTTCCATTTAAATATCACCTTCCCTTCAAAGTTTGAATTCCTGCTCTCTGCAGCGACGACTGCGAGGAACAGGGAGCTCGATGTGTGAGTCAAGGTGGGACAAGCTGGAGCTGCCGGCTCTACGGCAAGAGATAATGATGCAGAGACGTTCGTGTGTGTGTGTGTGTGTGTGCGTGCGTGCGTGCGTGTGTGTGTGTGTAGGATAATTTAAATAAAGAAAAAGCCAGAAATCATATTTTGTCTTAAAGGAAGAAAACGGAGTCGTCTGATCTAAAATGTATTTAAATGTGTTAAAAAATTCGAATGAGAATTATTAACTTTGAAATCTTAATATTTGTTGCAAACATTTCAAAACGCATTCAGAATTTCTAGAATAATAATGTAAGCATTATAAATAAAAATATAAATGCTTAAAATAATCAGACTTTCTCAGAAAAATTCTTCTACTTTGATCAATTATTTTCTTGACTTTTCGTCCATCCAGCCTTCCTTTCGTGACCGACGGTTTCTCCAACTTTTCCCGCTTTTTAACGGCTCTGGAACCAACCTGGGATTAGGCTCGATTACACACGCGCCCCTCCGGGACTCTTTATTTCAATGAATTAGTGGAGCGGATGAACAGAACTGCTACAGAACGGTATTTTGTTCCAGCCACATAAATTATGCATCGTCTGCAGAAATCAACAAGCCTTGATCCTCTTCTTTTAGGGTTTTGATTCAGAGAGAGAGAAATGGTTAATTGCCAGGCTTGTCACATATAATCTGGACTGTGTTTGATACACAACAAGGATGCAGTCTATATGTTTGTTATTTATTCATGTAGCCGTGGAGTCGCTGCGTGGGGATGAAACGCAGACCCAGATAAAATCTTTTTATGATTGTTTATGTTCTACAACGGCAGCAATCGCTGGATTCATGGTAAAAAAAAGGGGGGAAAATGAGGGGATGTGCAACATTTAACACTATATTCTTATTTTTGTGAATTTTATTGATTTTTCTGGGAGAAAAATTGTTGGAAAAGTCCTAAAAAGGAACCACTGAATCCTAAATAAAATCAGAGGATCGTACGCCGAACTGCAGCCTGAAATAAACATTTAACAAGTTTGTCTTTAAGTGAAAACAGGATTCAGCTGAACCAAACCTGTTTCTTCTAATAGAAGAGCTAAATTTAATCGTTTCTCATTTCTAAGTTATTGT